AAGCTGCCGTGCCTTCAGAGCCACAGCGGTGCAGCGTGTCCCTTGAACCCAGTCAGTGACTGGTTGCCTGCCTGGCTGCGCTTACTCTGTTTCTGATCACTGTGCTGGAAGTTAAGTCATACTTACCTTGTATTACAGAACCAACAGAAGGGAGAAACTTGAGCTTGGCGTAACAAGGTATCTACCCTGCCACCAGGAGTTTACTCAAATAACCAAAGCAATGACTGGCTTGAGTAAAACCAAGCAGTTACAAAGAGCCATGATTATTATTTGGTTTACTCAACTTACCCATTGTCTTGGTTGATTTGATCGACTCTTTTGCTGGAAATATATGCATTCTGTCCCATGTTCTTATATGTGAAGGATCCTAAATTGGGAATGTTGTGCAGTTGTTGTTAAGGTCATGCTCACCTAATGATTCTGAGGGTACAGAAGAGAACGGTGTGGTCCCCATATCATTGCACATAATTGCCTAGAGTGGCTCTCAATGGATTTGAACTGGGGCCCAGCTTCTAAATCGATGCTGCCAACTGGGAGAGCTGGACTCAGCCCTAGGCAGGCCTTTCGCAGCTGAATGTGCAGAGATCCTTGGGTGCCATTCCTGCGACTGGCTGCTGCATTCCAGGACCTCACTAAATGGACAGTGAACCTTCCCTGGCATGAGGGAACAGGCAGAACACCTGCTCACCTCCCCCCCCCCCATAAGGCATCATGCAAGAAAATGTTGGGATCATGCAGCACTCTTTCTGACTATGCTTCCCTAATCACACTGGGGTGATGTAGTCACTCCGTGAACCTGGTGGGCCATCAGGGTGTAGTCACTCCGTGAACCTGGTGTAGATCGAACCTTGACTTAGTAGCAGTAATCGTCCTGGTGTTCGGAGGAGCCTGTTTCTTCCAGGAGAAGCCCCACATTTCCCAAGGGAGCCCACCCACCCCAGTTGGAGAATTCCTGCTTGATGGATAATGCAGAATAGCCCTCTTAGGATGAGCCTGTTCAGTCTCACAGTTCTGCTCTTTCTCTCATCCCCAGACGGTTTGTGCAAAACAGATGGCTAAGTGTGCCCTCTTGATTTCTGTCAGCCAGGCCCGTGCACTTCTGTTTCCAGCTTCGTGCAGCTTGTTGTTTCCTCCCATTGAGGCGGGATTGGGAAGCAGGCTTTTGCCCATAATGCTAAAGTGTATCATGCAGTGTCAGAGTCTCACTAGGCCTAACAGGACTCGTGTGTCTCCTGTCCATGTAGTTCTAGAAAGCTGGCTTGACTTCACTGGAGAGCTGGAGCCACCAGATCCCCTCGCACGACTGCCTCAGCTCAAACGGCGGATCAAACAGCTCATATCTGACATGGGGAAAGTCCAGCAAATAGCAACCCTTTGTTCTGTATGACAAAAGGAAGGCTAAAGGGGCGCACAGAGGAGAAGCTCTTGCAGTGAGAATCTGATGATCTGCAAGACTGGCAAAAGGATGAATTTAAGAAGATGCTTGAACCCTGTTCCTCGTTCTGTACCAACGGTCCTATTATCCTGAAGATCTGAAGAAGCAGGGGAAGGTGAATGCGGAGTATCAAAGAATATGCTCTCTGAGGTGGTAAAATAAATGCTGAGATTCTTCTTTTCATACTCTACAGGGTAGAAATATCTACCAAGGAATGTTTTATATTTTTTCACAGGCAATATCAAGGGTGAAATCCTCAAACTGGTAAATTTAAGCCAACTGAAGGCTACTGTGGAAAAAATATTGAATTTGCAATATCTTCTTCCAGTGTTGACGGCAGGACAAGATTTGTAACTATGGATGTGCTGAAGGATGGAGAAATTGAACAAATGCCTGTCCCTTTTGTGACAGATATTATCCATGAAAATGAAAAGTGCTAGCTTCCTTTTCCAAAAGAGACTCTTTTCTGTGATGGCCTCTCTATGAATACTATTTTTTTAAGCCAAACCTTCCTTGCAGTGGATCTTACAGTCATATTAAAAGCAGGCGTGTGAGGGAAACGGTCAGAAGTGCCAAATAACACTTTAAAAAAAAACGCTGACACAAATCATTTGAATGGAGTTTTCCCCCGCAGCTCCCCAGCAGATTCCTCCATACTGCCAGCGAACCATCCAAAATTGTACCTATTTGTGTTCACTGTAATGGCAGTATTCAGGGATACAGTACCATTATAAATTTCTTTGTCCTGAATGGCTCTACTTGGCCCTCATAAATACTTATCCTCAGCTGGATTGAGGATTTGAGAAGAGCATCCAGAATGCCAGCAGTTGGCTACGAAATTGGAGCACTTCCGCTGTTCTGTTTTTAGACTTTGTCTGAATAATCTGAAAAGTTGCAGTATGGGGAGTATATATATAAATATATATATGCAGGCATTTCTCTGTGAGATACACCTGTTGTAGGCCAAGAATCTTGGAATGGCTCAGCAGGACCTCTGTCTTTGTCCAAATAAATCTTTCCTGCACGATTGGAAACATGGAGTGCTCTGTGGGTTCATTCCTTGCGAATCAACATCGTAGTGCGTTGGGACCCGCCTTTCTGGAGGGGATGCGGTGAAAATCCATGGTTTGTTAGAGGCTTATGAGTTGACACAACATTGTGAAACCAAAGTCAGCCTACTTGCCATTTAAAAAAAAAAAAAAAGCTTCTGGACCAAGTCCAGGGCCTTCACTTACTTTTGCTGATCTGCATTATTGTTGCACACAGCACTACGGAGTACTTCTTGGGATAACTGTGTGTGAGCATCACACACAGTTGTGTATTACATTCTACAGTCATATTTATATTGACAAGTCTAGTTTTATTACAATAGACGAAGACCTTGGTGACAAAATATTGAAAAAGTTACCTTTTAGCAGTTTCTTAAAGAGAGAGAAAAATGAAAATAATGTATGTACAGGTTTTGAAATTTGTAAAAAAAAAAAAAAAGATAAAAATTAAAAAAAAATATCGACTGTTCAAAAGGAGCTGTAAGTGAGGACAGTGCGATATTTGAGCTCTTAATGCCTCCCCGACTGTTTCAGTGCTGGCGATCTGGAGTAAAGAGTACAAGAACTGCACAACAAGCAGGAAACTTGAAGCTCCGTTCAGATTAAGCGTACACACCACTGAACATCACAAATGTATTTAAACTTGCAGATACACTGTTCTATATGTAAGGTACTGTATGTAAAGCTGTTTATTAAACTATTCTGCCTACTCTGCTTTCCTTCACTTTTCTTGTCTTCTGCTTAAACCATTGCAAAAAGCATGCCAACCCCTTTGATTTAATGCTCTTCATACTGTTGGGAAAGGTGCCCAAGTCTCTGAATATTTTGGTAGGCTGTCTTTTAATGTGTCAGTCCATTGTGCCACCTAGCCCAGTGTGGCCCATCGTCCCGCTGGGCAGGGCAGCATTTTCAGAATGGTGTCTTGTGCATGGGGATTGCCACTGCATTGACGGTTCCGTGGTGTTCTGGCGAGGGTGCTGGTCTCAGCTCGGGCGATGTGCTTGTAGCCCCCCGGGCCATGAAGTGCACTGAGCAACTTCGGGCCAGCCAATCACTCCTGGCCTCACCTACCTCATAGGGTGGCTGTTGTGAGGCAAAAATGGAGCATTGGAGAAACTTACCAGCCACCTCAGGTTCCATGCAAGGGGAATTTATATTTAAGGCAGGATATAAATGCAATGTAATAATATTTGTAAAGAAGAAAAAGCAAATCAGCTGAATGTGTCTTCCATGAGCTCCTGTTTCTTACCATTTGGAAAAAATTAATGTCTGCAGCGGGTCTTGTGGCTTAAAAGCCACCACCACCGGTTAATATCGCAGAAATTCAGGGGGTATTTTTGATTCAGTCCCTGTAATATGAGATCATATCCTATGAGCCCCTGCCTGTTTTTGTACAGGAGTTCAGACCTGGGACCGGTGTCTTAGCTGTGCTTAGAGCTATGTCCCTCTCCGGGACTGAGGGTAGTAGCTCTGCTGCAAGCAGAAAGCCGTGGCTCCGGCCACAGGTGGGCTGGGGGAGACTCCGTTCTGAAATCCTGTGTCGAACAGTGGTCAGGAGACTGTGTGCTGGTACAGGAGTGGGTGACCTGGTGCTTCCAGTGCTTTAGACTGCAACTCATCAGCTCCAACCGGCATGGACTGTGGCCAAGGATTGCAGGTGCTGAAGTCCCGAACAGTGAACGGCACCAGGATGCTTTTCTCTGTGTTCGTGCGCTGCTGAAAGACAATTTGCAGATCAGCAAAAGTTCTCCCACCACCCCTGACCTTCAGATCTGTAATGTGTGTGAACAGAGTTCTGGTCTTGGATGGATTCTGATTGATTAGTCTGATCCAGCATGACTTTTCTTGCATTCTTCTAACCAGTTCTAAGAAAAAATGTAGATTATGCAGATTTGCTGTAAATAAGGTGGAGCTGCACAGATTTGTGATCTCAACTAGCATAAGGCCTAGTTATGGAGTTCCTGAAAGCCAGTGGAATTGTGTTGTTCATGAACACAGGTGTCTATTGCTTTCCGTCAGGATGGTGCTGAGCAGCAGACAGCTATTTCGATTTTTCCGCACCGCGTTGTGCCCATGGTTTTCTTTGTCCAAAGAATATGAAGCCTGCTGCCATGATCTGATCTGGGAAATGTTCCAAACCAGCCCTGAGAGGCAGAAGAGCTCAAGTTCTGAGCAGCTTAATGCAAATACATTTTGCTTTAGGTAGAGATGCAAATTCAGTGGTCCTTTCCTTGTACAAAGTATTCATGAATCCAGCCTTATGCTAGCTACAGAAACCTATTTGCTGAATTAGGTCCCTAAATCCAAGCGTGCAACGGTAAGTAAGCCAACATGGTGATGGAACCGATGATGGGAGTTTGTGGACTCTCCCACACTAGAGGCACTCAAGATGCAACTGGGCAGCTGTCTTGGGAGGGATGGTTTAATTCGAGTCCTGCATTGAGTAGGGGTTGGATCCTGCTCACTACTGTGATTCTATGTAATGTAGGCATCGTGCAGTTACTTTCTCATTTCCCATGGGTTACAGATTCGATTGAGCCCTACAGCTCCTGTGAATTCCATGCGCAGTGCCTCTGGCTCAGTCTCCTTTTCACGTGGCTGGTTGTGTTTGTATTGGCTGAAAGACAAAGGGGATGATGCAACTCAATGACCCTTGTGATTGGAAACGAAATGTGCGTCATGAGCCCCCTTTAATGCCCAGTCTTGCATGCCATCAGTGAAGGTTTTCAAGTGGTGGCAGCTATAAAAGCATGGCTGAGAACAGTGTTGGGCATGCAGGTCTTGGTCCCTTTGCTGGGGACCATCTTTCTGCATCCCAGAATGGGCCCCTTACTTCTCAACACCTTTCTTTGCTTTATTAATATAGCATCAGCCAGTATCTTTGGTAAGTGATCTCCAAGTTCCTTTTTGCTTGCAGGCACCAAATTGAATAATGGAATGAAGAAATAACATAGGAAATTGACCTCTCTCTATTCACAGGCTAGATAGTTTATTCTGTTAACCGGTGACATCAGATTAAACCCTTCCCAGGGGTTACGAATGTCTTTTGGCGGGGGAGACATCACTTGTGCTTGCTTAAAAGAAAATTCTAGGGCCACACCGCAAACTGATCATACGACTCGTGCATTGCACCCTGTGTTAGGATGTGAGCTATATAATTAATGGCTAAATTTACATCCAAACCACTGAGATTCATATAAATTCATCTTCAGCACAGCAGGTAGCAATAAACTCATAGCACAGTCTTATGTATATATATTTCTTGTTCTGCAAGAGAGACTCCCAGGTAAGTTGTGCATAGGATAGCACACTGGGATGAGATCACAATGGAAGGTTGTAGAAGGACGCATAGAAAGTTGTATTAGGCTGAACTAAGAGAGAGAACATGGACTAATGGAAAGGAAAATGCAAAGTCAAGCTTTCCAGGCTGCAAATCAGAACAGCAGAGAGCAAATCCAGAAAGGAAGACTATTGTGAGCAAAGCTGTCCAAAATAGGATGGGAATTTTACCAATCATGCCTGATAATAGGCCTGTATCACCTGCTGAAAAGTTTACAGAAGGAAAATGGAAGCACTTCCACATGTGGATCAGAGTCACTGACTGGGTTTGCACACATGCCGAGCCTCAATGGTTGGCATCACTGCTTAGTGGAGCACTTGCGTCCATATATGCCCTCCCACCCCGAGACTGGCGGAGGAGGCCCTTCTCCGGGAGCCCTCCGTGAAAGATATTAGGAGGGTGAGTACCCGGAGGAGGGCCTTCTCTGCGGTGGCACCCAACCTATGGAATGCGTTCCCCAGAGAGCTCCGCCTGATGCCGTCGTTATTTGTTTTTCGGTGCCAGGCCAAGACCTTTTTATTTAAATGATATTTTAATTGTTAATTGTTTTTTTATTTATTGCTTTTAAACTATTGCCGAGATGCTCCGAATTTTTAATGTTATTCTATCTTAGGTTGTTTATTTCCTTTGTAAGCTGCCCGGAGGCTTTCTGCAATGGGGGCGGCATAAAAACACTATAAATAAATATTTCAGAGTGCTGAATCCTGCTCATGGCTTAAGCATGGGCTAACCATGCGCACGCTATCCTGGCTTATCAAGTCATTGGGCTCCCCACCTCCTGTTTCCATGTTTCAGTTTTTCCTCACCCCCTCCATGGGAGGGTAAATTCTGGCATGAAAGCAGGAGGGCCAAAGCTTAAACCCAGAATTGCCAGGTCCCGGGAGTGTTTGGGGATACCATCCACTCTTTGATAGATTCTGTTTTCACACAGGCATGTTTGTACAATTCGTACGAATTCACACTTGGAAAAATGCACAGATCCCCTTGTAATCGGGTTTTTATTCCTTAGATGGGGGGAAGTTCACAGTTTTGGACAGTGCCTTTTAATTTTCCAACGACTTCACAAAATCATGCAAAGGAAAAAATGGTCCACAAGTTGCAAGATCCTTGTAACTCGGAAAAAGTCCGCTGTGGAACTTGGGGTCAGATTCATAGGAATCGAAGCTCATTCAAAAACATTGTGGATTCCTCTGACATCCCTTCCTAGAGAAAAATCTGCCACAGATCCAGTTGCGGCTGCGCTGGAAAGAGGAACAGGCTGTTCAGAACAACCACGAGGCTCATTAAGTGTGAAAGAGAGAAAGCTCCCAGCCATCTTGTCCCAAAAGGAAGTTGCACTGCTCGTCTCCCCTGCAAACATTATTGCCAATCTGTGCTGCATCATATGACTGGCATATATCTCAACAAAGGTGCTTCAGAGGGCGATCTTCACACCGTGAGATTCTTTACCCCACAAAAAGGACCTATCTGGGACAAACCCTTACAATATTTCAAAGCTTCAACTAATCAACCTCTAAAGTTGAGAAGGGTCGGATTACAAACCTGTTCCTAGGTGTTCAGGGTGTTGCAGGAGGGAATTTGCTAGGCGCATCTTTGCCCACCAACTCCTAGGAGCTTTTACTGCTCACCTCGGCCGTAATATTGGTCACCTATATGGCAGTTTGCTACTGATGCACATGCAGAAGTATCCTTTAGTGATCTTCAACCTTTTGTTGTCTCACTCTGTCAAAGAACTCAGATCCTGCCTTGACAGAAAGAAAAAGCCCACTTTTTCCAAGAAGGAAATATATATGTTTATATGTTATATTATTTATTGTTTACAATAAGTTTTGAGGACATAAAATTGAAGTTACATGGTTAGGAGTAAATTTTCCTGCAATTGCTTTGAAACATAGCAAAAATAACAATTCCCGTAGTAGTTGAAAATGGTATTTTTATTACATTTTACTGATACAGTAGCTGTAAAAGACAAAATTAATGCTTTGAAATGGCAGTGGTATTAGTAGAAATACATTTTATTGTGGTACCCAAAGTGCGAATGAAAATAATGCCCTCGGGAGTTAAAAAGTTTACTGCTAGCAGGCCTGAAGTTCACACTGGAGAAGCTGCTTGGTAGGATGCTTGTGGATGGATGGAGAGCCAGTGTGGTGTAGTGGTTAAGAGCATGGGACTGGGACTCAGAGGATCTGGGTTCTAGTCCCCGCTCAGCCATGGAGCCAACTGTGTGACTTTGGGCCAGTGACAGACTCTCAGCCCAACCTACCTCACAGGGGTGTTGTGGGGAGAAGATGGAGGAGGAGAATGATGTAAGCTCCCTTTGTAGGAAAAAGGCAGGATATAAATCACAATATAAATAAATAAATATATAAATAAATAAATAAATAATTTTATAATGTGAGTTTTAATTAAGATTATTTTATATGGATTTTAACTTGTTTTATCTATGTTGTAAGCCGCCCCGAGGCTTCGGCGAATGGGGCGGCATAAAAATGTTTTAATAAATAATAATAAATAATAAATAAAATAAATAAATTAAATGTGGGGACCAAGAGAGAGCCGGTTCTTTGCCATTGGCATGGGAAGGCTGTGTTCTGCCAAGACTACGTTTGCATTTCGCTGATAGGGAGAATTTCTTTGGTCCATGATTCATCTAGAAAGATGCACTATTGGGCTATCATGGTAGGGAAAAGGCATCCCAAGGGTTCCCAGAATGAGGCTGGGAAAGTCGGCTCCAGTAACGTTCCCTTATTCTGGCATGTAGAGTACCAGGCAGAAAGCCAGCCTCTTCGGCCTTGTGAACTTCAGAGGGAGAAGGCCTTTCAGGGAGGTGAAGACTACATTCCTCAATGCTCGGAAGATGGACAGTTCAGGTAATGATCCTGGAAGAAGGTGACTTTAATGACGCATGAGTGGGCCTGAGGACACAGGTTGATGAGACCACAGTGGTGAAGCAAAAGCTGATTTCATGCCTAGGTCTCTTCCTTCAGGTCTCAGTTGGGCAGCTGTGTTGGAACCTCGCCCAGAAGCTCCGTGCTGGGCTGTGTTTGGTGTCCATTTGTCTAAAGAAACATCATTGCTTTTTGACCAGCAGCAGAAATGTTATGCTGCAGGTCTCCTAGACCTCTCACCATTCCCAGCTCAAGGACCCCATGCTGAACAAGCTTCATTTATTTAAAAATATTTGCATTCCACTCTTCCACCTCAAGGGCCCCCAGCTGAATAAGTGCAAAAAGCTGGGGCAGGAGGGTCTGTTCTGGGGCTCACTGGCTCACTGCCTGTCAAACGGGCAAGCACTGAAGCGAAAACGGCAAGCTGACCCTGCAAAGCACACGCTCTGCTGTTCCACTGCCTTCCCTTCCTGGTTCGTCATGCCCAGCCTCTCACTTAGACTTGGCCCATGCAAACAGTGGAACATGCTGGAAGAATCCAACGCATGTATCATTTTTGACTTCTGGTGGAGGATGCTCTTTTAAAACCCTTCCCTTCACTGAAGCAGTAACCTCCGCCCCCTGCAAGGCAAAGCAAAAACCAGGAACGCCCCCTAAGTTATTAGCCTGCCCTGCTTCGGTGTGCTAGCTTTCTACCTGCAGGGAGTCTTGCTCTTGCAATAAGCTGCCCAGGGCTTTTTCTCATCGCTGATCTCTGCCACAAACTTCCCCAACCTGGCACCTCCTGGATCTTCTGGACTACAGCTTCCATCAGCCCTGGGCAGCATGGTCACTAGTTAGGGAGGATGTGTGTGGCTGGAAGGCACCAGGTTGGGGAAGACCGCTCCATCACGTGATTCCCACCTCTCCCACCTCGCTCTGCTGGTTCATTTTCCTTCCCCTTCTTCCTGCATCTGCTCCCAAGAAATTGGGTGCTGCCACCTAGTGGTCCAAAAACAAAAGTGTCTCTTTAGAGAACTTGCCCTGGACAGATGGCATTGCTCAGCTTTGGAAGGGATGCCAAGTCAGAACTTTATGAAGAAAACCCAAGGAATAAAACCTGTAACCATTCACTTACTGGCCTGGGCTGCGGGAGATGCATTAAGAATGTTTGTGAACCTCTTATTCATAGAGGCGAATGCCCTTGTAACACTGAAAATGTATGTTTTGTCTACTAGGAACATACAATGCGATAAAAACGGTGTTACCTGCTGGTGTGTAGATGACAAAGGAGCTGAGGTGGTGGGGACCAGGCGGGCTGGATCCCCCGTAGCCTGTAAGTCGAGCGTTCTTACGTACCTGCGGTACTTTTGCAGTACTTGCAAAATCACCTTCAAGCGTCTCTTCCTTTGAACATTCAAGGCTTGCTTTTGTACACAGAGGGGGAAGGGGTGGGGGAAGCCCAATAATAGGGTCAGCCTTGCCCAAGGTGTCAAGGAGTGTTTAATGCGGGACGGCATTGCACCCAATCCAGCCCACCTGCGTTCCCAAACCAATCCCCAGAGATCCTTCGGTGGTGAGCCCCTTTTCCCCGAGCACCGATACTCTGATCATTTCCAGCTTGTGGGCTTCCTCACCCCACGCACCCACCCAAGGGCAATCAATTGCCCTTTCTGAGGCGTACCCAGCACTCGTAGGAGCTTTACGTGGAAAGCCGTGAGGGTTTGGGGCTTTTGGCCCCACCCTTTTTGCGTGAGGCCCCGCCCACCTTGGAGATGCCCTGGAAGTTTGGCCCTACAATTCAGACCTTGAGTTTAAATGGCAAAATGGCCATTCCAGGACTTTGGTTCATGCTAGTTTTGTTCATGCCTGGAGGTGGGCAACTAGTGGCCCCTAGGGTGGCCACAGCTCCCATCTGCCCCAGCCATTACAGCCAGTGGTGACTGAAGATGGGTGCAGAGGGCCAAAATCCATGGTGGGCCTCCATTTACACCCTTATTTTAAGCGCTTGCTTTTTTCTTCATGGATCTATATCTTTTTCATCCTGCGACGAAGTGGAGCCATGACAGAAGGCACACAGAATTCTAAATGGTGGGAGAATGGGAACAGGGAGACATTTTCCTTCCTCTCAGAATACTGGATCCCGTTATCCCATGAAGCTTCCGGGCAGATAAAAGGAAGTATTTCTTCACACAGTGCCTAGTCAACCTTTAGAATTTACTTCCACGAGATGTCAGAATGGCCACTAGTTTGGAGGGCTTCAAAAGGGGGTTGGGCAAGTTCAAGGAGGAGATGGCCACCAAGGGTTTGGGGTCCTGGGGTCACTGTGCCTCTGCATACCAGTTGCTGGGGAACATGGGCAGTGCAGCACTGGCACTGCCAGAAGATGAAGATGAAGAAGCTGCTGCTGCCAGAGAACAGTCCCTTTCCATGGCACGTTCTCAGGGCCCTCCTTATCCTCAGGTCCCCCTCTGTTTATCACAGCAGGTGTGCTCTTGCGTAGTGCCATTCTCCCAGTCTCACTCAGCTGGACCGTGATACCTCCAAAGCCCCAAACTCCCCCAAGTTTAACACTGCTTCTCCCTGCGGCAGGTTTATCCTTTTGCCAGCTCCAAAAGCAGCGGATCCTGGTCAGCCGCTATGTCAACAGCAGCACAACGCCGTACGTCCCGGCGTGCCTGGATTCCGGTGACTTTGACCCCATGCAGTGTGACCTGGGCCAGGAGCAGTGCTGGTGTGTGGACAGTGAAGGAATGGAGATTTATGGCACAAGGCAGAAGGGGAAGCTGAAGCGATGTAAGTCACGCTGGATCAGAACTCGATTCTGGATTCAAACGGGAGGTGGCAAGGATGCCACCTTCCCTTCCTTGTTCCCAAGCTGACCCTCTTTGGCCAAAGTCAGATTATTTATAACCCAGTAGGTCTGAGGCAATTGTCCCTCAGGGAGCTGATTGGTAGGAGGTTTGGGGCAGATAAAGGGCAGTGCTTTTTGAATTAGGTACTTATGGAATTTGCTGCCATGGGAAGTGGTGATAAGACATCCAGTTGGATGACTTTCAGAGGCATTGGATGGATTCATGGAGGAGGAGGCTATCAGTGGCTACCGGCCTTGCTGGCTATGGGTTACTTCCTTTCCCAGATGTGGCCTGCCTGCATCCACCAGTTGGGGAGGAGCTTGGGCGGGAGGAGGTCTTGTACCCTTCCTAATTGAGGGATCCTGTGGGCAGCTGGTTTGCCACCATGTGTATGAAGTGCTGGACTGGTGGACCTTTGGTCCATGCAGCATGGCTTCTCTTATGTTCTTATGTGGTCCAACACACCAGAAGGGAAAGGCTGGATGAAGGACTCCTTCTTCAGATCTTTTCCGGCAACCTCACAAAACTGCCTGCCTGCCTTCCTAGCTCTGTGTGCCCCCTTTTCAAATGGATTCTTCCAAGCCACTTACAATGACATGTGGTATGAAAATAGCCTAAGATGTAAAATTGTTCAGCAACATTCAAACCCAGTGAAAGCAAACAAATACACAGATGGGTAAAGGGATCAAGGCAACAGTGAACCACCATGGAGGAAATTTCAGGACAGAAAAACATCCTGAGGCACCAGGCAAGGCAGCTCAGTGCACCTCTCTGAGTAGGGCTGACACCAAAGACCGGCATGGGTGGGCATTTGCCCAGGGTCCACTGCCCAGTGGGGGTCCACTGGTGAGAGCCCCCTGGGGTTGCTTCTCCTCTTCACCGTCCAGTCTGCTTCTTCACCTGCCTCTTATCCTGGTCCAGATAAGACCGCAGGCCCTCCCAAACCTGAAGCCAGCACTGTCCTTGGGGAGACAGCTCCGCCATTGTGGAGCCCCCCATGAATGGGCGTCTCCTTCCCATGCCTACCAATCCAACTCTTGCTAATGACAGGTCGGAGAACAAGAATAATTCATTCTGAACTCCTGGCACCCTGCCTTGGCCCTCAGTGTCCTGTCCCTCGAACTAATCCTGCTCAACCTGTCAAATGCTGCAGGAGACTTTCCAGCCCCTGAGAGATTCCACACATGATGGTGATTTCACTGCAAATGTTTTGCGCTTGCCTGCCAGGCCCTGGGAAATGTGAGATCCGAGATCGCCGTCTTCTCCACGGTGTTGGTGAGAAGAGCCCACCCCAATGCTCAGCGGATGGAGAATTTCTGCCGGTACAGTGCAAGTTTGTCAACCGAACAGATAGGATGGTCTTTGATCTCATCCGTAATTTTAACAGGTAGGCAGCACACAATTTTGCAAATACCTTTTCGCAAGCACCTTTGGTAAGAATTAAGGAATTTCATGCTAGTCCTCATGTTTTCTCCATGTCTGGAAGGGGCATGGATGGAGACAGGAGATCTGCATAAATTTGCAAACTGTGCTTATGGCCCAGTCGTGGTGGGCTGCTCTTGGTTGTGGATGGGGAACAGCTTTATATTGTGGAGAGGTGCTGGGCATGCTGTTTTTAGTTTATGTTTTGTGGTGCAATTTTAATTTGCATTGTACGATAATGGTTTAGATCTGCTTTTTGCTGTTATTTGGCTTATGGAATCCCACTGAGTCAGTTGCTGTTTGAGGAAGGTGCTGTGTTCCTACTACTTGTGGTGGAAGGACACCTGCATTTAAACATTACTTACTATTAGTAATGCTAATCTACTAATGCTAAGGGGTGGGTGTGGTCCTAACCCAGACAAACCAGGCCATTTGGCTTACAGCTTGGCTGCAACAAGTCTAGCCTGGGACAGATGGGAATTGCAAATCAACACATCCAGAGGACACCAGGTTGAGAGAGACTGATTTAAAGCAACCTCTAAATCTCAAACTTCTAGTTGGATTTACTGACTGACCCTAAATGAACCCAACTCTACCTTTATGTGCAATACGGCTCCAACTATGCACACAGCGGGCGAAGTACTGATAGCTGCCACTAGAGGGCAGGAAAGTATCGATGTCTCAACCTCTGGCTGAATGAAGCTTACTTATTTTTCCAATCCCTAAAACACAACTAGCCATACGTGCATCAAAAAGAGAGGAAAATATAGTTGCATAAATTGAACAAGGTGTGAAGGTCATATTTGGAAGCATAAATTGGGGTGGTGAGAAGAAAGATCTTTAAAATAAGCTCTGAATCAACTTCGCAGTTTGGTTCTAAAGTTAAAAGAAGAGCTCGGATGTGGCCATTAATACTTGTGGTTGTGCTACCACGATATTTATTTCCTGGGGAGCACAAAGATCTATGCCAATCAGGCTGGGCTGGGCACAGGGAGAAAGGCACCCCCCTTTCCTTTCTTCCTCCCCACTCCCTCCGGAAAACTAGCTGCAGAACAACTATATGGGGCTGTTCAACTCCAGGACCGTTGGAAAGAGGCTTTCTTCCTTGCAGAATGCTGCTGCTAGACCCAGGGCAGGGCTGGGTGTTGGTGCTCAGGCCCCCGGGCAAAAGCAAAACCAAGGAGCAAAAGCACAGCTTTGCATGTGCCCTAAAGTCTCTCTCTCTCCCTGTACATGTCTCGGAAACACCCATCTCCTAAAGACAGCCCTAGCTGTCCAAAGGTGGTACATTTGATTTCAAGGAAAAGCTTCCGGCAGCCACATTTAAGGGAGGGACATGCGGGCCAAAAGCCGGCTCTTCCAGCAGAGGCAGTTGTGCAGGGATCAGCTGACCTCTGGGCTTGCAGCTTGCCCGGAAGAATGGTAGGGCGGATGGCCTCCCATGAATCCAGGGGTCCACATGAAAGACGTGGGGCTCCAGCGGCAGTGGCTGACCTCCAGCACTGACTCTGGCCAGACGGTCTCGCAGTGGCTCCATAGAGAAGCTGGGCACAAGGACCTGGCACTGTCCTTGGCCAGCATTGAGGGATGGATGCTCCCCGTAGCCCCCGTGGCTGTGTGCCCAGGGGATGCCCAGACATGCAGCTGCTGATCTGCCTCTCTGCGTATGTAGGGATACGGGTGCACTTTGATACAGCCCCGTGGACACGATCCTGCAAAGCTTGGCTCCACTGCACCAGCAGAGCAGTGCGGGTGCTCCCTTCCACAGCTATCCTGCATGATCCGGGACTGGGATGGAGGCATCCAAATGCTCTCCAGGCACACATGCAGAGCAGGTGGGCAGGTGTCATGGCGCCTCAGGGGTTAGTGCTGCCAGACTCCACGGCCACTGGCCATGGGTACCTTCTTTCACTGTGCTGGGCACGCATGAGAAGGGCTTCTGTTGGGACCAGGGTCTCTCCTCGCCTGGAGTGACCGCGTGGACCTCTTTCCACGAGCATTTATGGGCCCAGCTCACTCCTGCACCACTGGGCACAGTTCTTGCTCTGGGTGCAGAAGGGGCCAGGGTTGACCGCGGGCATCTCCAGGCAGGGCTAGGCAAGAGCTCTTTCTGAACCTCTGAGAGGTGCTGCCAGCCCGTGTTGGTAATCTTGGGTCAGATGGACCAATGTCTGGCCCAGTCCAAGGCAGCTGCTGAAGTTCATATGCATCCGACTCTTGCACCCGTAACATACATAACAGAGGGCTAAGCCATTCTGGTCAGGACTGTGGCAGTCCAGGAGGACTTCCTCCCACCCACGATTTTCACATAATGCCTGCTGTTTTGAGGGGATGGAGGGGTTTTAAATGTTCCAATGGAGTTCTTCTCACTCTTTCATTCTTAACCCCCTCTCCCCATGGGGCGTGTGGGGAATTCCACTCAAAATATGGCTGGACTGAAAGGCTTTGGAGCTTTTGGAGCACTTTGGTCCCAAAATGGAAAGGGGACCGCGTGCCTTTACACCAAGGTAAAGAAAACGCGCGTGCCCAGCTCCTCTAGGGGAGGAGGGGCAAATTGCAGATTTGCCTTGTTCCCACAACCCTCTTTCCTCCTATGATGTCATTCTGAGAAGGTCCCCGAGCGCATCTCTTTATCCATCTCTCTGTGGAAGCTGGAGTGAAAGCACAGGAGGACGTGATCCAGCCAAGCTGTGCTGCTGGCTTCCTTCGCCCCATTCGTTTCAGCAGGAGAATGCCGAACAGAGTCGGAGTAGCTTTTACCACTGCAGCCGGTGGGAAAACCCTTAGCTTTGCCTGGCCCTTCCCTCCTGTCTCGAGCATGCACACTGGGGAGAGCATGGCAGCCGGGCACATGGACGGCGCAGCTCACACATGCATCCTCTGGTGGGGCCCGTGCCATGCCTTGTCTGCCGAAGGCCCCAGGGGCAGGTCCCACCTCCTCTGCTGAGCTGCACCGCCTCAGCCTGAAGGCAGAAAGACTGAAAGTTTCCGAGCTTCACCACACTTTCAAAAGCTGCACATGAGCAAGGAGGCTGCCCTGGAGCCCTTCTGCGGGACAAGTTAGTTTTCTGCACACATGGAGCGTTTTCCATCTGACGGAGATCCCTTATGCAGAGCGAAAGGCCACTCTTTACGTACAGCAGCCTGCAATCAAAGGCCGCCTTGTAAACAGACAAGCCATGCGTCCTGCCTGCTTCCTGTTACCCGACTCAAGCCCATTTTTCTTTTTGTCTTTCCAAGGGGGTGGCATCCACCCCTGAGGGCTTTTGCAGCCCTGCGATGTGGTCCATGGCATGTGTTACCAAAAACCCCTTCCTCTTTAAGCCCGTTCAGCGGTGCTTGTTTTCAAGGTAACCAGGTTCAAAGCACTTTCATCGGCTCTTGTCTGCCTTAATTAGTGACGGAAAGCAGATGTGCCGGGGCGAAAGGAAGCTCCACTTTATTTAGGCTGCTCGCCATCTTGCACAGCGCTGCCGAGACCTGGGAATGAATGGGGCGGCTGTAATCCTCGGGGCAAGCTGTGACTCATTCTTCCGGCCCTCTGGAGATTCCTAGTGCTGCAATGGAATAAATCTATGTCACCTTGACAGATGTGGCAGCTGTGCTCTCACGCCAACAGGGACTTGCCAAGGGCATCTTCCTGTCTCGCAGCCACCGTACGGGGCTGAAGGCTGATGCTTCTGATGCAGCTGGTGCTGTGGTGGGCTGGTCCAAGACCTTTTCCTGCCAGTGGTGGGCGAAATGGCACACCGCACTTCAAGTACCTAATGTGGGGAACATGCAGGTCTCCCGATGTGGTTGGAGCCCAGTTCCAGTTCCTAGCACCAGCCAGTATAAGCAGCAGGCAGGGATCTGGGGAATTGTAGCCCAACATCTGGAAGGTTTCAGGTTCCCCAGCTGTGCCATCTACAGATGCTGACAGGTCTGGCAGCTCTTCAGTTTGGCAGCTGAGCAATGCGTGTGTGTCATGAATTAAACAATGCCCCCTTCCTACAGGATGAAGGCAAAGAGATGGGTATATTTATTAGACGGCACAAGTACCATGTCAATACCTTGGGCAGTGGGAAGCACTTTTTGGACATAACCTCTGGTTCAGCTCATGTTCTCACTTCTTGGACTTGTGGATGGGATTTGCGCTGAAGTCAGCAACCACTTATGCATACGGACAGTGAATTCTGGTTCGCACAGCTTAATTTGCCCATAGTGTCTGTTTTTGCATGGTGCCTGTACGTGCTTGGCTGCTGTGGACTACCTGTCATCACACCCTGGAAGGGAGGGGTTGTTTGAGGGTTAGCCAACCCTAAAGCAGCCCATGGTTGGCTTTAGGGTTATTTGAGGGTTATCCAACCCTAAAGGAACCCCTGTTGATGGGATTTACATGGTATGGTGAGTCCTGGAAAACCAGGCGGCCACAGAAAATGGTGCTCAGGAGCACCTGGGCCAACGCAACACCTCCCAATGGTAGATAAGACCATGGTGGGCCATTGTGATGTGTGAACAGGATCTGTGAGCTGGGTGCTTAAAGCCAGCTCTCAGAATGGGGTTTTTGGTGCCATGAGCATCTCTGGACAGTCTAAGTCATGTCTAGTAAAATCTAGTTTCCTTTTGGCAACATTTGTGGTTGCACAAATGAGAGCAGCTGCGAAAGTACACACAGGGCTGTGATGTCACCAGCGCATCATGACATGTGCCGCACTTTCTGATGGGCCTGACTTTGCTTTTAGGTTCCCAGAAGCATTCCTAACATTTAGTACCTTCCGAAGCTTGTTCCCAGAGGTCTCTGGCTACTGTTACTGCGCTGACAGCCTAGGACGGGAACTCGATGATACAGGTGGGTACCCCACAAATCTTGTGGCATCTATCCCAAGCCAAATATGCTCATCTCCAAGACCAGAATGGGATGTTCTCAGAACTTACATTGCAGATCACTTTGTTTTTATAGTTACACAAACACATTTCAAATGCACAATTGTGGATTTTTGTTTTGGATACCTTACAGTAGAATTAAGAAAAGGGGAATGGGGATCTTCAGTACAGAAACATGTGCTAAAATGCTGCTTTCTCTCTCAGGTCTGGAAATGCTGCTTGAGAACGTGTATGACACAGTCTTCGCATCCCTGGAGCCAGTTTCCACATTTACTGAAACCAGCATGTACAGGATCTTGCAGAGACGTTTTCTGGGAGTACAGCTGGCGACGTTTGGCAGATTCAGATGTACGTAGCAAGGGTCACGAGGCATGGGAAGTGGGCTCACAACAAGGCCAGCCCAAGGCATTTTGCTATGTGAGGTGGAGGGCAAGCTGCACCCCATTCCCAAGACAGAAGCCAAGCAATGTGTCATAGGATGGATTTCCCCACCTATGGATTTCCCCAAGAAGAGAAAAAGCACCACCAAAGAAGAGGATCTGAAGGTCTTCCGGTTGCTACGGCACCAAGAGTTTTGCTTCCATTGCATGTCATGTCAACCCGCCCCCCCCCCCACCCAAGCAATTCACCCCGGTGGGTTGATTTTTCTGGGAACAACTCGTGGTGCTCCTGATCTCCATGGTTGTTGGACTCCCTCCTTTCCCCTCTTTCCTCTCAGTCCTCTGTAGGTCACCCAGCAGAAACCATGGCCCAAACAGCTTGTGTTCCTCTTCCCCACCATGTTTTTAGCTCACTGCAGCTTCTGTACCTTTTGCCAGCTTAATGGGAGGCATGGGCTTATGCAAACATGAATGCCTAGGAAATAGCCCAGGTTTGCACAAAATAACAACTTCCCATCTCTTGTCCTCCACGACCAGTGGTTGTACATGCAAACCAGTCACTTGTCTCAATCAGTTCCTAACATAACCACAGTGAGATGTAACAGGCTCAGAAGTGATAAGTTTGGTCATGCAATGCACTGGGTGCTGCCTGAGTATAGTGCTGTGCAAAGCAGCCTTCTGCAGACCCATAAAACAGAAAGGGACGAGAATCGTTCCCATTCCTTCAGTGTTTCCCTGATGCTTGTCCTGCAGGTCCCTCCAAATGCGAGACAGAGAGATTCACCGCCCTTCAGTTCAAGCACATCTATTGGCCATCGTGTGATGAGAATGGAGCCTATGAGCCGAAGCAATGTCAGCTGGATGGGGAGTGTTGGTGTGTGGATGCCAAGGGGCAGGAGCTCCCTGGAACAAGGAGGAGAGGACAGGCCCCAGCCTGTGGTATGTAAGACTTGAATCAGAGGGGCAGTGGAACGCAGCTTGCCGAGAGGCCAAGCCAATAGTTTGCATTACCAAGACTGTTGTGAGGTCGTAACTTGTGTCTCCAATTAACTTGCACAGCAGCCGGCAGTGAAACTAAAGACTTTTATTGCTATTCACCTCAAGATTTACGATGTGGCTGGTAAGCTCTAATAACTAGCCCCTTTGCAGTCCAGTTGCTGCCGCTCCTCTGAGCTACCTCAGGAGACCACGTGGCATCAGACCGTCCTGTCTCGTCTTTCCACTCATGGGTGGGACAGACCTCTGTCCTGTCGTCGTAATTGTAATTGTCATCTTAAAGGTCTCCTGACTTTAGCGTTCGTCAGACTTTCCATTGAATCCTCTTGTTCTCCTGAACTCTGCTCAGCAGTTTCAGGGTCAGGAGCCGGGGGGCGACTTCTTCAGGCAGCTCAGAGCTGGAATCAGGGGAGGCTGCTCTTGCAGATGCCTCCCCGTCAGTCTGCAGGGAGGCTGTTCTCTCAGAGGCTATGGGGTCAGACTGCAGAGAGGCTCCTTGCTCAGCAGTCTCAGAGCCAGGCTGCAGAGGGGCCGTCTGCGCACTGGGCCTCAAATATAAGTCCCCTTGCTCCAATGCCCGACTCTCACTGTGAGCTCCTGCCTCCCCCTCCCGAGTAGATGTCTCTGTCGCGTCGTCGGGCACGACAAAGGCTGTGAATACCACACTGACTGCACAAACTGCAATGCTCACAAGGGAAAGGAGGAGCAACATCCTGGTGAGCCTGTTATGGCAACCCAGAGTATTGCAGGTTTGCTTATTTGTTTATTTAAAACATTTCTATGCCACCCGCATCGCAACAGAGCCTCGGTTGCGAGGTTGCCGAGACGAGCAGTGGGAGCCAGGCCGTGTGCTTCTGGTTCCCACATTCCCACCTGCAATAAGCCAACTAGGGATGTGCTGTCTCTGGGCTGTTTATCGTGATGTCCGAACCTGGAACTCTGGTTTGTTGGAGGATGGACAACATTCCAGGTCTAGATGTCATGAAACATAGCTTGATTCCTGTCTGAACCAGCTCAGTTTATTGCTAATTTTGAAATGCAGTTTTGGGAGGTGCTTTGTCTTGAATGGAGAAGGAAGGCTGATTAGTTGGCCTGCTGTGGGAGGAGAGGATGGTAAGGCTTGTTGGTAGGGAGGATCACCACTACCAGAACATTTGGATTCTCCTGGGAGGCCATGGGATTGTCATAACAACAATCGCTGCTACTTGGAGGACATCTGTGGTGCCCCCGGTGTGTCCTCTCCGAGGCAGCCAGTCAAGAAAAATCTCCTTGCTTCTTGAACGACATCCATGCAACCTAGTCTGAATACTGTGTTCGGTTCTGGGCCAGTCATTAGAAGAGGGATATAGCAAGGTTGGAATCGGTGCAGCGTAGGGCCACTAGGATGGTGGCCGGTTTGCAGGGGAAGCCATATGAGGTGAGACTGAGGGAACTGGGTCTCTTCAGCCTTGCGAAGAGGAGACTGCAAGAGGACCTGTTAGCAACATATAGGTACATCGGGGGGGGGGGGGGGGTCACATGGAGCTGGGTCGTGACCTGTTTTCCCCTGTGGAAGGGGGCAGGATGTGTTCTGATGGAGCAAAGCTCCAGAAACCAAGATTTAGGAAGCACTTCCTGACGGTTAGGACCCCAAGGGTATGGAATGGGAGGTGGTTGAAGCCCCATCGGGGAAGGTGTTCAAGGACAGGCTGAACATGCGCATGGTGGGCATGTCATGAGCAGAACTGGCTGGAGCTAGTTGGCCCAGGAGGCCCCTTCTGACTCGCTCTGCTACATTTCTATGCTTCTACGTATAACAACTCCACCACTGCCATTTTTTCTTTTGTGTAGGTGAAGAACACACTTGTATCTCTGTGAGACAAGTGGCCCTGTCCAGGCTTTTTTATGGCCCCGTTGGACATTTCAGCCAGCAAAATTTGTTTTCTGCCACTCAAGAGCCACAGAGAACAGCTGGGTCCTCTTGTCCACCTTGGTTCAAGGAACTGTTTGTGGATTCTGGCGTGCTGTCTCCCATCACCAAACGAATGAGTGTTTCTCAGCTACCTGCACTTGAATCCATCCTCAGCGAAGCCATCAGAGGGATGTTTCCTTCAAGAGAACTCGCTCGCATTGCCCTTCAGTTCACCAGCAACCCCAGGCGGTTCCAAGAAAACCTTTTCGGAGGGAAGTTCTTGAAAAATTTAGTAGAGTTCAACGTCACAGGAGCCCTCGGGCCTAATGGCAAATTCAATTTGGACCGTTTTTTCCAGCAGAGAGGGATGGCCATCGGCTTCAGTGAACTAGGCCAACAACTTTCACCATTGGTGCCGCAGGAGAAGTTCAACCTGAGCCAGGTGGTTGCAGACCGCTTGGGCCGCACCGTCAATTTGCAGGACAATCAGAATGCAGTCCTGTTTCTCACGTCTCTCCTCGAAGCCCCAGAGTTCTTCCCCTTTCTGACACATGTGATTTCTGTCCCAGAAACTGTTGCTGAAGATTTAGGGGATGTTGCGAGGATAGTGTTGAAATCCAAGGACTGTGTGGAGCAGGCGGAAACTCTGTTTGTACCAGCTTGTACAAAAGAGGGAAGGTATGAGGAAATACAGTGCTATGCAGGAGACTGTTGGTGTGTGAACTTGAGTGGCAGGGAAATCCCAGGGACCAGAGTACGAGGCGTGCGCCCGCGGTGCCCCACGGCATGTGAAAAGCAAAGGGAAAGCCTGCAACGCTTGCAAAGAAGCCAGCCTGCAGGTTCCGAGCTGTTTGTTCCTTCATGTACCCAGGAAGGAAAATTCCTGCCAGTCCAGTGCCATGGAAGAGATTGCTTTTGTGTTGATTCAGAAGGCAGGCGTATTCCAGGCATAGATGCAAATTCAGGATGGCCTCTGCAGTGTGAGTTATATATTTTGCATTTTCATGTGCATTGCTGCTTCTGCTTGTTCTGTGTGATGCTTTAATGTTGGCTGTAGCTGCTGGTGGTGGTTGGTATATTCCAACATACTTAAGGTCTTCAACTGAGTATTGGTTTTCCCCATCTTTCTCTCCTGGTCTGTTCCTAAGCTCACCTCTTTTGATGGCCAATGCTCAAAAAAGAGCTCCAAACCATAAGCCTCTGATGAGGAACCATTAGCCATGGCCTTGGCCAAAGAACCAACCATCATCCTAATCAAGGAATGACTGGCTGGCTAGCAGCCATAGCACAAAACCAGAATGTGATATTAGAAACCATGAAAAGCCCAGCTGAATGATACAGTCTTCACTGCCTGTCTAAAACATAGCAAGGCGGGGCTAGTCTGACTTCCCTAGCAATGGGAGTTCTACAATAGGGGTGCGGCTACCAAAAAGACCCTGCCTTCAGCACCATACGACCCAACCATGCTAGAGGGCTTGAATGCATAACAGGGGCTCCCATGACAATCACACTTACGGGAAGTTTGGGTATCTTAGTCCCAAACCATTTAGGGCTTTAAAGGTAAGAACAAACAACTGAAGTGAGCTCAGAAACAGACTGGGAGCAGGTGAAGCTGACCCAGGAGGGAGAAGACATTTTGCACTAGCTGTGCTTCCCAAACCCAAGGGACCATCTTAGAAGGGGCCTTCCCTCCTGCATTTTTGAGAGAAGGAGGGATGCTTCTTCTAAGATGATCCCCATCCTGCACAATTTCTTATCCCCTGAAAACTCTCCCTCTGTGTGTGTGTTATGGTCCTGCACTGAATAACTCCATCAAGAGGTTTTTAATTGGCTAACCTCACCAATGATGCAAGTAGACTCTTCCTGGTGGGCATGTCGTGAGCGGAGCCGGCTGGAGCCGGAGGTCAGACTAGATGGCCTGGGAGACCCCTTCTGCCTTGCTCTGTTTCTATGTTTCTATGCATGCTTAGCAACCAATGGACGTTCTTGTCCTTCAGGTCCAAGGGACTGCCAGTTAGCAGCTGGTCAGGCTGTCCTAAGAACTGTGCAGCAACTGCTCCTGGATCCTGCTGCCTTTGCTCAGCTGGCGAATGTCTACATCCCACAGTGCAGTCTGGATGGTCAGTGGAAACAGGTCCAGTGTAATGGCCCCCCTGAACAAGCCTTTGAATGGTATCAAAGGTGGATCACTCAGAACAATAATGGCAGAGATCTTTCTTTGATTGACTTGGTGGGAGTGTTGAATGACTATGAAAAGAGATCTCAGCAAAACTTTGAAGACTTTGTCAAAAACCTCTATGAAACTGGCCAACAGAATATCTTTCCAGAGCTCTCCAAATATCCTTTCTTTGACATCGTCCCTCCAGAAGTGCTGGAAGGCAAGACCACGCAAAGGTCACCAGCGAACATTTTGCTGGAACCATTCACTTTTTGGCAGCTTCTTCATGGAAATCTCATCCATTACCCTGGATCTTACAGTGGTTTTAGTAGCCCTCTAGGCCATTTTGATCTTCGCAACTGTTGGTGTGTGGATGAAAAGGGACAAATGCAAGGAAGCAAAGCCAACGTGAATGAAATTCCAGATTGTAAGTAACTCTCCTCCATCACTTGGTCTTGTACTTAAACTGTGTTATATATGTTGAGGTGTTCTATCCAAAATGTGCAGTGTGATGAACAAAATTTTTGCTAACTGCTTTTATTGAAAAAAAAGACATCTGGTTTTAGTCTGAAAGAGGTTCACCTGAAGAAGAGAAGAATAAGAGGAGACACATTGGCTGTCTCCTGATCTTCATGGTGGGAGGGTATTTGTGTGGAATCTGCTTCAGAGGCAGGACTAGAACTGATAAGCAAAAATGGGAAGGGTGCAAATTTGGGATGAACATTTAGAGAAATGTTTTCATAGCAGGAGCTGTTTGCCAGTGGAACTGGCTGCCTTGAGAGATGCTGTGCTTGCCTGCATTGGAAGTATTTAAGGGGGCGCTACGGGTTCTGTAGAAGTCCTACCTTTGAGCAGAAAGTTGGGTTGGATCCAGTGCTCTCCTGATACGTTGAATGCAAACTGCCAGCAGGGCACCTTGGTGGTTCCTTCCAATGCTAAAATTTTATGATCCTAGAATTTCTCCAGGGCAGAAGTGGTGAGCTGTACCAATGTGCAGAAGCGCACTCAATGACACTTTTCCTCCCTGTAGGTCCTGGAGAGTGTGAAGCTGCCAAGCGTGAGGCCAGGGAGTTTGCCAACCAGGTGGAGCTCCTCATTCGGGATTCCAGCACCTCCCACTTTCCTTTCGGAGAGAGCTTTTTGATGGCCAAAGTGGCCATGCTTACAGAGGATGAGCTTCTGAATAATTTTTCTCAGCCAGGCATCTTATTTTCAGAAAAGTTGCTGACGGGGAAGGATTATGCCCTCCGGCTGGCTGCACAGTCAAGTATGTTTGCAAGGGGAAATTATCCAATTTGGGCATATTCCATCTGTCTTGGAGGGAAGCCCCTTTTGATGGTACTGCCGACTCTTAATTTTTTAAGGGGGATGAAATGCATGTCAGGTACCTGCGGTATGTTGGAGGAACCTTTTCCCTCATTTGCTAGGACTTTTATTATGCAAAAGGCCCCCAGTTCGATCCCTGGAATCACCTGTTCTGGCTGGAAAAGGCCCCTCATGGAAAGCTATGGTCAGTTGAAATAAATCAGAGGAAGACAATTTGTAGCTCTTCACATATTTAGCCTCCAGCTACCATTATCCTTCACTTCTGTCTGAGCTAGCTAGGGCTGATGGGAGTTGAAGGCCAAAACATCTGGAGAGCTACATGTTACTCATAACCCAGTGTAAGCAATAGTGAGCTAGGCCTGTTACAATTTTGATGCATGGCAATTATTTGCAAATTTGGAGTCTGCTTGTCCTCGCTGCCATGCTGAACATCCATTCTTAGTCTGTATGTGCTCTTTTCCCCACTTTTAGCTTTGCATTTTTACTGGCGGAGACATTTTACATCACAGGCTTCTGCAGGGGAGGCCGTGCGCTTGGGATTTCAGCCCTACCTCCCCCAGTGTGATGGACTGGGGAACTGGGAACCTGTCCAGTGTTATGAAAGCTCAGGTAAATGATGGCCAAAAGATGGTTCTTGGAGGGTCTGTTCATGGCTGGTGACTATTGTTAATCTGTTTAGGTGAAGTATGCTGGAACAGAGGTTGCTGACTTTTGCAGCTGGCTAGCAAGAAGGGATAGAAGGCTTTAAATGTTGATACTGTCTTTCTGGATGCTTGTTTGCTCAACAAAACATAAATAAATAGATACTGCAAAAACACCAATATTATTTCATCACAGTGGGATGAACTTGTAAACTGCATTTATTCATGATTTATCTATTTTATTTCTATATCAACTTTCTGAAGCCAACTAAGATAGCTTATAGAAAATAAAATCCATGTTCCATAAAAACATAGTGAAAGGTGAAGGACCACCTTAAAAGCTGCCCCGAAACTTTCTCCCACTTGAGAAAACATTGGCAGACCTATACAGCCTCTGCGGAGCTTGCTTTCTTTGGAGCTGAGCATTGCAATATCAATTTATTTAGGAATTGAGATGGGAGGCTGAGAGGATAGCAGTCAACAGAGATGGGGCAAGTTCAATCCAATGTACTGCATTGACTCCGATTTGTAGTCTGCATCTTCCCATGGCTGTGTCACAAGGGAAGCTTCCTTGCAAGCAGCTTGGACTGTCATGAATTGACATAAGTCTTTTGTCACATGCTAGGTCACTGCTGGTGTGTGGATGAGAGAGGACGCTATATAGCCGATTCCCTGGTGACACGCTCAACAAACCGACCCCAATGTAAGTCACCTTCCTCTTCTCAAGTTTTCCTTTGTCCGTTCAGAGCGCAAAGCAGTTTGGGTGAATTGTTCATCAAACTTGGATTGAGTCAGAGCTCAGGAACTCTGAGTTCATTTTGTTTGGAACGGAGAAGGTCCCAGTTCAAACCCAGGCATCTCCAGGCAGGGCTGAGAACAACCTCAGCTTGAAGCCCTGGAGAACCACTCTCAGCTGGAGTAGAAGAAACGGAGCTAGATGGGTTGACTGTGTATGAAACAAGTTTATGTGGAATCTGCTTCAGAGGCAGGACTGAGCTAGATGGGTTGACTCAGTATGAAGCAAGTGCATAGATCCATCTACTTATACATTGAACTCGTTGCCAATGGGGAAGCTGGGTCTCGACTCAAGGCTAAAGCCCAGGCCCTTGAAGGCCAGGAAGCCCCAGATGACCATCCAGGAGAGGCAGACGGGGACAATAGCGAAGAGGGCCACTTGCAGAACCTGTGCCAGTGGGGGTGCGCTAGGGCCCACCAGCGCCGCTGCCGCTTGCCACAGCATCCTTCGCTTCAAAGCACTTTTTCCAGGGGTCATCCGGTGGGTATGTACATGGTGACAGATGCTCATTTTTATTAGTTTTATTTTTAAAGTACAATATATTCTTTTCACGACTATATTCCCAAGCTTATTCCCAAGACAATGTGTTTAGCATCAGGAGATCAGAAGCAGACTTCATTTTATTCCAGATGCTATGATTTAAGTGAGTTTAAAACACCAGACTGCATGTGCTCAGTGTATCTCTTCTTTTGCTTTTAAAATCAGGATTAACAAACTTTCTCTCATTTTTTCTTTAACATGTTGAGATTATAGGAGCAGTTCTAAAGCATGGAAGGGCAATGCAAGTGCAGAAAAGAAAAATGTTTGTTGTGTGTTTCACAATTAAATTAACACACTGGGCCATCCAAAATCTGACCCCTCCCCATCACTCCTGCATAAGACCATTACCTCCAGGGTGCAAAATTATTCCGCGCCACCACTAAGCATATGGTGAACGTTGAAATCGGAGCTATGTAACGGCTGGAAATGCTGTTGGTTGCCATTTTGCTTCTTGAGCGGCTCTGGGAGACATGTTTGCAGCTTCTTTTTTCCACCAGCCAAGTTTCACTGCGTATTTATGGGGTCTACTCACCTCTTGGCGAATGTGTTTGAAGCTGCTAAAATTCGTCCAGGGATAGTGTGTTCCATTATCTCTTGAGCCATCTGTGAGTTTGCAATGTTTGGCCGGGCTGACCTTAGCTGTTTCCATTTGGTGTTTCCAATACCTGCAACTGACAGCTAATCAGCATGGGGAACTGAGGCCTGGTTGTGCGGGCTGGAACTTGCATTACTGAGGAAGATTATTATTTTACCACAGGCCAAAAACTGTGTCAGCGCTCACAAGCAAACGCATTGATTTCTAGCTGGAAACCAAGTGGGCTGAAACAGAGCACTACTTCTGCGGACCTGTTTATTCCCTCATGCTTGCAGGCAAGTTGCTTGGGATCATAAATGTATTTGGATGATCACCAACCCTACAGATTTCCGAACACTCACATTTATTTCAAGGGGAGGAACTGGCGTTTGGTTGTGCAGCTCCAGCAATTTATGTCAGAGACCAGGAGCATGAGACTTTCTAGGTGTTGGACTGGAACACCTGCCAATCCTAGCCACCATAGCCATTGGTGAGGGATAACGTTGATGGGGACCAGCAGGCATTCACATATAACACTGGTCCTCTATTGGTTACAATGGCTGCCAGTTGAAGTCTGGGCCCAATTAAAGGTGCTGGTGATGACCGACAAAGCCCTAAATGGCTTGGGTCCTGGTTACCTGAAGGAGCACCTTCTTCCCTATGTGCCCTCCCACCCTGTGAGATTCGAGGTGGAGGTTCTGTTTCAGGAGCCTTCCTTGAGGGAGATCAGGAGGGTGACTACCTGGAGGAGGGCCTTCTCTGTGGTGGTGCCCCAATTATGGAAAGAGCTCCCCTGAGAGGCTCGCCTGGCACCAACACATCCGGTGAAAACTTTTTTTAATTTTCCTGTGTCTAGCTGGTCTTGACTTGGGTTTTATCATATTGAAGTGTTGGATGCTGTGCTTTGGTTTACTTTATTTGTTCTTCTATTGTAAGCCATCCCAAGAGGTCAGTGGTGGACGGATTAGAAAAGCTTTAAATAAATGAATGAATAATTGGACTGAACACATTAGTCCTTTCTGATTTATAGGGAAGGAGCCAAGTGGTCCCTCTGTTTGCCATTTGTGGGTTCTGAATGGGCATCAGATGGAAATTCGATGGGCTGCTTTGTGAGATGCTGAGCGTTCTTATTCTCCTTTTTGCCACAGCTGGTGCCAGATATGAAAATGCTCCTCATAGGCTACATCTTGATTTTGTGGTGTGGGGAGAATAAGGGTACCCAGCTGCCAGCAGCCATAGGGCTCTTGCCATCGCTTTCATCATGGTGGGAGGGAGACAGTTAATATTTGTAAGGTTAACTCCCCACAAAACCTTCCAATTTCAAATGCCCGTTCCTTGCTCAGCAACCTCCAAGGTTGAAGATCTAACCTCAACTTAAATACAGAACATAGTTCACATGGTTTGAATCAGGCATTTAATATTCTGCAAAGCATAAAAAAACCAAGAGCAAAGCACTCAAGCAAATACCATGATTTAAAACAAGGATCTATTTTTGTTAGTCTTGTTAAACTGTTAATATGTTTTAAAACTAGGAGGATTTTACCCTTAGGGATAAGAGGATCAGCGATTTTTGAACTCACCTAAATTCTCCAAAAATTACTTTTGAAGCTTTGTTTGGGTTGCTGCCATTTTTGTTTTTGACCTGCTTTCCTTTCTGGTTCATTCGAACAGGAAAAGTGCTTTATTTCAGAACAAAAAAGTTCACATTTCTGCATGCATTTTAAGTGTGTATTTAAAAATAAGAACCACACCCATAAACACATTTCACCAGATATCACAAATTTGGAAATCTGCAAATTTTGTTTAGGAAAAAGAGTGATCTTGCTCACATTTGGGATTGCAAACAGGTCACGTTCACACAATTTGCAAATGCAACTGGCATTCTCACAATCTCTATTTACTCTCTAGCAAAGCTGTGTCAGAATCTCTATCATGTCACCCTGACTTCTATGAGAAATCTGCTGTCCACACTTCATTGTGGTTTTATCATTGAGTCCTTGACTGGTCAAAGCTGATATAACATGTATTAGTCACACAGACAATCTAAATCTTTTCTTCCTGCCAGAGAAAATGAGAAACAGGTCTTTGATGACTGATCCCAGTATCTTTGACTCTGCAAAACTTGCCTTCCATGAGAATATCATTAGACTTAGCACATCTACGTGTGTTTGCGTCATTAGCTCTTCACCCCCTCACCCACCAAAAATATTTCCTAGAATCATAGAATTGTAGAGTTGAAAGGGGCCAAGAAGGCCATTGGATCCCTGTTGTGTGGATTCCAGACGGAGATGATGAAGTCATATTTCATTTCTCTATGGCCCAATAGCCAAAGCTATCAGAACAATATGTTATAGAGGCAAGTCCATCAGTGTAGCTTTAAAAATATGTACCTAGGGACTAATGAACTGCCATGCAAATGATCATAGAATCTTAGACTTGAAAGGAGCCAAAAAAGCAATTGGGTTCATGTAGGAAACCACCCTTCTCAGATGGCTGAGCACCTTGGTATTTGTGGTAGGGTGCTTCAAATACCAAGCAAGGTCTGAAAGCGTCTTTTGATGGCTTTGCCACATGGGTGTGAATCTGCCTGATCCTCACTTTTTGAAATACTGGTCCTTATTAATGATGATTTTGTATCAAGGTTGCAATTTTGCCATGACAAGCTATCTGCTTGCTTCTAGACTGGGGACTTTGCTGCACTACAGAAATCAGACACACAGGCCTGGTGCATGGATCCTTTCTCAGGAGAAGTCCTCCAGCAGAGTAATTTAGATTCAGATGGCAGAGCTCAGTGTAAGTGTCGATGTTTCCTTACCTCTGTGGCTTCAAACTGGCCAGTTCATGAAGGAACATTTCTGCATTAACTTGTTCACATGATGAGATGATCTTGGAAACTGTCCTCCAAGTCTTTCTGCCACTGGAAGGTGGTACCCAGGGAGAAGGCCTTCTCAGTGGTGGCTCCCCCTTTGTGCAACTCCCACCTCAAGGAGGCTGATCTGGTGACTACAGCAATGTATTTTCAGCATCAGCAAAATGCTTTTTAATTTTGTCTGCATCCTGCTTCTATGTGTATCATAGATTCTTTTAGTCCCAAGTTGGTTTTGCTACTACTTTCTTATATTTTTAGTTTTCTTTTGCTAAACTGCTTCAACATCTCTGTGTTGAAACCCAGCAGAAAAATTGGATAAATACTAGGTGTATGTACCTGCATTTTTAGATTAGATTATTGGTGTATTTTATTTTTTATAATATGCAAGTATGGTTTGAAGGAATCATTTTAGAGGCAAGGTAAGGCATAATAATTAACAAACTAATGAATAACCAAGGGTGTATCCATGCTGGGAAATGGATTGGAGTATCCTGGAAGAAGGGAAATGCCCTAGATGAAGAAAATGAAGAAAGGAGATGATGAACAGTGCAAGGAAGGAGAAGCAGGTGATTCCAGATGGTTACAGTGTTTCAGCAGCCACATGAAATGATGGGATATAAATTTAATTTAATAATAAACAGGAAATGGAATAAAACAGACTACTTTCCCATGCACTTAATTTTCCCTCTTGCATGTATCATCAATTCGATGATAAGTTCCAAAGAACAGGGACATCATGTTAATAAAATCAGAACGTTCTTAGCATACCTTCTCAAAAACCCACGCTGATGTTATTGGCTGTGAATCCTGAACATACGTGGTCGACATCTTTCTTTTACTATCTGCCTCTTCTTTTAAAAGGCCCTGGTTACTGCACGGTGCTGAAGGCTAAAGTTCTCTTACGGGAAATCGGGAGAGGTCACGTCCCCCAGTGTGAGAACGACACTGGGAACTTCTCACCTGTGCAGTGCAGCGAGGACCAGGGGAGCTGCTGGTGCGTCTTCGAGGATGGAGAGGAGGCTCCTGGGACACAGGTCCATGGGAGGATGCCCCGCTGCCAACGTGAGTCCTTTGCCCTTGGTTTAAAGCTGCCCCATCCAAGGAGCGGATGGAAAGGTGCCAGTTGGGTCCATAGGATTTTGGGAGAGAAGTCTGTTTGGAGAAATCAAAGCTTAAACAAACAAACAAAACAAAACGCTGTGTCTGAGATTGTACGTAGGGGGCTCATGTGCCCTACTTTACAGGGGAGAGTAACCTACTGATGGTTGTTTTTGTTAGTCGTGAAGTCATGCCCGACCCATCGCGACCCCCTGGGCAACACTCCTCCAGGCCTTCCTGTCCTCCACCATCCCCCGAAGTCCACCTAAGCTCACACCAACTGCTTCAGTGACTCCATCCAGCCACCTCATCCTCTGCCGCCCCCTTCTTCTTTTGCCATCTATTGTTCCCAGCATTAGGCTCTTCTCCAGGGAGTCCTTCCTTCTCATTAGGTGGCCAAAGTACTTGAGCTTCATCTTCAGGATCTGTCCTTCTAAAGAGCAGTCAGGGTTGATCTCCTCTAGGACTGACTGGTTCGATCTCCTTGCAGTTCAAGTGCCTCTGCAGAACTCCTTCCCACCACCCTGGAGACCGTTTCAGAGTTCTCTTGGTTCCTAGCAAGTGATAACCCCTTGTGTATATCTGTATAAATAGACTATGAATTCACTGGGCTAAATTCTTGGGAATTCATTCAAAGGAATTGGAATTCAACACTAGAAACATAACAGAGATCCTATGAAAGCCATAGGATGTCTAATCCCAGACTGGGATTTTCTGCAATGAATTCCAAAGTTAGATCTTGCAGTGCCCAACGCTCCATCCAAAAAGCTGGATTTTCAGATTTGGTCCAGCCAGCTTTAGCCATGTTTCCATTCCAAGATGTGTGGGGGTTTTATTTTCCTGGGAATGTTTTCCCTTCCAGTTTACTGCTGAAGCAAGCCAACAGAAAAAGGTATGGACTTTCCTGCAGTGGTGTTTGAAGATAGGAACATGGCCTGTCAACAGCGGTGACAGTCACAGTGGGAAAGAATAATAAATCCATCCCCATTATCAAAAGAGACAGTTTAAGCTGGAATTAGAGGTCTGGAATGCCCATTGTGTCCAGTGATGTTTCCAGTAAGCTAATCGGGTCCATATGAAAGTGATCCCTTCCAGGTCATTTTCAGCTTCCATCTAGCACAATGGGTAGGATCCAGCATTCCCTCATTAATGTGTGTGTCAGGGCTTTTAACGCCATGCCTATTAGTACTGGCCCTCTCCATCCTTATTCCTAGTACTGTGCCGTATTTCTCAGAGCTAGCAAATCAAATCAAATGAGACTTGATGTATCAAATCAAGAGAAATGATTTGGAAGAATTCCATGGGTAGATGGTACCCCTTCCATCTGTAGATGGTGCTGAAGGATGATTTTGAATGAGATCTGGATGGAAGCTGAGCAGGCAGCTGGACCTGATGGCCTGCTATGCCCCTTCCAGCCGTTTGATTCTGCGATTCTCCTGTCCAGCAGTGAAAAGTATTCTTGCAAAACGATTGCTAGTGCAGCTCAGGAAAACCTTTAATCTCAGCTATCTCACTGGATACCTTTCCTGTCCTTTCCTGTCCTTTCCTGTCCTTTCCTTTCCTGTCCTGTCCTGTCCTGTCCTGTCCTGTCCTTTCCACCATAAGTCAGAGATGACTTGACAACGCCTAAGAACAACTCTTTGTGTGTGTGTGGGGGGGTGGCGGGGTGGCATAGTATTTCCCATCATGTATCGCATCTGTTTAAGCAGAGATGCCAGCTTTCAGCATGGAACGCATCATGTGCTCCAGCCTGGACCAATGGCTCTTCCTAATGCTGCTGCCTTGCAAAGGTCAAAGAGATAGTCTGGCACCAGTGGGCATGAGGAGAACTGAAAGGAAAGAGTTGCACTAGAAATTATCCTGTGGTCCAAAGAATTTCTGCAGGATCCATTGGTTTCATCAGTGCAAAGCATCATCAAGCAGTTGTCTTGTATACTGTGGAGTGAAAGAGGTGACTTGAGTTGCCTTTCAAGTGGACAAGACCAGTTGTCCCTCCGCAAGAGTTGCACTGGGACACAGAAGGCACTGGGCCAATCTGTCCATTTCAGAAGAGGGAAGTATCTGGAGGAAGATGCTACCCTCCAAGTCTGAACTGGCAGGATGACCTGTTCAGGCTGGACTGTACGTGTGTGTTTTGGCATGCGCACACATGCAGCACACAAGTACTGACGCATATAGTTCTTCACTTGTACTAAGCAGGTGGGGAACCTTTTCTTAGTCATAATTATGCAAGACCGAATCACTCAGATAAGAAGCTGTTGCACATTTACTCAGAGGCAAGCAGGGCTGGATCCTCAGGGTGCAGAGATTAGGAGGCTGTGTGGATGCTTCATGGGAAAGATGGATTTTGAGCAGAGGCACAAAGATGTCTCCAAACTGAATTTTTCCATGATGGCTCCAGGTCTTTACCTAGGCTGCCTCTCTCCTGGATGGCTTGTGATTGTGTCTTTCCTATTTCCATCTGTAGCCTGCCTGTCTCACCCCCAGTGCTGAACTGGTGGAGAAGGCACGATCTTGATCTCCTCCAGCATTTTCTCCCCAGGTCCTCAGTGTCGCTTGCCTTTTGAAACCCCGGAGATAACCAACGGTGGTGCTTTTTGCGATGTGTCCCCTGAAACGCCAAAGGTTCAGCAGTGCCGAGTGATTTGCCGCCCGGGCTTCCAAGATGTCTCTTCCAGTGGGAAGATGCTGCTCTGTGATGTGGAGGCTCGACTCTGGCTGGGGGACACCCCCCATGCTCACACCTGTCAGAGTAAGTATAGCTGTGAAGACTCTGCTTGTTTGCCTGGAGCTGGCTTGTGGTTAGTAGTAATTTGTGTCTGGCCATGAGAACCCCAGGTGTGATCTTTGGGCCACTTCAAGCAAGAATGATGGGAAGGAAAACGTTTTTATTTGCTGCACCGTACCAGGCACGCAAGCGGCAGCGGTGGGAGCAAGATACCCTCTATCGTTTATGAAGCCCACTTAGCCGTTCTGTTCGGTCTCCCTTCCACTGAAGGGCTTGTCATCGTCCTTACCATCACCACCACCACCACCATCATCAGTTTTATTTCTGTACCACCCAATAGTCAAAGTTCTCTGTGTGGCTCACAGAATTTCTCAAAAATACAAAACAGAAATACAATAAAAACACAGATACAACGAAAGCATAATGTAAAATACCAACGTGCAAAAAGATTAGAATGTTTAGACATCTAAAGCAATCTCAGTAAGAGTAAACATTAATAGAACAGCCCAGATAACCCAACATAAGCCATGAAATGCCTGGGAAGAGTTTTATCCTGAAACCCAAAGGTGACAGCATTGGCACTAGGCAGGCCTCAGTGGAGTGATTATTCCAGATTCAAGGGGCTACCAGTGAGAAGGTCCGTCTCTCTGTAGCCTCTGAATCTCTCCATCATGTCTCTTTGGGGCTGAAAAGGACCGTCCAATCTCCAGGCTCCTTTGATTTTTTAATTCAGACTGTCTATCCAGTTACATTCCTATTTAGTGCTTGAACAGGCAGGGGGCGAGGATCCACCTGCTCATAGGACTCCAGTGGGGTGCTGGATGGTCACCTGGTGGACGGAATTCTGGACCAGATGGGCTCTCAGGTTCTGATGAGAGGCATCGAGGGTCAGCCTTGAGGACTGAGTACCCCAGTGCCATTTCCTTTATGATCTGAGTACCATCCAGGACACCCGGGAGGAAGGCTAGGAAACAATTACATCACAATGCCTCAACTTTTGCTATAACCATGGATAAGCCCATGCAGTTGAAAGTGTCATGAAATGAATACCTAATTGGCTGATAGCAAATTCTCTATTTTTATTGTGTTTTTAAAAAGCAATTTCTCTCCATTTCTTTTTTATCCAGTCCCACCTTAAAAGCACTGTAAGCCATTCGGCACATGTTGTAAAAGTTGCAGCTTGTCTCAAAAATCATTAACAGCAAGAAGCACCTCAAGCAAACAAAGTATCATTTCTTTCGCAAGATCATTTCTTTCACAGTTAGTATCTCTGTTTCCCCCAAGAGCAATATTGTAGAACATCAGAGAACTTAATAGGAGTTCCTTCGGATTAGGAACTATTCATGAATTGTAGTGAGAAGATAATATAATTCGCTTCAGGACTTTTTGTAAAAAATGCAGTAAATCTTAAATACTCCAGCTCTATTCTCCTAAACACACATGCCTGAAATCAAGTTCCCGTGATTTTGGTAGGATTTTCTTCCAAGTAAATGCACTTAGGATGGATTTGAGAGAGGTGCTTACTGTGAGCTGAACAGATGAACACCAGATGTTGAAACTTGGCAGTGACTGTTAGTTCACGTAATCTCTGAATTTTGTTACTTCTGAATTCTTTTCCTTGAGGCCATTGGTGCTTCAGGTTTATTGCCATCTTTAAAGCCTTGCTCACCTCCTCCTGGCATTTTGAGACAAACTTTATTTTTCTTGGAAGTATAACAACCGCAAGGAACGGGGAGAAACACTTCTGCATCTTGGCTCTTCTCAGCATGTCCTCTGCATTCATGTGCTTGGCCATCTGGGCTCGAAAAGAGGGGCTATGACCTGTGTATAACATCTGAGCATTGCCAAACAGTGGAGAATATTCATTTAATGTTTGACATCATCGGTGGTACTGCTTTTTCCTATATCGCTCCCCAACACATACACACTCTCAGCATGTATTTGCAAGGGCACTACCTCAAACGGAGCGTCGATCCATTTCACTGGAGAAGTCTCTAGACTGAATTTGGAGCCACCACCAGCTCCCTCCCTGTGCTGCGGACCCTTTGCTACTGCATCCTTGGAAAGGATAGATTAGGGTTGATTTGGTGTGTGTTCTGCTGTCTCCAGAGTCCTTACAGATTCTGGAATGGGGGCAGAAACTGAATGGCAATCTGGAAGTAAAAAGGGGGTCTTCCGAATTTTTCCAGAGCAGAAACCTACTCCAGAGCCTGTCCTTCTAATGTTGATCAATAAGCCTACAGGCTCAGCTATTGGGTGGTATAAAAATGAAATTACCAACTAAATAAATGTGTCTGGAGAGGATGAAGCATGGAAGTCGAACAAATCCTCATTTTTATAAAATGCCACTGCAACTCTTGTATTAGAAAAATATGTGATTCAAAGAAACAACTGTCTTAATTTCTATCTCCTAGTCTAGTCTTTTTGGTGGAAGATATCCATCCGTCCATCCATCCATCCATCTCCTGCATGGAATGGGAGGTTGCAAATACATTAAAATTAATAGTAAACCAAGGTTTTAAGGAGCCGTATAACAGGCCTTTCATTTTCTGGTAAAAAGGCGAGATAGAACTCTATTCATTTATTTAATTATGCCTCTTTCCTCTGGTCCACTTTCAGGCCTTCAACCATTCCAAAGTGTTCAAACTCAAGCGCAGTTTCAGCTCCTTCTTCCTCCTGGGAAGGCCTGCAGTCCAGACTACTCGGGCTTGCTAGAAGCATTCCAGGTGTTCATTCTGGATGAGATGAAGGCCCGTGGCTTTTGCCATATCCAGGTACTGGCCCTGTTAATCCATTTGAAGTAAATGGAAGCAAATATGCCTCATGGTGCCTTTGCAAAGCTTCCTGAGGCTTTGGTACACCACTGGGAAGCCGTGTTTCCTGGCTCTGTTTTGATCCTAATTCCAGTCAGTTCAGAATATCAGTCACTATCCCACCCTCTGCAAAGGTGTAGACCAACGAAGGCCACTTAACTCCAGTAAAGTGGAATTTGGTTGTCTGAAGGAGAGCTTGATTCCTACCTCCAGGTGACAACAAAGACATTTTCACTGTTGCTCCCCATGGATGTGTTCAACATGAAGGGTGAGGAGTTTTGCTCAGCCTGGTGGTCCCACTTATAATGCCAGAATGCTCTTTGTTGTGATGGAAACCATTCACCAAGGAAGAAATGAACCTTCGGACGTTGTGGAATCATTCATATTTCTTCTCTTTGCATTTGAGGTTCCACAGTTTGGGATAATTAATTCAACAAATGTGCATAGGAAAATCTGGCTCATTTGCTCAATGTAAAAAAAAAAAAAAAAAAGAAAGATTCGTATCCCAGTCATTATTTTAACAATTGCTGAGCTACATAAAGCACTTTCCAGTTGGCCAACCTTATTTTAAAAGAATGTAATAAGTTCACCATGACCATAATAACCAAGAACTTCAGAATGCTTGAGGAACATTGCTGAATCTGCCAATTTGGGGTAGAACAAATTTAGTAGCCATTTATTTTCTATATGTTCACAGAAGTTTTCAGTCCAATGGTGGGGATTATTCTAAGGAACATAGGAATAGAATAACAGCCGTTGCCTCTGTCTTCATCAGTCCTAACTGTACCATAAGATGTTCATGAGAGGAACCATGCTGGATGACTTGCCGAATAGCCAAACTATGTTTCAGGAGCCAGTTACAAAACCCAAGACAGCTGAATAGATAGCAACAGGTAGATAGGACCCACCTGTTAAAAGATCAGTCTGCTTTCTTTCAGGTGAATAACTTTGGACGTCTGGTGTCTGTTCCTCTCTGTGGAGATTCTGCTATACTAGTTGAGTGTTTGACTGCAGACCGTTTAGGGGTGAACATTACATGGAGAATGTTGCTTGAAGATCTTCCAGCAGCTTCACTTCCTGATTTAAACAACATCGGTACGGTTAGATGTTTTTCTTTGTGTGGCCCATTCTGCAGAACTTATTCTTGACCTAATCTTCTTGAAAGATCCAGGCATGTGCAAATCTGTCAGGAAAATTATGAATGCTAGAAATCCAAGAAGTGATTTTGCCTTCCCGTACCCTGAGGAGTGGAATTTCAGAAATTCCCTCTGTTTGACACTACAAAACCTGGCTTAACTATGTTGAAGGATAGAATTGTGCTTAAATGAGATTGTCAAAGACCCGGTGATCTCCAAATGCATTGGATTAAAACTCCCATCACTGGGAGGATTCCTCAGTAGTAGTTGTACATGTAGCAACAAATAAAAAACAAAACATTAATTAGGGTTTTGACATAGGCTTGGTACTCTAGCAAGAAGAATCCTCCTAAAACCAATCCATCACTGAAAAGGCTTAGAGACATACCATGAATTCCAAGGTTATGTTTCCAAGATATTAATCTCTGGATTAAGCTCCAGACCCATCAGCGCCTTTATAGTTCCATTCCGAGAAATCCTGCTTGCTTCATTTTCCGATCTGGCATTTCTTAGGCTCCCTGAGTCTGTTTGTCCTTTTCTTAATGAAGACCAAATCTAAACTTCTCCAGAAGCTGTCTCTGGATGGAATGTGGCTGCATGGTTACCAGACTGGCAATCTATTTGCTTTTCCTTCTGTGCTGAATCATGGGGGAACAGAACTTTATAAGCTTGCCCTTCCATATCCTATTCATCAAAGAACAAGCTGTTTTTAGACATGCATTCAGATTTTGTTTCAGGAGGCCCTAGACCCCCAGGAAGACTTTTTAGATCGGTTCCGTTGCTATAAAAAGAATGGCTGCAGGTTATTTATTTATTTCTCTGCCATGCCATAGTTCGAGCTAACTGGACAAGCTGTGGCAATTCAAAAAAGCAGGCAGAGAATTAAAACTAGTTGACAATAAAAATACAAATACAATAAAATGCAGCATGGAATTCCAACATGCAAGATTTCAAATCATTTAACAAACTAAAACAATTTATATCAAAATTAGAGCTGCTAGAACAACACCCATGCCCCATCACATGCCAATAAATGCACGGAAGCAGGGGGCAGTCTTAGAGAAATGTTGTTGTTAGTCGCGAAGTCGTGTCCAACCCATCGTGACCCCATGGACACCATTCCTCCAGGCCTTCCTGTCCTCCGCCATCCCCCGGAGTCCACTTAAGCTCACACCAACTGCCCCAGTGACTCCATCCAGCCACCTCATCCTCTGCCGTCCCCTTCTTCTTTTGCCATCTATTGTTCCCAGCATTAGGCTCTTCTCCAGGGAGTCCTTCCTTCTCATTAGGTGGCCAAAGTATTTGAGTTTCATCTTCACTTAGAGAAATATGAAGTCAATATTTCTTTATTTTTTAAAGACTGGACAGGATACATGTCTGCAGGTTGATTATTTTGTTGTGTGCTTTCTGTTCCTTATAGAAAAAGCAATGGTGGGGGAAAATCTCATTGGCCGCTTCGAGTTGATGATCAAGAGTCATGGCTTTGTCCTGCTCTTGGACAACAAGCAATTTCCAGCAGATGCTTCCATTCGTTTCATTGGAAATGGTGACTTCGCTTCATCTCCCCAAGCTCACCTGGGTTGTAAGAAAGGCTTCCAGAAGGTTTTAAATGCTGGAGGAGTGGCCCCAAATTCCCAAGGATGTGGTACGTGCCATCTAGGGATGTCGACCACATCTGCAAAGGACTCAAATGAGTTTGAATTTCTAAGAATCCAATCCATGGTTTTTCCCAAATTGTGGTTTTGTGAACTTTTTAGCATTATGTATAGTTATGCAAATTTACTCACGGGAAATACAATAGAAAAAACTCTACCATTCTCACATAGACTACAATGTGAAAATATGCGTATTGGGGGGCTTTGAATATTTTTCAAGGATTTGCATATTTTTGGGAGTGTGAATTTGTGCCACTCTTGAATGGGTGGAAATAGATACAAATAGATTTTCATTGATTGGGCAACAGAGCGACAGAGATCTGACAGTCTGCAACACAGAGAACCAATTTCATAGGGTCTGCACATCTGTAGTGCTGTCGGGGTTTTATCGGGTTTTCTGGTTTTGCTTTCATTAGCAGCCACTTTTAAGCAGAACTTGTAAGCGAGAGAATGTCTAGTGAGCCTGTTCATTGGCCCGTGAGTTTGCTGTTGCCCCGGCATCGTACCACTGTGATTCTCCATGTCATGGGAATGGCCAGGCTTGTTCCTTGACTAAAAACCGTTCCTTGGAAAGAGGATTCTCCTTGATCCACCCTTCACTTTTTCCACTTTAATTTTATCTCATTTCATGATGACATGACCACCTGAGTCATTGCCATGTACAAGGCTACCTTTGCATGCTAGGATGGGCAAATTATTTTTACTCTTGCTGTAGGAAGAGCTTGCACCTCTTTTGTCTAATGGTGAACAGTTGGTTGTGTGCAGAGCCCATGCTAGGTGCTCCTGATGGCTGGTATCCCCAAGCAATCACTTGGGTCAGCAGCTCTTAAATTCAGCCATGGACATGGGGACAGTGGAGCTCAGTCCCAAATCTACATGCCCAGGGCCAGCATCGGAACCAGTCATCAAGGTTCACCACTGATGCTGGCCCTGGGCCCCTCTTTAATTTTCTTGTACACAGGCCCACCATTTTAATTTCCCGGAATGACACTCATATCGCTTCAGGGCATTGTGGGAAATAAAGCGGTGGCTAGATCACGCAGTCCAGCTTTGCTCAGATTGCTTTGCACTGTGCTTTCCTGATTTTGTTACTGGAGAAGATGATCAGAGTCCAATGACTTTGCCCCATCGGGGGGCACTTGGCTCAGTCCCAAGCCTAAACCTAAGTGAGCCTTCCATGCATCAGAGACTATTCTCCCTGTGGGATCATAAGACAAGCCCACAAGTGAATAGGAGCTGGGTTGTGTGTCAACAGGAATGCTTTTGGATCACTGCCTATTTCATCAAAATTCTGAAAATTCTTTTCCACACAGAAGCGTATCCTCAACCTTTCATTTCCTTTCCAGTTCCAGGCACTTGTTGGGTTCATATCAAAGCTTTGGTTCCACTTAGCAGCTCTGAGTGTTTCCAAATCCTTAGTTTATATGAATTAGGACAACAGTCTAATCAAGTACAAATGTTACCATTTTCTGCTCTGGCAAAGGAGAATTCCTCCATTTGTGAAACTCTTTCCCTGCAGTCTCCTCCTGCCAGAGCTGGAGGCTGGAATATATTAGGCCCCTGCCTTCTCACATATAGATCATGCATTCTAGGCTTGCTGCAGTCTCCAGATGGCATATTTGGTTCAGTGTTGTGGAAAACTCCAGTTATTCCATATGGTAATACCATTGACTGTATACTTGGCTGTGTGTTGTGGTGGAAACTTCAGGAGACTGAACTTTCCAAAGTTTGCCTTCTTCGACAGCTCTTGGAATGAAATGAGGCTTTTCAGGACATGCAGTCCCAGAGATCTTGCCAGCACAAAGCTCACATATAAAATTCAGAAGCTTTGCCAGGTAGCAATGTCAGTCTCTGACGTCTGAAAATAACCTGATAATTTATTTCTCCATTCTCCACTGTCCCTTTCGTTAACATATAACAAGGAGGCAGAGCTTCAATAAGTTCTAAGATATTAAAGGAAAGGCAAATCCAATGCACAACTTCTGTGATCTCACCCATTTTGATGAGTGAACATTTTCTATGCAAAAAATGCAGTTTGGGTTGATTGTCTAAGATGTTTTCTGAAACAACACCCTGGTTGTCCCCCAGACGATGCCCTTGCTTGTTAGTTCTGTGCCTCTTTCCACAGGGACTGTGGGTCTTCTTACTGATTATATGGTCCAACCAGGCAGTGTTCATGAAGCCATCATGGTTACCTCATGGTGCTACGCAGCTCACGAGATGTGGCTATGAGGCAACATCACAAAGCCAAATCAGAGTGAAAGCAATGTTTTCTGCCATCGCTCTGAATAGGAGAATATTTTCTTCCTCTTTTGTTCTCCCCGCCCCTGCTACGTCAGTGCTGAAATGGAGGGAGGGATTTTAACAACAGATTTCTTTCATTTTCATGAAATGCTCTCTACCTTGGTAGCATCTAAGCCCTAATATGTTGTAAGGGTCCCTGTTAAATGTTGACAAGAATCTGAGAGAAAGGAATCCTAGTTTTGACATTTAGAAAATTAAGCATATGTCTACCAGGTCTGAGTCTTAAGATGTTAGCAGTTGCTGCTAGGCCTCACCTGATGGGTCCTTGGTCATAAATGTCTTTCTCAGGACTCCTGATGTATTCCCAAGAAGCCTGAATCTCCACTGATACCAGTGGGAGAATTCTTTCTCGGCTTACTTGCCATGTAGGGAGTAACTTTTAAGGGGGATTGTGTCTGTATAGGGAAGGCTAACCCTCCCCTTCACATGATAGAAACTCCCCTTAACCCCACATCACAGTTAAGCATAGAAAAAACCCCCTTCGTGTTGCATTAATGATGTTTTGCTTCCATGCTTCATCGCATGAGGTAGAGGGAAGGAAAGAGATGTAGGGGAAAGGGTAGGAAGAGACTGCAAATTATTTTAAGAATTTATTTAATTGGATGTGCTTTGGAAGATACATTCATTGCTTGGCTTTGACGTCCCTGAAATTCAAAAGAATCTAAGCCATCCTTTCTACATTTGCATACACACATGCTCACACACATTTTACGAAGGCACGTGCACATTTTGTGTTCTGTGTGCCTGAACCACAAATTTCTGAAGAACCCTAGCAGGGAGATGCACCTCTCACCAGGCTTTTCACAATTTCAATGAGTATTTCTAAGTTTTGTTGAAAAACGTCGTGTACTTTTAATTTAGATGTAAATCTTAAAGGGAATGTTACTTCTTGAGCAGTTGCTGTGTTACTAACAATTTTAGCTTAGGAATGGGGTGCTCTGGTTCAATTTATTGCAGCAACTCATTCTCAAGAACTTTTAGAACCCCAGACATCCTAATGCTGCTGCTGGGATATGTACATATGTATACATTTGTGACTCCTGAGTCTATGTAAAGTTGCATTTGGATTCCACCCAAGTAATAAGCATCCCCTTCTTTGCAGTGGTCTGTCCTCCAGGCACCTCTTTCCAGAACGAGAGCTGCATTCCATGCCCTTCTGGATTCTATCAAGACCAAGCAGGAAGCCTTCTCTGCATCCAATGTCCTCTGGGGAAGTCGACTGTCTCCACAGGAGCTTTCAGAGCTGAACACTGTAAGGATCTTGAAAAATTATGCTCTTCATCATCCCATAGATGTTGGAGAGAGACTGGTTTCCAGGCCAGGTCTTACAGCCAGGATCTGACTTCCAGGAGAGCAAGGCCTCCAGCCGCAGAGAGTCACCATCCTGATTTTTGGGGGTTCCTGCAACATCAGCTTGCCCCATTCAGCAGGGTCTCCTGACTCTCTGCATAGCATATCTGGGGAATGAGAGCGGCTGCCAGGAGAGGGAAAGGATGGGAGGCCTGCTTCTGCTAGTTCAGTTAATTCAGCATAAATCTGGATCCTCATGGGCCATTCAGGGACCCGTCTGCAGCTATAATGTGTGTCTGCATACAAGTGGAAAGCGTGTGATCATCCTTCTGTGGACAGGTGGGGGCAGAGAGGGGCAGCGTGCGGATGGAGAGGGAAGGAGTGGAGCTTGCCGCTCCACTCGACATGTTGGGCCAGTCCAGAGCTATGTGAAGGTGTGCATGGATGTGTCATCTGCAGCGACCGTCTACCTTCTTAACGGGCTCGCTAAACTATCATTGGGAAGTCGTTGGGTTGGCTAAGCTGCTAGCTGCAGTGTCCAGTAGGAAATGACTCTCTCCATATGCAGAGCCACTGAACAGAAACAAGGATCCCCCTGCAACTCATTTTGACCAATGTATTATGGTTATGTGGGCCACAACTTGTGGGATTTGTCAGACTGATTTAACTGGAATACGAAAGCCAAGAGCACATTGCGTCTGCTTTATGCTAGAGAGTTCCTTAAATTCGCCATGGTGCCAAAATAATTGGCGCATGGTTGAGACCTGCTTGAGGACAGTCACAGCGTCTTGCAGATCCTCTAGTTATGCTTCCAGCAAGCGCTTTAGGGGCCACTGTAGCTGGGATGAGAACTCCTTTCGGTCCGAGAGCTGTTTCATTTTGGAGAAGCTTTTTGAGCTTCATTCTTGTGGGAGGGAGACTGACAGCAAAGGGGCTAGGCCAGAATAACGAAATTACCTGGACACTTCAGCTTAGTGCTCTTATTGTCAGCTAGGAAGCCTTAGAAGAGGCTTTTCAACATTTTAGAACAGGAAAAACTGCACCAAGAGACTGAAAATTCAGTGGTGGGGGAAACATGGTTGGCCTTCTGGGGAACTTCTGGGAGCCAGATTGGGGCCCCAGGAAGGCTGGATTTGGTACTGTGCCTGAAGTTCTGAACCTCTGCACTATCATTTCTACAGACCATAATACAGGGTAGAAGTTGACCCTCTAGATGTTGCTAGACTGCAGATCCCATAATTCCAGACAATTGGTTAGAAAGGCTGGGACTCACGGGAACCGGAGTCTAAGAGCATCTGCAGGGCCTTAGGTCTTCCATCCCAATATAGAGAATTCACTGTATGTTCAAGGTGACAGAAAATCCCAGCTGTAGGACCGACTGGCTGAAATGTTTTGCACTTGAGAGACGAAAGCAAGCAAATAAAAATGCATCGCAAGCCTGTCTCCTTCCCATTTTCCTGCTGCAGGTGTCACGGACTGCCAAATGCAGAGCCAGGGTGTGCGGTGCGATGCAAGTGGCCAATACAGACCTGCCTATGAAGACCCTGCCACTGAAAAATCATTCTGTGTTGATCGCCTTGGGGAGATACTGGACTGGACTGAAACGGAGGGCCCACTTACGGATTCTCAGTGTTCAGGTCAGTGGACCAGACAAGCTTTCATTATATGCAAGTAAATCCTCAATTCAAGCAATGCATGCTTGAGTTCACCTTGGGGCAGATTCGGGGGACCATTGGCCAATTGGGAGCCACCTAAAAAGTAGCTCAGATGGTTGTGTCTGTTGCCCCCATCCATGTTCAAAGTTCATTTTTTCCCATGTCTCTTATTTGCCTTGGGTACAAAGAAGTAGTAAGTGTGGTTGCCTGTTAAAGAAATCCAGAAGAGGCCGGTCAAACCATTCAAGCTCTGAGTCTCAGCGGTTGTGTCTTCCTTCCTCATCCTATCTGCATTGTTCTTCTACTTCTTTACATCTAGTTGGGGATTGTGGGAATGGCTGATCTTGGAGTGGCAACCTGTGGTTGTATATGTAAGGATCTGGATACAAGCTTTTAGTAGCCACGCATGGGACCTTGGGTGGGCAAATGTCCATTTTTTATTTATCAATTGAGTATTTAAAATCTCAAGTTCCTTTTGCCCCAAATGTAGTGAAATTTCTGAACTTCAGTAAATTCTTATCAAAGCTAAACTGAAATGAAATCCCCCCCGCAGTTCTGCTTGGTGGGTGTGGAGGACAACTGTCAGAGCATCACATGACCAAGGCCCATGACGAGAGGTCCACCAGAAGGATCAGAGAGTGAGGTTTGCCTTCAGCATCTCTGCTCATGAGCATGACATCATCACCCTCGCATTGCAGTTACATCCCACCTTTTCTCCATTGGCAAGGAACCCAAGTTAGCTTGCATAGCCCTCACAGTGGTTGCCCCTGCAGAGAGCGAGAGCCTCACAGTCCTGTAGCATTTTAGCCAGTGATGCGTCTGTGGACCAGGGCTTCTTCCTCCCATCCAGTCTATGAGGATCATCTAAGGGCAGAATTTTCAGGAGAGATCACCTCCTCCAAATGTGCCTCCCAGGCCCTGACAGCATCTTGGAGCACCTTCTCTGGGGGCCGGCACCAAGAAGTGCCAATACGAGAGCAAGCGTTCTGCAGACAGCAGCCTGATGTTGGAACCCCCTCATAGAGTTATACCTTGGCTCCTTTGTTATCGTGTCCTTTTTGTTTTCCAAAGCTTTTGAGATCTGGGCACTCTAATTTGAGTAGATTTTAGATCTGCGGTGTACTTTTAGGAGTTATGCGTGAGTGTTTTTGGACTGTTCTACTTATGACTGCCGGCCTCTTCAAGTTGCTTTTTATTGCTTTATCGATCAGTATTGCGTTTTAAAGTTTTATTGCCGTAAGCCTTCCAGAGGACAGGGTTATTGGGCAGAGGACAAATATGGTACATGACAAAATGAAAGCTGTCCTAGTTGGGACATGCCACAAGAAGACAAGACTTCTTGGGGAAGAGAATAATGCCAGGGAAAGTTAAAAGCGGCAGAAGAAAAGGAAGACCAACCGTGAGTGGAATGAGCTCTGAAAAGGAAGCTGCAGGCTTGAATTTTCAGGAGCTCAGCAGGGCCAGCAAGGGCAGTGTTGGGTCCAGGGTGGAGGTTGCAAAACACCAGCCAGAGGCACCAGGATCCAGGTAACACAGGCAAGAAGTTATAAATCCAAAGAACAATCCAGTAACAAGTCCAAGCTGCAGTTTCAAACAGACCGAGGTGGGTTGTGGAAGGAAGTAAAATCCGGTAGACAAGAACATAGTCAGGAACCAGGGAGTCAACATGAGAGGGAACTGGTACCTGGGAGTAGGATGAATGACAAGGAGTGGCAAGGTGTAGCAGGCAAGGTCAGGAATCGGAGCAGGAGGAGAGCCAGGAGGGCAGAGTTCACGAGCAGGGCAGGGATTCAGGCAGCAACTAACCAAACAGCTGGAAGCAGCACAGCAAGCCAGGAGACCTTCATGCTGAGCCGAAGGCCTGTTCTTCTCTCAGGGCCTGTTCTTCTCTAGGTCTTTCCTTGGGGCTCCCAGCTAGTGCTCTTTAGGCTCAGAGGCTCCAGTGGAGCTATGGAGCCGCAGAGCAGGGCTTCACTCCTGTGCTTGGAACTCAGAGCGGTTCAGACCTTGAATGTCAGGCCGTTCTGGAGGGCATCTATTCATGGTTATCTAAAGGAGCGCCTGCGTCTGTATTTGCCCTCCCACCCCCTGAGATTGGCAGCAGAGGCCCTTCTCTGGGAGCCCTCCATGAAAGATATTAGGAGGGTGAGTACCCGGAGGAGGGCTTTCTCTGCGGTGGCGCCCAACCTATGGAATGCGTTCCCCAGAGAGGTCCGTCTGGCGCCGTCATTATTTGATTTTTGGTGCCAGGTCGAGACCTTTTTATTTAAAAGTTATTTTAATTGTTAATTGTTGATTATTTATTGGGTTTTTATATTGTGCCGAGATGTCTCCAGATTTTTTAAGGTTAATTGTATATATTGTTTTTTGTAAGCCGCCCCGACGCTCTTTGCAAATGGGGCAGCATAGAAACATTTTAAATAAACAAAGAAATGGGGTCACTATAATTTGGAGATGCCATGATGACACCGAGCAACCAAAATATAAGTAAGATCAAATATAAGGCTCTGTAAAGTGCGGCTTCCACAGACTGAAGATGGACAGATGTGATCGATCTTGGGTGTTCTTTCATTTCAGTGCTCAGACGCTTTGAAAGAGTCCCTGCTTCAAGGCTCTCCTTCACAGCAGGGGAGGTGGAGACGGTTGGCTCCAAGACCATCCAAGGAGAAGCCAAGAATGTCCTCCAGCAGTGTGCTGCAGGTGAGAGAGGGGCTTCCTGTTTCCAGTTCACCAGAGAGGACAACCCTCCATGCAAAAGCCCAGAAGCGGATTGCAGTTTTTCTTTTCCTTTCTCAGAATGCTGAAGGCAATCTGCAAGAGGCATTCGTGGCCATGGCTTATTCACTTATTCCATCTGCCCTTCCGTATTCATGGTGGAGGGTGCCGTTCAATGGGTGAAAGTCAGGAAGGCTATTCTTCCCACCAGTGATGCAGGCAGAATGACTTTGCAAACAGGATGCTGAATGAGATGGACACTTGGTCCTATCAGCCTGGTGCTCCTTATGTTTTTATGATCCAGCACGACTGTATTCACATTCTTAGCCAGTGAAGGAAGGCAAGCAGGTGGGAAGGAGATAATCAATCTGTCTGGCAAGCCCAGGGAAATTTCCTAGAACTTAAAAGAAATGTTATAGAAATGTAATAATAATAATAATAATAATAATAATAATAATAATAATAATAATAATAGGGGTTGAGGAAATTCCAGGAGGAGAAGGCTACCCATGGCTTCTAGTGCCATTAGCTAACTCCAGCATCAGGGGCAGGTCACCTACGTACACAAGTAGCTGTGGAATTTCCCGATGCTTCCTCTGTTTTTACATTAGTCATTATTTTCATAATTTCTTCAACACACAGAGACCCCATTAAACATGTCCTTTGTGAATGTAACCACAGCATGTTAAAAACTGGGAACTTGGTATACATACCAAGGGTGCCCTAGGTACTATACACCTTGGGCTTGGTTTTTAAATTGCATTAATTAATTTTAATTAAGTTAAATGTGTTTGAAGCCTGTAGTACCACCTTCAGTCACTAGGTGGAAGCCTTTCCTAGCCAGTGCATACTTTTGCTGTTCATATAATTTGAAGCCAGGGAAGATTAGTCTGAAAGACAAAATTATACAGCTGTTTCCTCTTCCATGCTGTGGGGCAGCCCCTGCTCAGGTGAATGAACCAGACAGAGCCCTTCCTCCGGAAGGGGCCATTATGACAGCTCTGTAGTTTTGCTCAAAGTCCATATAGAATAATATTTTACCACCGAGTGCTGAGACAAGAAAAAACTACACATTTTCAGGGTGTAAGATTTTTTCCCTGAGATCAGCTGCTGATTGGAGAAAAGGGTTTTTCCCTGCTGGGAGGACCGTACAGACCTGAGGAAGAAGCTGACAGGCTAGATAAGGAACTTGCATGGGCTGGAGGCTCCCCATGTCTGCCTTCGTAGCTGGTCTCTTTGCAGGTTTCCACAGTTGAGAAGAACAATCTTAGCATGTTAGCACATTTGAATATGGTGGCCCGCAAACTGGCCCCAGTCTAGTTTGAAAGAAAATGGAATTTCATTATCACTGCTATTGTCCAGTGACCCTGTAACCAAATTCCATTCCCATGAGAAATATACAAAATCAGCATGGTATACATTATATTTCAGTATTTGAATTAGAAAGTTTGCACAATCCTATTCATTCCAACAGGATTGATGGACATCTCTACATTCTGTGTAGTTTTTAAATAGAGCCATTGCAGCTGTAGGGAGCAGAGGGAGAAAAATGGCGTGGGTGACAGGTCGCCCCCTCTCCAAGTCCGCTCATGCAGGGGCTACTTTAGTCCTTTAAAAAGCCTCAGTAGATCTGTTAGTGCATCTCCTGCTATCTTGTTGGAGTGCACACTTTGTCTGTTCCAGCAAACACACATCTGCACATGCAAATTGCCCTGCAGCATCTGAAAGACTAACAGATTTATTGCGACAGAAGCTTTCATAGTCTATAACCCCCTTCCTCAGATTAGGATGGGGAAAGCTTTCTAGCTATTAGGCTTTTGCTAAGAGCAGGAAGCATCTGGCTTTAAAAAGCTGGCAGCTCCCCTTTTAATGGGCCGAAGACAATAGGTAGCTAATGCGGTTCTCATCAAACAGACACCAGCGCTCTCTGCTTGAAACACAGAAGGGTTTTCCTCCTCCAGTGGCTAAATATAGGACTTATGACACGTGTCCTTTGTACTTTCAGAGTGTGAGGAGGATGAATCGTGTGGGTTTCTCACGTTGTCTGCTGTGGGGACGGGAACACTGTGTGAGCTATACAGTGCTCGGGAGGCCAACTACAATTGCTCTGCTTCGGGACGGGTAATTACTAAGTGCCCCTGAACCTGCTGTGCTGATGAATTGGGGACTATATATTTTGGATGGGTACCTGTCCCCTTTGGCTTTTGGCAGGTATGTCCTTGGTGTATTTTAGAGAGGGTGATGCCACAGGCTAGAAACTTTCTCTCACACATGCCTTTTCTTTTCTCTCTGGCGAGCTAGTGGCCCCATTGCAGTGGCTACACCGTAAGTGGCACACTTTGGAACAGGCCAGGGCAGGGTTCAGGGCTTGTCTGTTTTCCTACCTTGGCCTTTACAGTCTCGTCAGATGCTGAAAATGCTACTGTTGGTCAATCAAAAAGCAACAAATCCCAGCCAGCTACCCAAAGTATTTTTAACTGATCAACCAACGGGTTAGTTCTGCATTTACACATCAGAGTGCCTTTCCCCACGCTCGATCTTCCCAGGCACTGCACTTAAGTGCCAATCCTCCAAGAGGCTCAGAGGGTGGCAACCGGGGGAGGGCCTTTTCTGGGGTGGCCCCCAACTTTGGAACAGCCTCCTTGCTGCAGCCTACCTGGTGCCAAATTTGCCATCTTTTCAGTGCCAGGTCAAGACAGCAGTCTATGCAGAAGCCTTTAAAGATCTCCCTGGTTATACAGACCCTGATATCCAGCGAATCATCTTCTTGCTGGGTCTTTTCATTGTATTGTAATTTTACTATATTTTAAGCTACTTTAAGTTAATTTTAATTTTTAACATTATTGTTTAATGTTATTGCATTTTATTGTTTTGTTTTATACATTGTTGTAAAACAGCCAGAGAGCTTTGGCTAGTATAGAAATGAAATAAATAGATGCTGATGATATAAAACCTGCCACTGACAGTCTTTAAATCAGGGTTGGCTGCCTCTGGGGATCTATTCCCCTCACAGTGAAATTTGGCAGTGTGAAGGCAGCTGTGGCAAAAAGGGGTCAATTTCTGTTTAACACTTTCTGGAAAGTATGATTTTGCTTCCTTTTAAAGAGAAATCACAGTGTTTCCCTTTTTGCTGCTGCACCACCTGAAAACAGCAGCCAGCTCAGTGGCCTGAGAGCAGCGGGGGCAGAGATGGGGGCTGCATGTTGCCCACCGCGGCTTTAGATGCATGTAACTTCAGTAGATCTGCAGTAGATCAGCAAGGATCTCAAGCTCCTTGTTCTGTAAGGATGTTTCACTGGAGACCACAGTATCTTATTCCTGATTATTCCTGATGGTTATGTATGGGTGTGAAAGCTGGACAGAAGACAGACAACAAGAAGGAAATGGATGATTCAAAATGGCATGCTGAAGGAGAGTTTTGTCGATATGCTGGACTGAAAGAAAGATAAATAAGTGGATCCTAGACCAAATCAACTAGAATTTGCCCTGGAAGTAAATATGACAAAACTGGGGCTGTTGTATTTTAGTCACATCACTGGAAGGCAAGACTCACTGGAGAAGACAATCATGCTAAGAAAAGTCAAAGGCAGAAGAAGAAAAGGAAGACCAAGTAGGAGTTGAGTGGATTCCATAAAGGAAGCCACAGCCCTGAGTTTGCAAGAGCTGAGCAGGGCTGTCAAGAAGAGGCCATTTTGGGGGCTTCCATTCATAGGAGATGGTTAGAGTTGGAGATGACTTGATGGCACACAACAACAATGGCAACAGTTGTTTAAAATGGGATTCTAAAACAAATCTCCTCTGCCTTAACTCATGAAGAAAGCTCCTGGGTGGTGCTGGAGGGTGATTCTGGTGTGAGAGCACCTTTAGCTTTGTGTGCTAACAATCAATTGCTATCTATGGCTGGATGGCCAGCCAGATGTCTGCAGGGAGCCCACAAGTAGGAGATGGATGCCACAACACCTTCCTGCCCAAAGCACCTGAGCAACCGGAAGAGCTTCTGGTAGCCACGTCCTCCGTGGAATTGTCCAGTCTGCCAGTTCACTGCTAGGCCACTTTTCTAGGCCTTGGACCAAAATGTCCTTCTGTGTCTTAGACCACATCCAGTAAAGTAACCCTAAAGAAACAACTTCACCTCCCTGGTCCATATCATCCAGCAATATGTTTAGAATAAATGATGGAAGTCATGTTTGCTTCAGCATCAAGGATTGATACTATGTCGTTGTTGTTTCTGTCATTTCTATACCGCCCCATAGCTGAAGCTCTCAGTGGTTTACAAACAATCCATAAATCATCAAATACAACCTACTATCATAATATCAGAGAAACATTAAAAAGTTTAAAACAGACAAAACAGAACAATAAAGAATGTCTCTGTAAAAACACCGAGGATGAGTCATCCCTTCAAGCCCCTGGGTAGGCAAATAAGTCTTTAAAAACCTCAGTGTGAAGGGACCATCTTAACCTGGCAGTGAAAAGACAACAGGTTTAGCATCAGGCAGGCTGCAGTGGGGAAGTTGTTCCCTAGATGAGGATCCACCACAAATAAAGCCCTTCCTCTTGGTACTACCTTCTAATCCTAGCTTGGAGTTGGTACTTGGAGGAAGTCCCCAGGGATTGAGTATAGTGTCCCAGTAGATCCTGGTTGGGAGAGGTGCTCCAACAGGAATTGTGGTCCCAAGCCCAATATACGAATTGGTCTAACGCTCTTCCCATAACATTAGAGCATTGTCAGGGTGTGCTCTTTTCCTACCAAAATGTACATTCTATGTGTATCTCTTTCTCTTAGGTTCGGGGTACTTGGGATAACGCAGTCACCACAACCATTGCTCAGCTGAGCTGCCTGATTAGAGTGAGAAGCCAAGACAAAGATACAGTGAGCGTGTACCTGAAAAAAGGTATGCATTACATAAGTTATTACATAACTTTCAAGCACAGTTTGATGCATGTGTAGACAGAAAAAAGCCTACAATTCCCAGCATGCCCCAGCCATTTGCTCCACCATATTTTTATCCATCTATAGTTAAGGGGGAAAGTTTCGAAAACTATATATTTACTACCTCATTTTAATGCATTTTATCTTAAAATACGTATTTCTATTTGCATTTTCATAGTTTTTTGATCCACGGACTGTATTGACAAATTGAGAGAGGCATGACAAACAAAGTATAATTTTATTCCCATACGAGGCGTGGAAGGTGAGAATCAGGTTGATTGGCCTAAAATTACAGACCAGAGCTTCCCAGCTCCAAGGTCTCAGCCTGGACTCTTCCCATAAGGACTAGCCAGGGACTGAACCAGCTTGCAATGTGCGTCCACTGCCACTAAGCCAACATCTCTTCCCTTTCCATGCAACGGTTATGCACACTGTCTTTCATTTAAGGTTGTATGGAAGTGCCATTTTTGCTTGCAAAACATGCAAGCATGTTCTGTTTTCAAGTCGCAAGGGGTTCATGAAGACATGGCCATCAAACATGTTCCAAAACTACTGAACAACTGTTTGCATTTAATCTGTGCAAATTTCCTGAATCTGTGCGCATTTCTCCTGCAGACTGAATCTGCCCTGCTTTAGGCCATGGAAAAAATGTAAACCTACCAATTATCTGTGGCACACACATCCATTCAGCACATTCTGGATGCTAGAAACAGTTCAAAGCTAACTCCTCATCGCAAGGCTTCTGGTTGTCCATCCCATGGCTTCTGTGGGAATCCCCATGGGGCAAAGTGGAAGTGTGCCTTTCCAATACAGTCGAGCAGAAATAAAGCCTCACTGCCCTTCATGAGAGACACAGCACCATCCTGGGGGTGTCCTTCAGCCTGTCTGTCTGTGGTTCTGGCAACAGTCTTCCTTCTAGGGACTCTTATTAGGTTACGGGCTGCATGTATAAAAGGGTTCCTGTCCATGCAGGTTCCTGCTCTTGATCCCATCTCTATCTCACTCTACGGCAGTCTTTCCCAGCCTGGTGATCTCCAGGACCACAACTTCCATTATCCCCATCAGCTAGGATTCCTAGAATGCTGGGGCTTGTAGTTCAGCATATATAGTTCAATATATCCAGAAGAGGCCAAGCATGACTCTATGGCTTTAGGGTTATGTCTTGGGAAGCAACATCTGGGTTAGAAGGCAGTTGGAGTCTCTCTCTTCTAACAAACATCAGTTCACACGGCAGTACTGCTTTTTGGAACATCATGTTTTCTCCCTCTCCTTCCCAGGACAAGAATTCACCACAGCTGGAGTCAAAACCTTTGAGATGACTGATTTCCAGGATGTTGTTTCTGGCGTGTACAGCAATTTGGTTTTCTCAGCAGCTGGTACATCTTTGACTGATGTTCATCTCTTCTGCCGCCAGGCCTGCAGCCAAGATGCTTGCTGTGATGGCTTTATCTTGAGCCAGATCATACTTGATGGAGGTAAATGTATTCAGACTACAGATGTGGAAGGGAAATCACATCCTTGCATGCATCCCACAGAATGGGAGCCTGGAAAACAAAGCAAAGCGGAGAAATTCAGTCTTGTTGATCCCATATCGGGTCTGATATAAAGTCCTACATGATCCAGCCTCAGGGCAGTTGGTTCCCTGTTCAGAAAAGACAGAAGATTCTCAGTTGATAGAATGACTGATTTGGAAACTGGGAATCAGTCTATTCTAGAAGGCATTACATATCCCTTGGAAAACTAGGCTTGCCTCCTTGACTGTCTTGTCTGAATTCTCAGGTGAAAGTGGCAAGGATTGTGTTTGTACAATAATGTTTAGTGATGTGATGTTTCCTGAGACAGCCTGATTTTTCAGTAGTCATCCATGCCTTAGTCACAGTGTATTTCGAATACAGCAATGATCTGTACACAGAGCTACCTTCAAAGAGTGTCCCGAAGCTTCAGTTGGTGCAAAATGTGACTAAGCAACTTCTAGTTCTTTTCTGAGGATGAAGCTGAGGCAAGAAACAGAAATTTTTTATGAACAGAGATGTGATGGTAAGAACTATGCAAGTCAGGTTTTCCACCATGTCTTAAAATTGCATGCATTTATTTCTTGGGAAAAAGCAATCAGCTGGAAGAATAATAATTCCCAGGTTATGAGTAAGGTTCAGGTTCCAGAGCAAGAAACCTGGACAGTGTGCACATCTTGGCATCACATGGTTGTAGTGCACAGCATTCCACAACCAAACATCCTGCAGGTGTTTTGGTCTGTAACTTGCATAATCTTAAGCCAGCATCTCCAACGGCAATGCTTTCTGGAAGATGCAGGGAACTGTAGTACAGTCCATCTGGAGGTTGTCCTGTTTGGGAAAGCTTTTGGGGCAGCAGAAGTAAAAACATCCACCTTTAGCTCATGCGCCGGGCAGTCAAGTCAAGAGCTTGCAAAGGCCTTCAATCTGAAGTTGAACATGGAATATAGATGGAAATCAACAATCCTGCATCAACTAGTGCAAGCCACACAGTTTAATCTGAGTGAAAAGGTCACTGAAGTGGCAGAGAAACCTTGGCTGCAAAGTCAGCGGAGTGTGAATTTTGAAGGACAATTGTGGTTGGATGAAAGTTTAGAAGACATGCTAGCGTTGACCCCATTGACATGATCACAAGGTGATCAATAAGCCACATCCCAGGGAAATTAACATAATTATCCTTGGCAGTGCGGCTTGTCTTGCCATACAGACTTGGTCAAGTAGCTGCTGTCAAGATGCCACCCAGAAGTCTTGTGTTGTTGTAGGGTTTTGCAAACTACAGCAGCAAGCCAACCTGGCTGGGTACACATGATAAGACGAGCAGTGCTGCCATGGCTAATTAGGCTAATCCGGCTAATCCCTCCATGAAATTGTGAAAGAGGCTGCGTATCTTGGCTCGCTCATCCATTCAAATGGAGGCTGCAGCCAAGAAATCAGAAGAAGACTGAAATTTGGAAGGGCAGCATTGAAGGAACTCAGAAAGACAATCAAGTATAAAGTATCAAGTTTCACCAGAGATGAAAGTCAAAATCATCTACACTATTGTATTCCTGAATACTCTGTATGGGAGAGTATTCATACTCTGTGAAAGCAAGAAAATGAAAATGATCAAAACATGGTGCTGGGGATGAACTTTGCAAATACACGGGTCTGGCAGAATGATGATCAAGTGGGTCGTAGATCAAGTCAAGCCAAACTTGCTCTGGAACCAAAATAGATGAAACTGAGGCTACTTCAGGTACATCATGAGAAGGGAAGTCTCACTGGAGAAGACAATCATGCTAAAGAAAGGCGTAGCCAGAAGAAGATGAAGACCAATCATGAGATGGGTCAATTCTGTAAAGGAAGCCTTGAACATAGAAGAGCTGAACAGGACTGGACATTTTGGAGAATTCCTAGGGTTGCCATAAGTCAGAGACAACTTGATGGCACATAATAGCAACAACTTTGTGTTGTGGGAAATAAATCACTGTGGCTTATTTTCAACTGGGTATGAACCGGGCCCTTGAGTGAGCCTCAAGTGAGAACTTCCCTTGCCACCATCAATGAGCTTTCATGGTTAGGCTGTTTCTCCGGTTAGAGTAGGGGGACTGTGATGAGGTAAGGCATTCTTCCCCAGCTGGGCACCCTTCAGATGTGCCGAACTACAACTTGCAGCATGGAGGGTACCACATCGGGGAAGGCTGCAGTAGCAGCTTTTATTTTGATGGAGAGAAAGGCTGAGAAGTATTGGGCATCGTCCCACTGCCTGAACACTCAGCCCAGACTTGTCCTATGCTGAAATGGATGGGGACAGCTCCCAAACTCTTCTTTGCAAAAGGATTTCCTTTTAGAGAGTCTTGGCAGGAGAGGGCAGAATTCCAAGAGCAGTGGCTTAATGGAGACTTAATGGAGTGGTATAATGGAGACTTTTTCCAAGATTCAGACTACCAGGACTACCCTAAGATCATATATGTGTGCCACAGAAGTCCATTCATCAATGAAATAGAACTGAAAATTTCTAAATCTGTCCTTGGCTGCATCCAGGTAATATCTTATGCGGTCTTATGAGCTACCCAGATGCATTGATCTGCCACATTAAAGACTGGGATGGAAGCTCAACACGGGAAGAGGATGGCACATGTCAAAAGATGAAGTACGATGAACAGAAGAAGCAGTCTGTCTTCCGTTTGGGAGGCCAAGTGCTCACAGGACGTAAGTAACCAATTTCCAGTGCAACACTGCGCCAGTCGTGTTGTTTGCTGCTTTTGCAGAGGGAACCATGCCAGCGTTTGTTTTTGCCGCCCAAGGCTGGACACTACTGGAACTTTCCCAGGGAGGATAAAGCTACAGTGGCTGTTGGCTATGATGGTCATATGTTCCTTCCAGAATAAGTTAGTACGTTTCTGAATCCCAGTTGCAGGGAGGCTGCTATTGCACTCATGTGGGCTTGTGGGTTTCTCATAAACATCTGGCTGCCCACTGTTCAGGCAGGATGCTGGACTAGAAAGTCTTTGGTCTGATGTTCTTATGAAACTCCCTGTCCAATGGGAGGCGGAGAGAGCATTTAGATATATACTGGATCCTTCATCCTCGATCCAGCATCAGTTTATATTCTGAACACTGCTTGATCTGTTCCCACCCTGCCCTGCTCTGACTTTGCCTCCTCGCACTGATCCAGACAAGGGTTGCTTAACTGGCCATCTTATATGTGAGAGTAAGCAATGTTTTTCTTCCTCAGCATCTGAGTTCCCAGGCAAGACTGGAAATACCTTCACCAGTTTTCAGCGTGTTTATTTATGGAGAGGTATGTGGTTGTGTTTTGGCCTTTTGCTGATAGCAGCCTGAGAGGGAGCTTACTTCTTCCTATCCTAGCAGAATGTCGTCCTCTTTTTAAAATAGTGGGGTTTACAGCAAAACGTTGCAGAGCAGAATGCTCCTGTTCAGGGTTGCCAGTTTGCAACCGTTTTTGGTTTCTTCACTCCAAAAGCATCACTTCAAAAAGGGGAAATGAATCAGCAAAGAGGGTGGATACAGATTAGCACAGGCTAATTTAAATACAGGCAGTTGGCAATTTAGAAATAATGACTATAGCTTAAACAGAAATACAGGATGTCTCACCCTAGCAGGGAAACCTGTAACCAGCTGATCTGCATGATTACTTTGTCCAGGTGCTAAGTATGGCTGGGCAACTTCAAGACCCATGCTCCTCTGGCTCTTAGCATGCTTTATATTTAAACAGGGCTTGGACTGGGCAGCCCTTCAAACAGAGGACTGTTTGAAGTAATAGCTCTGTAAAGTAGGACACACGGCCACATTAACAGGGTTCTATTATTGCCCTGTCCCCAGAAGATCGTTCCATTTTCTGTTTTCCCTGGTGACCATCTGCTCACCTGCAATGGATGATCTAGCATTCCATGCTTAGTTCTCATTGTGCTAGTACTGCATCCATGTGCCGGAGAGAAGGAGCAATAGGAGCTTGTCTTAAATTTAATGCTGTTTGCTTTGCAGATTCCGATATGATTACCCGGATAAAATCTAGTGTGTGTGATGCTGTTATTGCTCCAACAGAGATGAAAACATTGCTTGCAGGTATGCTTATAAGAAGGGAATATAGCTTTTGAATGTGAATCTTTTTTTCCCAGAAGAGTACCTAACTGTCCAGATGTTTTGCTTTTTCTTGGTGGGAAATCAAACCTGGATTAAGGAAAACAACTCCCATTCCTCTGGCAAACTTTTCACATTTTCACAATATCATAACAAATACATAAAAATGAACATTACAATTGGAATATACATATATAGCAGTCACAAAACAATCAGCCAATAAATATACACTCCTATTTTATGCATCACCATATTTATTTTCTACAAATCTAAAATCTACAACAATTGCATCAAGCACTCTGAGTCTATGACATCTTCAACTTGATTATTCCAACAGCGTAAACAAAGCTACAGTTTCTCTAGAAACTTACTTTCCTCTTCTCCTTTTCTTTATGAAATTGGTCCAGTTAAGGTACCATCCTGTCAGACTGATGCCCACTGGACAGAAGGTTCTATCAATCATACGAACCATATCCATATTAATATAATGGATCAGTACCTTTCTTTGTACTAATGCTTCATGTTGTCTGCTGTGGTTTTTTTTAATGCTGCATACAGCATCAAAGAGACGGGCAGAAGCCTACCAGGGGGAAAGTTTGTGGCCCAGCCATTTGCCTGCTCTGATTATATTTATTTGCAGAAAATCATGTGCACAGGAGAATAATCAGTCTAAAATGATACATCCTTTGATACCAGGTCTGCACAGATCCACTCCTATAAGGTGCCCTGAATAAAGCCATGGAGTTATTTGTTCGGATGGATAATTTTTGTTTTTAACACATTTCTGGCAGTGCAAGCCTATTCTTTGATCCCCCAATGGGATCAATGGTGTTTCATCCCCAGGAACGGTGCATAAGCTCACAGCCTTAATTGGTTTTTAGGGATACACACTTTGACCCAGAGTATCATTCATCCAAAGCTCCCCGCTCAGAAAGCAGCATGGAACCCTGCAGCTATAATCTTTCTGCCAAGAGAAGACTTCTATCTCAGCAGGCTGTTGGTCTGTTAGATTGGTTAATGCTCTGCCTTGCTACATTGCTTTATCTTAGGGTTTCCACCTATTCTTCCCTCCCCCAATGAGAGATGCAATTGGATTGTGTCCTTATTGCATTGATTGTGATTGCCATTAGGATCCACTTTGGGCATGGAATTCAGAGAGGTAAAATACAGTTTAAGACAAGCGAGTGAACAAGCAAAGATTAACATCTTCCTTCTGTCTTTTGGCTTCTGGTTGCTCAGCTTCTGCAATGGAATTATTTTCTCTGATGGAAAGCAGCCAGATCCAGATTGACCAAAACCGTTCCCTGCCATCCCAGGAATACTGGCTCTTGAAGCCCAGATACTCAGCCGAGCAGGCCCGTCTCTGGTGTCTTGCACGTAAGAAACTTTGGGTCACGGGAAAATATTCATTCTGCTAATTAGTCAATGCCTTAGTCATAGCCTAATCTTTGTTGAATGTTTGCAACATTCCATTGAGATATCAGGAGAGGAATATTAATCCAAAACCAACAAACAACAAAGACAACCTCTAGAATTGACGTAAAAACTTCACCATATATTTGATATTGGGTAAATGTACCAAGATAATTTATTGTAACAGACTTTGGGAAGTAAGTAGAACTAAAAGAACTAAAGTAGCATGCTGGTATTATTTTCTACAAGACCACAGCATGGGAACCAATTATCATAAATAATTATCATAATTTATCATAACTAATTAAAAATGTTGGAAGAGAGGTGTCCAGGGGTCCATAATCCACTGGTTTGCATGCAGAACACTGCAGGTGCAACCCCAGGTGTCTCCAGGTATGTCTAGGAACCAATCCTGCCCAGAGACTTGGAGAAACCCTGCCTGTGCGCTGGACTCAATGGATTGGCGGTCTGGCCTGGTATAAGGTGACTTCCTTGGGTTCATAAAGATAGTGGGTGGCAGAATCATAAAGCTGCTAGACTGTGTCTCGACAGCGGTAGGGTTATTTGGAGTCTCAGGTCTGACCTTGGAGGCTTGCTTGGGTGTTGAAGCTGGGACTTGGAGTTCGGAGCAACCTCCCACTTTGCAGCTGGCTTGGAAAGAGCCACACCTGCTGCTTCTCTGAGGCTGGGAATGTCACCTTGAAGGAGGGGTTGAGTGGATGTTCTGGGGGGCAGGGAAGGAGAAGACCTGCACGGCCCTGACGCGAGGCATTCTGGTGGTGCATCAGCCTCCTTTCCTTCTGCCCTGAGGCACCACACTTAGCTGACACTGGTCCTGGCAAGTGTTTTGCTGGATGACAGGGGCACGGAGGTCCCCTTCCTTTTGCACGTTCCCCCCTTGTGTCAGCTGCCCACAATTCTCTGAATGTATTGGCTTGTGCTCTTAGCCACTCAAATTACAATAGACAAAAGAAACAGGTATGTTGTGAATTAACTGAGTATGTGGCAAATGTAATGTTTGTTTGGATGTTTATTTACCTCTCCCCTGCCTATAATTACCACTGTTGTTATTTAACAACAAAGCAACAACCGGAACAAATAGCAAGACCGAGGTGCTTCCTATTTTTCCTAGGCTGTGCGGAAGATGAATTCTGCCAGCTGGCAGGCGTCCCCAGGGACACGACGACAGTGTTCTTTCCCTGCACCCTCTATCCAGCGGCCCAAGCCTGCGGCAGCATCATTAAGGGCATCCCTGAGAACTGCAGCGTCGTGTTACCACGGAAGCCAGAATTCCTGTATCAGAAGAGAGGTGAGTGAGGGGATGCAGCATCCTCGCCCTGGATGAATCAGCTCTGCACATTGCAGTGAAAGAGGTCACAGGGGAGGATTGGAGCCTATAATTGCAACACGCAATGGCCTAGGTCTGAAGAACTGAGCTGAAGGCAGCCCTGAGGTGGAACCAGGAGCCATGACAAGCACAGAGCCAAGAGTCAGAGGAAGCCAGAAGTGGCCAAGATTTCTTTCTGCTACTCTGGAAGCTTGCAGCTTGCAGATAAAGCCCTCCTCATCCTTCTTATTAAGGGGAGTTAATGGCCACAGCGCCTATTGCCCACACAGGGCCCAGACTTTTCCCATCACTGTGAGGGTACAGGGTAGGAAGGGGAAGAGAAGAACCTCGTGCAGTGGCTTCCGTGCTGCTATTGCCCTCAAACAGCCTTGGGATGAAGTCGCCTCACTCTTCTCTGTCCATGCTGTTTGCTTTGCAGTCTCGCTAGAGGGGAGCGTCAAGAATTTCTACACTCGCTTACCATTCCGTAAAATGTCAAGCATCTCTGTGAGAAGCAAGATGGATGTGTCTGGGAAAACCGTGTCGAATGGGTACCACTCCTTCCTGCTCACTTTTGCATGTGTGCCTCTTTGGCCTTGTCTGAACAACACAAGATTGCTCTGGTATAATTGGAAGTCTTGAAAGCATGGTGGATCCCCAGCAGCCTGTGATTCCTATTCTCTGCTGCGTCATTTATATTCATAACATATTTATTTGCTAAACAGCCACCATGAAGCCAGTCTTGCAAGGGGCTAATTCACACAAAGGCTTCAGACAAATTAGTTGGGCCTCAAGCAAGCAGAACCACCCAAGGAATTCATGGATGGATTGCGCTTGCTTCTTCATTTTCAAATATAACGTAATTTTCTTCCAGGTTTTTTGACTGTGAACGTTTCTGCGATGCTGATCCATGTTGCTCGGGCTTCGGACTTCTAAATGCTTCCCAAGGCGCAGGTATTTGTTATTCTTCATCCACACCTTCAAGGAAACGGCAGCCCTACAAATGGGTGTGGTTGTGGGCATTCACCATGTATGCAGAGTGTTGTGCAGGTGTGCACGTGTGATTCCGCAAGGTGTGTCCCCAGTAGAAAAATCGCACAACCGCTTTGGGCAATTCGGGAGCTGAGGAATGAGTATTGCGTTTTGCAGAGCTGTGCAGCTGAAGACAGGTTGTCTAGTGCGGCGGGAGCTGGAATGATCGGCGCCCCACTAGTGTGTGTACCTCAGCGGGGGACCCTCTCGCCTCCTGCAGCCCCTGGCCCCTCCGTTGTTCCTCCTCCCCCCTCTTGCACGCAGTGAGAAGCCACAGCGACCTTGATCTGCCTTGCGTTCGTTCTCTGGACACTGGTGCACAGTGGCCCCATTGGCAGAGAGCATGTCATGTGACTGGGCAGCCACGATGCCGGTGGGGAGGAGGTGGGAGCCAGGTCACATGGGCAACAGATGCTCCCATCCCAGTTCAGCCCCAGAACTAGAAATCCGACACACCCCTTTGGTGTCCCAGCCTTCCCGGCTTGCCCGCTTCGTTCCTGCCAGACAGGTCACAGCCCTTCCTATCCACCCCGCATATAGTCTGGATCCAGCCCTGCTTTCTGCTTGGCTCCTGCTTTCTCCATGCCTTCAGCATCCATCGCGCCCTTACACTCGTGCTTTTCCAGTGGCAGCCTCCTTTCTCCTGCTTCCTCTGGTCACCCTGCTTCCAGCCGGCCTCTCCTGAGCACTCCTCTCTGTGTTCTCAAAGCCCCTCCCCATCTGCACCCCCTTTCTAACTAGCACCCCTTGTCTGAGCTCCCCGCCTCTTCTGCCCTTTTTCTTAGGACCAAACTAGATGGGATGCGATCCTCAGAAGCGCACCAGGGTATTCTTGTGCTTCCTCCCCAGTTTTCATCAGAAACCTTCCCCTCCCCAGCTTCACTCTTGATTAAAGTCCCCTAACATGCTGCTAGGAGTCCCAGAAAAAGCAACCCTCCATTGATGTGAGTAGGTTTTTCCTCCTCCTCCTCCTCCTCCTCCTCCTCCATTCACCACCTATTCTGCATCCTTCCTTTGACCTACTTGATTCTGACCTTCCTAATCCTCAGCAATCCCACGGGTAGCATCCAAACTGACAGCTTTCCCTTCCCTCATAGAAACTGGCCTTCCCACTGGTTTCTTCCCCAAGCAGCTAAGCCTTCTGAGCCATCACAGCATCTTGGACAATCTGCTCAAGTTCTTCACTGCCAGAAGTACTATGGAACGCCAATCAGTTTACATGCATAGCCTGCCTCATCCAAAAAAACCTTGGGTGCTAACCTAGATCAAAATGCAGTCATAAACTATCCAGTTGGAACACCTCGTATACAACAATAACTTTGCTTTTTAGTATTTAGTATTTTATTGTCTCAATCCCTCCTTTGTTTATTATCCTAGCCCCTGCGATGTGGTATCCTATTTTATACTATGTTGGCGCATGGATAGTTTTATATTGTTGATTTTATTGCAATTGGAGCTGTATTTTTATTGTTAAAGTAGGAAGCCTCGAGACATCTATTTTATGAGGCGTTTTATTGATTTAATAAACAAATAACAAGTTTATGCCCAGTATTTCTGAGCACAACTTCTGGACCATTCCCTGCAACTTATTTCTTGCATGCATTCTTCCTGAGAGTATGTTCAGGCTGGCCAGCACCACCTGTACCCATGGCCAAGGTGCCTTAACTTGGTGTACTGCTCAATGGCACTGCTGATGGTTCTTGGGAGAGCTGGAGCTGATGACCTTATTGGCCCTTCCAACTCTGCTATTCTGTGATTCTGTAGCTGTATGGGCTCAGAGATTAACCTGTGCTTGGACCCTCCAAGCCCGCACGACGGGTAGTGCAGGAAGAACCACGCTGGCCGTGTCTCCAGGGGCAAGAGCTCAACTCCGGAGGCAGGGAAAGGGATGTTCCAGTGGGCAGGGCATGGAGGAAATGGCAAGGCCAGGGAGGAATGCAACCTTCCCGCCTGCTCCTCCTCAGCTCCCCAGCCAGCTGGTCAAAAACAGCTGTCCAGCCAAAGAAAGGAAAGCAGGGTGGAAGGAGCAGGGGAATGAAGCCCACCTCCACTGCTCCCCTCCCTCTGTGTAGGATGCTGGTAATTCTCCAAGGCTGGGTGCCTATGGCCGCCCTGGCTGGACTGCACCCTAAATCCAGACGGCTTTCAGTTGGGGTTATTGAAAATCAGCCCACAGTGGTAAAATCAAGCTTGCCCTCCCCTCCAGTCACATCCTAAGCAAAGCTCCTCTCAAGCTACACGTAATCCTTGGCAGGAAAAGAGTGCAGCTCAAAAAACCAAGCAATCCCAGCTGATGTCTCCTCAGCCTCTTCGTATTTAAAATGGATTTTTTTGTGTGATTATATCCACATATTTTCCACGTAGCTGGAGAACCAGCCTAGGAAGGTGAATGTGATCCTCTCTTTAAATTGTGCTGTTTTTGGCTTCTTTACAGATTGCGGTCTCTGTTTTGTTTTTGGGTTTGGTTTGGAAATTTACCTATGAATCGCTTTATGGTCTCCTTACAGGTGGTAAGGTATTGTGCCTGATCCTGGACAGTTTGGGTGTCCAGACCTGCAGCCAGGAGTTAAGGAACAATGACTGGCAGGTTTCGGATTGTACATCTCTGGAAGGAGAAGTCATGGCCCATCCATTTGGCTGGTACCAAAAGGCCGGTGAGTAGCAGCACTGCCGTTTTGAGTCATGCACCTGCCTGCACTTCATGACAGGAGTGTGCAAATGGGAAAGGCGGGGCCTGGCTTGCACACGAGGAGACTCCCTGCAGAGGTCTTGATTGCCTTGAGGCCTGAGGGAGAAATTCAGTTTCGTAGAAGCTCTCGGGAGCTGCCTTCCAGTGGTGGACAGGGCAACAGTACCAAAGCCCCTGGCCTGTTTTAGCATAATGGCCTTCCTGAGGGTCACAGAGGCTTAAGAGAGGCCTTTTGACTCTTGAAGAACTTAAGAGAAGCCATGCTGGGTCAGATCCAAGGTCCATGCAGCCCATCACACACACACAATGGCAAACCATCTCAGCACACAATGGCAAACCAGTCGCCCAGAGGACTGGTCGAGCAGGATGGGTGCAGGACATCCACCTGTCCAAGGTCTTCAGAAACCGGCGTGTGCAGTATGCCGTCTCTGGTAAAGGAGCGGCACACAGCCAGTGCGACTTTTAGAACGAGGCGGGAGCACGCCAAAGCGAGGAAACCACCCAACAGTGGCTCTGCAGGAAAAGGGGGCGAGGGAAGGGCGTGTGGCACGCGGGGAGAGCAAGGCTGGGAGCCCAGGTGGTCTAGCTGGGGGCTCAGGGTTAAGTTCTGCACCTGGCATTTCCCTCCTGGTTCTCCCTCTTTGTCTCAGGCCTCAGAAAACCAGACTTTTGCCATCATTGTTAGGAACAGGGCAAAAGGACCACCTTTCCTTCCCTTAAAGGAGGAACCTATTCTTGTCCCAGGGTGTCCAGGATAATTAATTTCAGAATGGGCAGGTTTGCACAAGACATTACCCCTCCCTGGGATTTGAGCTAGTTACCTTTCGTCACTGCAGGTGAAACCGTCCTGAGGGAGAACTCCCTGGGCACATTGCAAGATCCCAGAGGGAAGCAGGCTGGCGGGGGCGGAAAGCTGGCCCTTTTTGTAGAAAGGAGTCCCACCTTAAGCTCATTCCAGACGGTTCGGAGAGATTCATCGTTGGGTTTGGAGGAGGTTCAGGATCAAGGGGTGGGTCAGACCTTTGACGCTTCAAGGTTACCTCAGGAGGTTTCTCAGGCCAGGCATGAGGTGGAAGCAGGTATGAGAGCCAGTCCTTGACCAGTAAGGGGGCATCTGGAGAAATGTCCAGTTCAGCTAGAGGGGCTTTGCTGTTTCTTCCGTCTTGCTTGCTAGCTGCAAGAGTCACAATGAAGGTGCAGCCAGGATCTTTCCTTAAAGTGGAGTGGGGGGGGGGCATGGGGAAGTTTCCAGTTTGCACCCAACTCTTTACATGGGCAGAGGCTTCCCCTTCCACTTTTGGTAGAAAGCTATTTAGAGCTCAGACTGTTCTGTAATCAGCTGGATTTCAAAGAGGTGCACTTCAATGGATTGTCTTGAGAGATAGACCCAGGAGGGAGACGGGACCAGCTCGTGATGCCTTTGACCACCGACCCATGTTGCTGCTGATGGCAGCCAAGTGGGATTGCTCGTGAGCAATCCTGCTTTCCCATCTTTGGCAGGACTGCTGGGCAGGAAGCTAAAATGGGAAGTGAAGAAGGAAGGGTTTCCTTGAACTGAGCTACGTTCTCAGCTTCTCTGTCTAGCAAGATTATGTCTTAAATTTTGCAGTAGTACTCGGAGGAACTGACGGTTTTCTTTATATAACTCGACTGGTTAATTAGAATCCAACTTGTGGGTGGCTTTTTCTTTAGTGCATCTATTTTCTACATCTCCTCGTTGAACATTAAATTATATTAAGCAACAAAACTCACTTCTGTATAATGAGACAGCTTCAGGAGTTGAAGTTTGTGAAGCTTTTCTTCAGAGCGAGTGAAAAACAGCACAGGCAGATGGGTCACTGAGCTAGATTTTTAAAATTGATTCAGCGAAGATTAAATGAAGGACTCCATTTGTTTTCTACAGTGCTGTCAATATTTACATAGTAACAGTAGCAAAAGCAAACGGCAGGTCCCTGCCCCCAAGAGCTTACAGTCATTTCAGCAGTGAAAAGGAAGGGGAAATGAAACAGTACAAGCGAGGATAAGCAGTGTTAAATCTAGAGATGGTTGTGGATGCAAATACAACCTGCAGTCCAAGTTCCCCATGTCTGGAAGGGCAGTAACAACAGCAAGAATCTGGTAACAGCAAGAACAACCACAACGAATGTGTATATTTCAGAAATGTGCATGAAAGAACGTGTGTGCTTGAAAAATCCACACAGAGCATGCTTTAATCAATTGGAGGAAAATGTGTACATTCCTAAAATGCACACCGTTGATGCATACTTATGGAAATGTGCATGAAAATAGGCTTGAACTTTATGAGAAAAGGAGAAACTTGAGTTTTCCAAATTCTACTTCCTAGCTCATGTCCCTGTCATACTGTAAGCTTTGCTTTTACCTTTCCGTATCCATGAAAGCATTCATTTTACCTTTTTAGTTGTCCTTTTGCAATGCATTTATTTGCGTCGTGAATTTCACCAGAACAAAACAGAATCTAAGCAGCACATGAAAGTGCTTATAATGTTCCATTGATTACTACTTTTCCCATCCCTCTTGTAGAAGCCACCCCTCCTGTGTGCCGCCCTGTTCTTCAGCTGGGAAGGGAAGAAAACGGTAAGCAGAAAAAAATTGATCCTAGAACTTCCTTGCGCTTTTCTCCTGTATGTGCTATTCAGTGGCCAGTCTGAGGGCCATCTCTGGTCCCCATACACAGTTTGAGTGTATGGTCCATCTCCTGTAGCGTGAGTGACGGCTTTTTAACCAGCCCAAGTTCTGTGAAATGACTTGTCATAGTTTCATCACAATCCTTATATAGCACCTTCCAGGATCTTACACATCCTAGTAAGATGGCATACCAGTAGCATAAAAATGGAATCAAAGCAGGTTAACAGGTTTGCCCAGCACCGACTTTATATTCTTTTTGGCACCAGGTAAAAACCTTTTTAAGGATTGAGGAATTTTAACTTGGTTTTAATATATTTACAGGCACATTTTGGTTTTGTTTGTTTGTTATTATATATGTTTATTTATTGTTCTTAGTCTTGTAAGCCATCCTGGGATGATTTTCGTGTAGGACAGGGTAGAAATATTTTAAATAAATAAATAGATTTAAATTTTTAAAAAAGTTGTCAGGGCCTTTGGTGGGGGCACAAACAGTCCACCTTGAACGGGATAAGGCCGAGGGGTCATCTCCACCTGCTGCTCTCCCTCTCCCTTTCACAATTTCTCTTCAGGAATTCTTCCTGCAGAAGACAATAGATAAATCAATGAATATCAGAATGGGTGATCTGCTGGTCATGCAGTTCCCTTTCCCGCCTGAAGAGGTCACTGCCTCCCAGCTGGCAGGTTCATTCCCAGTTTCCCTTTCCCCGCAGACCAGAGAGTGATGGCAAAGAGGTTGGTTTCCCTGGTGCATAAGCATTTCCTTCAGCCTCCGTATCACTTCTGCTCGAGTCGTCTGTGCTTTGAGGGCGTTAGACAGCGGTGAGACTCGATGCATAAGTGAACGGGCTGCCCCAGGCCCTGCAGTCTGAGTGTTAGAGGAGAGGTCCTGAATCAGAGCAAGGACTATCTAGTCCAGCATTCTGGTCACACACAGGCCACCCAGGTGCTCACAGAAAGCCCATGGAGAGGATATGATTACTTCATCCTGAAGATAAAGTGGAGATGGGCCAAGATAGTTTGGTGCTAGAGGCAGAATAGCGAACGGTGCTTGCCCAGCTACTGGTCGGAGAGCCAGCGTGGTGCAGAGGTTAAGAGTGTGGGACTGTGTCATGAGCCAGGGTTCCCCCCGTCATACATTCAAAGGCACAGACCTTTCTTACAAAATGTTCTGTACTGACCAAAGCATTTTCTGGAAGCACGGACACCCAGAATGAATCTCTGAGCATGCACAGAGTGGTTTGTTGAACCCGATCGAGTATTTACTTCTAGGGACTCTCCTTATGAGCACGCCTGGGCCTCATCCCTCTGGGAAGGGCCCCCCTGAAAGCAAGCACACCTCCTCTCCATGCATCAGTTCTCTAATTAGGCTGCCCTCCTCTGCTGACATTGACACATGTGGCTAAGAGCCATACTCACCTCGTCTGTCTTTGCAAAACTCCCCCGCTCCCAGTGCTTCCCTCCCACTGCTAGCTATACATCTCAGTTATTCCAGAGGCCGCCTGCCCACCTGGGGAGTCTGGCCTAGAGATAGGGGTCTCCTCTTCTCTCATCTCAAGGTCTGGAACTGGCCCACATTCCTCCTCCTCTTCCTCCTCCTCTGAAGTCCAGCCAGCAGGCCTGGGAATGTGCACCAAGAGCAATGCTCATTCTCACCCCCAACAGCCTGGGACTTGGGCGATCCGGGTTCGAGTCCCCACTCAGCCACAGAGCTCACAGGGTGACTTTGGGCCAAGCACGGACTCCCAGCCCAACATGCCTCACAGGGCTGGAAGTCTGTGAGGAGGCAAAGATTTGTGGAAAACACCTCAAGTTCCTTGGCAGGAAAAAAGCAGGGTATAAATATAAGAAATAATTCAGTTCCAGTGGTGAGCTGTGCAAAAGCCACTCCCCTGCAAGTGCCCCAACATATTTTAGCTTAAAGTCAGGGCTGCTAGTCTCTGAACATGGACAAAGGCATTTTGACCCTTTGGAGTGGGGAAAACCAGCACGAGAGAAAGATCCATGAGAGGGGAAGAGGAGACTGGGCCATAGGAAAGGGGCAGGGGCTTCTCAGAAACTTCAGGGGACCAAATTTGGCCCCCAAGCCTGTGATTTTTCACCCCATGAAGTAGGTTGGCATCCAGCAGAGGCTGATCATTTCTCTTTCATCCGGCTTTGGTTTCTAGTTACCTAAATAGTCCCCAAAGCATCAGAGACTGGAGCAAGGTAAGCAGGTTCTCCTCTTGAGGTAACCTGTGGCCCAGAACAGACCCTGGGGTGTCTGAGACCTCCAATATAACTCGCCCTCCTTTAGAGCTCTTCTGAAATTCTCTTGAAAATCTTACAAGGGCAGATCATCAGGGGCACATGCTCAAATAGGTGGTGGGAAAGAGCAACGACAAGCCTGTGAACTTTTAACTAGCTTTCTGGAGAGAGAGGCTGGCCTACGTTTCTCCGCAGCTTATTTTAACATCTCGATAAACATCTGGCATGTTCACATTCTCCTCCATCCGATGCCCCGTGCTGAAACAAGCCCAGCCAAAAGAATGCAAAAGCCTTCCATTTCCCATCTGATAGCTTCTCTGTGCTAAGAAATAATAGCTCTGTGTGCAGGGAAAAGTGGCAGTCGCAGGACACATGATTATAGTTATTGAACAAGGAGGTTTTCTGGGCAGGGGAAGTGGCTCACGGTGTTGCCTTCCACCCACTCCAGCCAGACTGGCAGAAACCTGCATGCACAACACGTCCTTGAGATATACATTATTCACCATGTGCGTCCATGAGTGCTTTTGCTATGACAGCCTTGCAAACTATAAATGATACTGGCTGTGAAATCGACACACAAATACAGTTTCCTGCACCCTTCGCTTTCTTTTTTGGAAGGGCAGTTTCCCCCTCCATACTGCAAGGCAGGCCTCTTTTCAAAGCAAGGGGAATTTAAAACACATTTGGATAATAAGTTGCCTGGAAGGGCTGGCGTTTTTGTTCCCGTCTAGGTTAGGGGAGTGATGTCCAGCAATATTCAGCCATGAGAGAAAAGTACTTCCACTCATGCATGTTGGGAGACCCAGTTTCAGTGGATCACCCCAAAAGCTGCTTCTGAAGGGTCAGGAAATCTGGGATGGGGGATTTTCTTATTATTAGCCTGCAGTCTTATAGGTTCTTTGCTTGGCTTCTTAGCATATAATTAGGATATGCAGGAATAGTCCTCTCTCCTTCTCCTTCTCTTCCTCCCTCTCCTCCTCCTTGCATTGCATGTATACCCCAACTTTTCCTCTTGTGAGAAGCTCTGGTTGGCTACATCGTTCTCTGCTCCACATTTTTATCCTCACAACAACACCCTGTGGGGTAGAGTAGCCCAAGAGTAAATGGTTGGCCCCAAGTCTTCCAGTGGCCCTCAGGGCTGAGTGGCTGGAAGAACCCAAATCTCTTGGCTACTCTGTCTAGCACTCTGGCTGCTATGCCACACTGGCCCTCTGCAGACCTGGTTTGGATTAACGGAAGGGTTAACCAGTTAATCAGCTCCATAAACCACTCCCAGTTTCCAGCAACAACCTATGAATATTTATACGTGGTGTTCATGATGTCTGATCCTGGACACTTGGGGTTGTTTGTAGGCAAAACAACCCTGTCATTCCATGGGTCAGGCCTGGCTTAATTGGGCATAGTTTAACCCATGAACAACCCCATGTGCCCAGGATGTTTCTGCAAACTGTAAGTCACTTGCAAGCAGTGCACATCCTCACATGTCATGGATAAATCAACCCAGGATACGCCTCCAGATTGATTGATTTATACACCGTCCCATTCCCATAGGCTTTGGGAGGTTTACAAGAGATTACAACCGATGTCATTGTCACATCCAAAGTGGGGCTCCGTGTGAGAGCGAAAGCAGCAGCACAGAGAGGGGAAGGTCAGCCAGGGCCGGCCCGACGGCCAGAGCCCTGCGCCCTGCAAGCCGTGGCACTCAAAAATGCCCCAGAGAGGGGCAGGTGAGGAGGACATCAGGCCGAAAGGAGCAAAGTCACATTTTGTTCTTGCGGCCATGATGGGGTGATGATGCTCCAAGGAGGTTTTCCTGTTTTGCTTTTCAAAGCAGGGCTGGCAGGCGGGTTTGTTGGCACTCCAGCCAATCCGGGATTGTAAAGCAGGGGGTGGGAGCCGGCCGTGGGGAGAAGAAGAGAAGGGCTACGTGAGTATCACGCAGGGCTGCCCAAAGAGGGGGCGCAGGAAAGGGGCGAAACTACTGAGTGGGGGGGCACTGACACGCGGCCTTGGAAAGCTGTGAGTAGCAAGTCTCCACACAGCTGAAAGGGAGAACGGCAGGGTGGGGAGGGACAGAAGGTGGAAGAATGGGTCCCACCCTCCCACCTGCATGTTTGCCAGCCAGTATGGGGTGCCCATCACTCCAGGGGGCTTCTTCCTCCCTCCCCAAGCATAGGTCTTCCTCTTGTTCTTGGTGCCCTTCTCATATTCTGGTAGATAGTAAAAACCATCCTGACTGGGCAATAAAAATAGCAAAATTAATAAGATCCACAGGGCTGTAGAGAAGCAATGGAAGCGAGGACACAAGTGAGATTAATGGGTATGATCTGGCTTGAATGGGATAAGAAAACCTCTCCATCAATGTGGAAGTTGTACCAATTTGAGGCAACTGCTCATGCAGGGATACCCCCGAAGTTGCTTTCTCAAGGACGTGTGTGAACAATGTGAACAATGGCTGGAAATGGCAGGGGAGAATAGACACCCGCCTCACTGCAGAGATGTCAGAGAGGGACCTCTTCATACCGTGGTGCCTCGTGGTCTTGCTGAGCAGATGTACCTCATTAGATGGTTGGTGGTTCCATATTAGGGCCACATTAGAATTAAGTGTTGTTGCTTTTTCTGGCTTATGATACTGTGGGCTGTAGGTGTGTGTGTGTGTGTGTGTGTGTGTGTGTGTGTTGCATAGCAGGACAATGGTGGTAAGATGGAGTTGCATATTTCAATTTACTTGCATTGAGCTTGCACTATTGAAACCTAGTGTGGTAGGAAGACTTCAGTGTTGTCATGACCTTATTATGCTTACTGTCAAATATTCTTTGACAGTAACATACATATACTATTTTATGTAAAACATACAGAACGCTCACAAGTAGGTACGCTTAGTGTGGTAAGCTGATAAACAATGGTTTGTATGCACTGCTAATGCATACCTTTTTTTCCAATCACTCCACTCTAAATAGGGCTTGTGTTGGATATAACGTATAATATTTTTAAAAACTTTGTTTTTGTAGAGTCAGATTGGTAAGATCGCAATGGGATTTTCCTGAGCTTTCTGAAATAGCTGGGTTAAAGTCTCATGATTTCTTTCCTGATTTGCAATGTCAGCATTATGAATTCTTTGTTTTTACTAGAGGTTTGCTCCTGAAAAAAACCCCTTCAGTCACATAGGATCACATCAGCACCAACCTTTTATTTTTGGCCAAAACCCAGAAATTCCATCCAAAAATTAGCATTTTCACACATTTTGGGTTGTTCTGGAAGTTTCAGATTGTCATTGTAAAAGCAGTGAATGGGTGGGTCATAACAGAATAATTGGGGGGATGTAAGTGCCTCAATAGGGATGCAGTGGCACAATGAATTAAACTGCTGAGCTGCTGGGCTGGTTGATCGAAAGGTCACCGGTTCAAATCCGCACACGGTGTGAGCTCCCATACTCTGTCCCAGCTCCTGCCAACCTTGCAGTTTGAAAGCATGCAAATGCAAGTAGATAAAAAGGTGCCACTTCGGTGGGCAGGTAACAGCGTTCCGTGCACCTCGGTGTTTGGTCATGCCGGCCACATGACCACGGAGACTGTCTGCGGACAAACGCTGGCTCCCTCGGCCAGGAAACGGAGATGAGCGCCGCCCCCTAGAGTCAGGCATGACTGGACTTAATGTCAAGGGGAAACCTTTACCTTTACCTTTTTACGTGCTTCAATGGAGAAAGATAGATAGATAGATAGATAGATAGATAGATAGATAGATAGATAGATTATATGGGGTATTAAACTCTTTCAGCCAGACATCCAAATTCTGTTTTGGAGATGTGCTTGGGAGCTACATGCCACAGGTGTGAAGGGTCAAAGGCAAAGAGGCAAGATGAAAACATCCCAAATGCCCACTTATTTCCACCTTTTAGAATGGGGGAAGAGCCAAGAAAGTAAGCACACAATGACACCAAAGATTTCATAACTTGCTCAAGTTGAGAGTAAGCTCAGCTGTGAGTGCAAAATCATCCCCATGAAAAGATCTCTGAAAACTGTTGAGATGACCCAGACACATTGGCTTACAATGAAATGGAACCCAGACAAAGTTTTTCCTCTGGTTTCTCTGCTTTTAAGAGCATAACTGCTCATTTGCAGCTTTGTGTCGGGAACAAGATGTACCACTTCCACTCTGTTGGAACTCAGCAACTCAGACTAGAAAAGAGATGTGTAATTATTGTTTTGAAACATAGTTCTTAAACTATGTTCTAAAACTCCATTCTTGTTATTGCTTCCAAACTGAAAGCAAAAACATGAAATGATATAATTTGCTCCCCTTTTACCTCCCAACAATTAAAGTGTGTTTAAAAAAAATAATAAAAATACTGGGATCCACCAAAGCTGACTCAGGGTGACTGTATTAATGGATGCCCGCTAAAATGTCTTATCCATGACAGCCCTGCTCAGCTCTTTGAAATGCAAGACTGTGGCTTCCTTTATGGAGTCCTCCATCTTATATTTGTTCTTCTTTTAGTTCTGCTAAATTCAGGGTGACTTCAGTTAGACATAATCAACTAGTTCAATGTTTTCAGTAGCATGGCTTAGGGTACTTCCAAACAAGAGTTTACTATGACATCACTTTGGCTTGTTCTTGTGTAGGTTCAACATATCGGTGATGTAATATGAGGAATTCACCACTGGCAATTTTATTTTTTCTTCATGAAGAAGGAATAGTGGTGGTGACTTCCCGTCTTGACTTCTGTAACGCAGTCTACATGGGGCTACCCTTGAAGATGGTCCGGATACTTCAATTGGTTCAAAATAGAGCTGCCAGGCTGCTGACGGGGACTGGGCGTTATGTTCACATGACTCCAGTTCTCCATCAGCTTCACTAGCTTCCCATTGAAGTCCGGGCCCAATTCAAGGTGTTGGTGATGACCTATAGAGCCCTAAATGGCTTGGGTCCTGGTTACCTGAAGGAGCGCTTACATCCATATATGCCCGGCCGCCCCTTGAGATCTGCAGGAGAGGCCCTTCTCCGGGAACCCTCCGTGAAAGAAATTAGGAGGGTGGGTACTGGGAGGAGGGCTTTCTCTGCGGTGGCGCCTAAGTTATGGAATGCGCTCCCCAGAGAGGTCCGCCTGGCGCCGTCATTATTTGTTTTTCGGCGCCAGGCGAAGACCTTTTTATTTAAGCAGCATTTTAATTGTTAATATTATTGGATTTTATCTGGCCAGGGCGGCTTATTCTATATTGGTAATTTTGTATTTTTAACTTAATGTTTGTATTTTTTAATTTAATGTTATAATTATTTTTTAACTTAACGTTGTAAGCCGCCCCGAGGCTTCGGCAAATGGGGCGGCATAAAAATGTTTTAATAAATAAATAAATAAATAAATAGTCCCAATTCATACAATGTGTGTAGAGAAACCTTCTGTTAAACCCTTACAGGGTCCTGTTCTTGTATTTATATGTGGGCATGTCATGAGTGGAGCCAGCTGGAGCCAGGGGTCAGACTAGATGGCCCTGGAGGCCCCTTTTGACTCACTCTGTTTCTATGTTATACACTGAATGGAAACATCCACTTATGATAATGGCTACTTAAGGTGATTTCTTTCCAGTGATTTGCTGTGCAGAAACATGGATTGACTCAGACCACAGGAGTTACAATCTGCTTTAAAAATGGAGAAGAAGTGGTCCTCCAGGTGCTGTAGGATTCAAATTCCCATCAGCCCCAGCCACCATGGACATGGGAATTAGAGTCTTACAAGATCTGAATGGCTACAAGTTTCCTACCTGTGATCTATGGAAAAGTCTAACAAACAGTACACTTAGTTCTACTTTCCAGTAACATGAAGTTGTTTTTTTATTATTAAAAGGGAAAAAGTGTATGGGTCTAATCACTGTGTCCACATGGGAACAAACTTCAGCCTGAAGAAACTGATGTGCATTTACTGGTTCACCCAACTGGAAAAACAATTCCTCCCATTATCAGAATAAAAGCACCATTACATAAAGGATACCTTTGCTCATGTCTGGCCACTTGGATAAATGAAGTCTCTCTATAGTGTTCTGGCAAATTCAAATTAATATTCTCTGGGATTTTGCTCCTAACATTTTGCATTTTGTTTCTCAGCAACTCTGGGCAAATGGCAGCGCATGGATAGGACCTCTGTTCTCATAGATCCTTCCATTTCCACGTTTGACGTCATGCATGTCAGCAAGGATGCCTCCAGTGACTTTGCCACCATCCAAAATTTTTGCCTCTCAGGTGAGAAAGTCGCTTACCTAAATTTCAGATCGATTTTCCTCCTGCTTAACGAGATGTTGCCGAGTTGTCAAACTCACTCTTCCTCTGTGTCTGTCTTGGAAGACACCAATTTCTGCATTTCCAAATTCTTCTGGTCCTCACAGTGGATTTCTTAACTGATGTCAAGTGCCCGGATACAATTAATGTGTCTTATTGTTATTAACAAGAGCCAGTGTAGTGTAGCGATTAGACTGCTGACCCGGAATCCAGAAGATCTGGATTCTAGTCCCACTTGGGCTGACCGTGGGCCAGTCCGTGACTCTTAGCCTAACCTTCTCTCCCAGGGTTGTCATGAGGATTAGCCTGAGAGGAGGAAGAGGAGAATTATGTAAGTCACTTTGAGCCCCTTGCAGGAAAAAAGATGTCAAAGGAATGGATGGGGAGGGGTTAAGCATTCCCCCTCCTCCCACTGGGGCTCTGATCATCCCTGAAGCTTCTGTTAGCCCCGGGATGAATCCTGTCTTTAATGCCCAAGGGAACCTCTCCTCTGGGGCTAATAGAAACTTTGAGGACGTGATGCAGCCACGCTATGAAAAGTGAGAGCCTGTAAAACTGTCGTTTCAAACTGGAGGATGGCTAGTTGCCAAGCAGCAGATTTCCCACATGGGCTGGAAACAGCAGCTTGTGCAAGCAGATAATGGGAAGCAGAAACTCTAAGCTTGTTACACCAATTTTGGCCAGTTTGCTCCTGACTCTTTCTACATTTCTAGGCCCAGCCCAAGGTTCTGGTTTTAACCTATCCAGCATCATATGGCTCAGGACCACCTCTCTGGTGTTAACTCTACCCATACCTATAATCAATTTCTGAGACTCTCCTCTGCATATCTTCTGCAAGGGAGGCTTGGAGAATGGCAACAAACAAGAGGGTCTTTTCGGTGGTGGCCTCCAATCATGGAATGCTCTCCTTAGCAAGGAAGAACTGGCACCAACATCTGCCAACTCTTTGGTTCCAGTTTAGCATTTTCTTTTGTTCCCAGACATTTGATGACATGGATGTACTGTTTAGCATCACTTGAATGGTTCCCGGCTCTGACTGATGTTTTAGTAGTTTTATAGGATGATTGAATTTTAGTAGGTAATTGTTTTGTTGTTTTAAAATTTGTAGTCTTTAATCTGTAATACCTTGGGCCACTTTTGGGAAAGGTATCTAAGAAGTATGATACACATTAATAGAATAGACAGAAAATTCTATGCATATATCCATCCAGTTCTCACTTTCTTCACAGTGTGTTCAAAGAACAAATTATGCATGGTGACCACTCTTGAAGTACAACCAACTGTGATACGGTGCATATTCTACCCAGAAACACAGAGCTGCCGTCTCGGTCTCCAAAGCCACCTCTGCCGACTTTTGCTCAAGGAGCCGGCTACGTTTATCTTTCGCAAGAAAGGTAAGTATGTGGCAGGAGAGTTAATGAAACAGAATACGTGTCTTTTGCTGTCCCTACAGGACAGTCTTCCCCTCCAGATGTGCTTGGCTTCAACCCTCAGCATCCTCTCACCAGAGTTGAAGTCCAGCACATCTGGAGAGCCTCAGGTTAGGAGGCTGCTACAAAACAGCAGTGGAATATTTGGCAGAAATAAACCTGCATGGCAGGCAAGATCCTTACAGAAACAGGGCAATCCCACATCTGGGCAGAAGGACTAACACATTACAGTCTTGTTTTATTCATGTTCTTTTATTTAAGCTCTTTATAAACTGTCCTATAGTGCAGGCTCTCACAGTCCACAGTCTTACAAACAGTCCTGCTGTTGAGGCAGCCTGGTGTTTTAGGGTGGAAGCAAAATGTAAAATGCTTTCATTGCAGCTGAGATCCACTTTGGCCCACAAAAGAGGTGATGGATAAAAAGAAGAGGCCAGCTAGTGGCTTCCATCAACAGTTCTTTAGCAGAAACAGTAGGCTATTTTCTAGAAATGATACATGACAGAGATTGGCCAGTGGCAATGACGGCTAAAACTGCCTCATCCAAACTGTCAACCCAAAATGAAACCAATGTGGAGGAAACCGAAGCTTCAGTGGAACTTTTCGGGTGGAACAGGTTTGAAAAACTCCCCAGTGTTTTCCAAAAGGCTCTTATGCAAAACTAGCTTGACGGAGCAGGGGTACAGAACTTCTTAAACATCTAACTGAGGTGAGAGGTATTGATGAGTCTCAAAGCACTTTCCGAGTCTCCCCTGTAAATTTTTTGAAGATAGCTCTTGCACAAGCCTGGCAGTGCCTGTTCTTGGCCTCAGCGCTAAATTGCCCATATGGAGCATGCATGCATGCATGCTTCTTAGAAAGCTTTAAGGTGACCCTAAGAGTCTTACATGGAATAATTCATTTCCCTTCCGTTTGTGCAGATGAGTTCTTGCCCATTGGTGGAACAAATGACGCTCCCTCTGTCTCCATTCAAATGCAACGAACTTTTGGCACTTTGCGAGTCATCCAAGTGGATTCCAACTGGAAGGGCATCAGACAATTCCTTGGGGTTCCATATGCAGCACCTCCAGTGGTAGAGAAACGGTTTCATCCTCCACAGCCGTTCACTGAGGAGGCATCCTGGAATGCCACTGCAGCACGGTGAGAAGACGAGTAATCTTGTCTGCCATCAGTTTCTCGATTGCTTCTCATAAGAAAGCAAGAGCTGTCTTTCTGTATCGAATCAAAGTCCAGCAGTCTCTCTTCAGTACCAGTGGTTAGCCTGATCCCTCTGTGGGCCACAGGTGAGGTGATGGCTGGGACTCGGCTTTGCTAATGTCAGCGTGAGTCTCAGCATTTGGCAGTGTGAGGTTAGAAAACTGGGGTTGCTGTTAAAGAGCAGAAGATGGGAAGTTATTTATGATATCATAAGTACCATGAAGAGAGGGCGCAAATTGTTCCTTTCTTGGCCTCAGGCATCAAAATAATACAGGCTTTCTCTGACTAATTTTATTTATTTATTGGTTTATTTGAAAAAATGTTTCCACCACAGAACAGCATTCAAGCCAAAGACCTGGTTGAATAAAAATGATTCTGCCTACTGTCAGAAAGACAGTAGTAGGGGTTTGAAAGTCTTGGTTAAATCTAATTTTTGCAGATTGTCAGGAGTATTTCATGGCATTTTTTGCACATGGACAGAATTAGGGTTTGCACAAATGTGTTTGCAACAAGTTAGTGCAAATTTGAAAATGGACAAATTCCTCCGGAATGTGCATTTTCATGGTTTAATCTATGGGACAGATGCACTTTTCTTGTTTTTTCCCTCTTTTTGTATTTTTTTAATTGAAATTGGCAAAAAATTATGCTAAATATAAAACTTGGCAGCAAGTCCATGGGATCTGGGTGACTTAGGAAAAGCCAGTCTGCTGCGGAATCTGCAGGTTGGATTCGTGAAAATCTAAACTCATTTGGGTCTGCTGCAGATTTCTCTGACATCTGCAGACAGCAGAGAAGGAAGCAACTCTCTTGGCAGGAGCTTCTGAGCCTCAAAACAGCCACCTGGAAGACTCTTTCTCACATCCCCACCAAATGCGATGGGACCAGGAGGAGGCAATGGGACCAACGGATGTGGGCCCAAGAGAAGGGCTTCCTGGGAAGATCTCTTTTCAAGCAGCTTGGTCCCCTGTGCCAAAATGTTGATATGACTGTCTCCGAAGTGCTACTTACTCCCCTCGTGTAGGAAAATCTTAATTTATTATATTGCATGATGTGTGTGCATTTCTGGCCATTTGTTCTTACCACCTGGTAAATACATTTTCCCCCATGGATGTTGGAAGAATTCTGAATTATCCATCCCTACGTAAAGCCAAAAGCATTTCCAAAAACTGAGCATGCTTTAAGCTGCCTACTCTTATACTGTAGGAAAAAACAGCTGGTTTAATTGCAATCAGAAACTAGGAGGGTAAAGTCCAGGAGATGCTGTGCACATGTGATTATTTCTGGCCCAAGCCCGGTGTGGGACCTGAATCCAAACTGGGGAGCATGGTTTTTCCTTCAAACCTGGAATGGCCCCTTCAAGCATGGGGATACATTAATTTATTTCCATTCTTATAATAGTCAATAGCTGGAGGTCTCTCAGTTCTAAGCCGGGGTAATGATTGAAGGCACAGAGCAGCCTTCCTCCATCCAATGCTCTCCAGATGTGCTTGGTTGCAACTCTCGTGGTCGTCCTGGTGGAGGATGATAAGGGTTGTAGTCCAACAAGAGCCAAAGGGCACAGCTTGGGGAAAGCCCATTCACGACGACGCTTCGGCTTGCAGGGACGTTCCCCTAGAGGCAATCAAGCATAGCATAGCCAAGGCCCTGATTCTTCCATGCAGTGTGGATGCTGGATGGAACCCCAGTCTTCAGTGACCTGATTTCTCATCCACCTGAGCCGTGTGGGTAGAGGCGACTCAACCACATGAGCCTTGTCGCTCACCACAGGGGAGGCAGTGCCTTGTTCCTCCAGGTGCACAACAACATACAGTTGAGACCTGCAAAGTGTTGCCGCATGACACACACTTGCTTTTCCTCTTTGTTGAGCTTTTGTTGCCCTGCTCAAGAAAAGCAGTGCTGTTCAAACGTGCTGTGAACTAAAGGTGCCCTTTGTCGCTCAGGTCTGCATGCAAAGTGGCCTACAATGACCTGGTAGAAAGCTTTAAGTTGTCCAGGTAAAAGGTAAAAGCATAGCCAGGTATGCTGGCCAGGTGAAAGCGTAGCCAATCCATCATGGAAAGCTGCTTCCACGAAACAGCTGACTCCCAAGTTTTTCATGTTGAAGAAATACTCCCTCTTTTCAAAGAAACAGCATATTTCCTGCAGCATCTTAACGTGCCAAATAAATTGACTTAATGAGAGATGCATTGAGATTTCTGGACAACTGAGTTTGGGGTATTAGTATTGCAATTTTGATTGATTAGTTGGTGCCTTTGGCATACATTATGCTCCATTAAGCCAAGGCAAGGTGGTGTGTCCCTCTTCTGAGCATTTTACAAACTAAACTTAGACACTGGAGAGGAAAGTGAGGGTGGCTTTATTTCTACTTTGGGCCAGACCACATGATTAAAAGAGCCCTGCTTAAACTGGCTTCCCTTAGACTGAAGGAAAAACAATTAGCTTTCAAAAGCTTTCATTAGCATTCAAAAGCTTTGGGGCATATAGTGCAGCAGTTGATGTCTGTGCATGATTATTTTAGGAGGTCCCTGTGCTCCTTCTCCATTACAGCTTTTATTCTGAGCTTTATGGAAGGTATCTATGATCCTGCACTCCATTCACAAACTGGTTCACTCCCACGGAGCACCCTGAGCTGTCTGGCACCTGGGTGCAGAATGTCCCTTTCCTGCAAAATCTGACCTTGCTTTCTTTTACTAGTTTGAAACGCCTGGGGAGATGTGGGCTAACTTTAGCAGGCATTTAGAAGCTGTGGGGAGAAGTAATTGCAGTGCATTGTTGTTAAGTAGGGACAGTCCGTGCGTTGCGGTGGCCAAAGTGCTGGTCTGAGGACCTGGGAGCTCCAGCTTCTAGTCCCCGCTCAGCCATGGAGCCAACTGGAGCCAGACTCCCAGTTGGACCTACCTCACGGAGCTGTTGCTGTGGGGATAAGATGGAGGGCAGGGGGACGAGAATGATGCAAGATGCTTAGAGTTTCTTATAAGAAAAAAGTGGGATATAAATCGAATGAATGAAAGGTTCAATATCATTTGTGCATGCAAATAGGTTCATCTCAATCATCTTTCAAGTGCAAAGCCTTCTTTCTTTGGAGTCTAACACTAGATCCTCTTCCTCTTTTTTGTGGAGGAGAATCAGTAATACCCATTCATCCAGAGTTTTATTATATCTCTAGGGCTGGCTGCTGGCAACCTGGGGATGAGGTCAGTCCTTTCGTCAGTGAAGACTGCTTGTATTTGAACATCTTTGTCCCACTTAACTCTGTAAGTACTGAATAAGTGGAATGTTTTAGGTGGATTTGTAGGGCCTCCATGTATATGGTCCACACATTCACACATGCTCACACTGGCTCAGCTGGAACTGCTCGAGCATCGCAACAGACCCTGCCCGTGATATTCTATAAAAGCCACCCCAACCTTCTGCTGTCCAGATGTGTTGAACTATAGGTCACATCATTCCCAACCAACATAGCCTGCCATCACGGGCCCTCTATCTGGACAGCACCAGGGTTCAGGGAGCCTCATCTATAAGTATTCTAGCATCCTGCATTCTTTACTTTGCTGAATGGCTATTTCTTGGATTCCTTGCTTTTTTAGCTCAATGCCATGTATGCTTGTGATTAACTTATTTCAGGAATACTGGATGCAATTGCTCATGATTTTATTGTCTGCCTATTTAAGAAGTGGATAGAAAAGCGTGTCTAAAAATGAGCTGTGTCGAGAATGTCTCAAATCTCCTTCCCCACCTTTTGGGGTCCCTGGCCAGTATGGAACCACCATTCTAATCTCACTGCCAGTTAATCGTGGTAATGCAAAGCAACACTAAAACATTTGCAGAAGGAAGAGCACTCCAGTCCGATAATTAAAACATGCAGCACACGATCCCCAGGGCTGCTGTCAAGTCACACCCTGATGCAGGATGCCATCACGGGGGAATTTCCCTGTGCCTTTATTTTTTTAAGGCTGACAGTCTTGAGTGGAGGAATGGCACCGCGGAGTGGGGAGGGCAGAATATGCATATTTTCAAATGTTGCTTAAAGTGCCTGGATTTAATTAATTTGTTCTGAAGTCAAAACAAAACTGTTAAGACAGTGCGCCAGTTAATAGCTACATGGAATCTCCAGCCAGGTGCGCTTTCAGCTGGTTGGCATTTGGAGGGGTGCAGGGGGCTGGGGTGGTAGTGAAGGAATGGCCAGGGACTAATTGGCCATGTCTGTGATTTCTAAAGGCACAAACGAGTCTCATTTGGATGTCCCACAATCAGATTTTACAAGTGTTTTTAATTTATCCATGCTAGATACGTGAAGACCTTTGGTGGGTGGTAGAAATCTTTCCTCTTAATCCTGGAAAAAAATTGGGGAAAAGACCCCACTTTTTAATTTTTTCTCCCCTGGGAAAAATAGTTTTTTTCCCTGAATTATTCCCCCCACCCATCTTTCACACCTCTAGTCTACACTCGTGTGCTGCTGATGTTCAGGCTTCCAACTTTAAGCACAGAAGAGGTGCCAGGGAAGGGTTGGATTTCCCTAACCTAAGACATCCTCTTAAAGTTATTAGTGCCGCTGGAGCAGAAATACCAATATTTATTTGCTGGAATAGAAACTTGAGTTCTTCTCAGCTTCTTCCAATCAAAGATGTCTGGGTTAAACATTTAGAGTGTAAAATCAGTTTAGGATTTATTACTGATGTTATTCATTTCATTTCAATACCACCCAATCACTGAAGCTGGTGTTGCTTTGAATATTACTGGATCCTGTAAAAGTGTTTAGGAAGGTTCTGCTTTTGCTACAAAACTTTGGCCAAGTACTAGGGTGTAAAATAAAAATGTTGGAAGATCTGATCACAGATTTCTCTCAACTTGGGTTTTTAAAGTCCTGAAACCAGAGTTGTACTCATGGAGCTGAAGTGAGAGATAGCTTGTTGTCTGTCTGTCTCTTTTTTGTGCTGTCAATCCACACTGTCTTAGGGTGACCCCATGAATGCACAGCCTCCAGGTTTCCCATCCTTAACAGCTCAGCTCTACCATGCTGTGGCTTCCTTTATGGGCTCAGTCCTGCAGCTACTCGGTCTTCCTCTTCTTATGGCTTTGGGTTTCTCTAGCAAGCTTGTTTTCTCCAGTGAGTCATGACTGACAGCTTCAGCTTCATCATTTTTGCTTCCAGAGAAAGTTCTGGCTTGATATTAGTGTTTGTTCTTCTTTCTGTTGCCACAAGGCACTAGTAAAGCTCTTCCCCAGAGCCATGTTTTGAAGGCATCCATTCTTTTGCTGTCTGCTTTTGTCGCCCAGCTTTTACATCCATACACAGAGATGAGGGCTGGTTAGCAGTTCAAACAAATGGGGCAGCATTAAGGAATAGTTTCCAGGTTCTTCACAGTTCATTCTTGTTATGCTAGTATGGAAACTAAAGTTTATGTGTTTAATTGCTCTCCTACTGTGCCAGGGTGGAAATCTTCCAGTGCTGGTGTTCTTTCACAATGGTGTGAATGACAAGAATCAGCTGAAGAGGACAGTCCTTGATGGATCATATTTAGCTGGAGTCGGCAATATCATTGTTCTGACAGCAAATTACCGGGTTGGCGTTTTTGGCTTTCTGAGCACTGGTAAGTTGTAGCCATTGCTGAACAAGCAACTCCTTCAAGTTTGTGTACTGGAGAGCCTTTGAGCTATTGGGCACTATAGCAATGGAACAAGCAATCCAACAAACCTGTAACCAATATCAGGATGCTGCGGAAGATGGACAGAGTACAGTTTCGGTTCTTGCCTTCTTGGTGGCCATTCGCTTGGTGATGATGGACTGGAGCATCTTTCCAAGGTCTGGTGATTCTTGATGGAGCTTGTACAAGAGCTGTAGCTGTGAAATGACCAGAGGCACCAAGAGGGGGTTCCATGACTCTGCCCTTCATCCCGCTCCTCTCTTGGGCTATATGCCCTCCTCCTTCTCCCACCTGCCATAACCAGCACTGGCTTAGTTTTGTCTCTCAGTAACTCCCACTGAGCTAGCTTTTAAGCAAGTGTGTTATGAGCCTGCAGAGCCCATCAAAGGTGAGGCAGGACATATTCACTGGCATGTGTGAATGGTGTACGAATAGGTACCCCCTTCATCTCCCTTTTTGGTGATGCACTTCCTCTTTTTTTTATGACGTGCAAGAGGCCAACCTCAGGTGCCCTGTGCCATTGTAGGGCTACTTAAACTGCACCCAGGGCTCCGGGGAGGCTTCAGCACCAGAGGGCCCTTTCAAAGACTGGGACTCCAGTGGCTGCTTGAACCTGGGTGGTGGGATGGAAAGAAACGTGAATGAATGAATGAATGAATGGCAGTGTATTGGTCACTGTACAAACAGAAATCTGGACTAGAGAGAATATAATGGAAGCAGAAGTGTTCTCAAAGGCCATCATGTCCTTAGAGATGATGACCGCTTGGAGATGCGGTCACCCATCCAGCTGCAGGGCTGTGCCTTTCTAGCTTAGCAAAGGTGACTGGACATGCTAGCTCGATGTGTAGCTATGCTGGCAGATGGGCCCTTGGGCTGACCTAGCTGGGCCCTTCTTACGTTCTTATGAGCCAGCACTGCTGTACTTATGATCTTATCCAGTGAAGGGAAACAGGCTGGCAGGTGGATCAGGTAGAAATAGTTGATAGTACTAGGAAGGCCAGGAAAACTTCATGGAGGTTGCTAGGGGACTGGACAAAGGCACAGAGAAGCAGGCTGCATCAGTGACTCCTGGTCCTGATGGATATAGGCCACCTCCAGTACTGGAGGGAGGTGTATCTGTGCACCAGTTGCTGAAGCATGGCTTGGAGGGAGCAGTGGCATTTCTACCCTCTGTGCAGGTGTCCGGTGGGCAGCGGCTGGCCTGTGTGTGAACAGAGTGCCCAACTAGACGGATGCACGGCCTGATCCCAGCATGGCTTTTTTGTATTTTTATTGTTTTATATATTGTTTCTTTGTTCTTTGGAAGCTGTCCAGAGTCTTTTAGTAATGGGAGGGCATAGAAATGTGTTAAATAAATAAACAATAAATAAAATATTTTAACGGGTTGGGAGATAAATACTCAGCCTGCTCATCATCCCCAACAACTAGTTAATGTTTTCAAAAATTAGTGCACAGATTGCACTCTTTCAATTGTGTTTCTTTTCCTGCCGCACTGATGCAAAAAAAAGAAACAAAAAACAAAAAAAACCCAGAAACAAAAACCAAAACCGAAAAAGGCATGCTTTCCTGGTCAAGCTTTCTGTAGTCCAGACTCAGTCCGCTTGCCAGGGCTGTGTGAGTATGCTGTATATGCAGAAGAAGTGCCCGACCCCCACTGTGTTTTCCACACCCCTCCTCTCTGCCCACCTTTGGTCGTTGTGTCACCTTCTGTTTCAGTAAGCTTTGTGCAACATCCTGCATGTTTTTCAGAACTGTTGCATTACCCCCCCCCCCGCAATGCACCACGGTCTAATTTGTTGCAGCATATTTAGTTTAGTCAGGCTCTGGGTTATGATTATTTTCTGTCTCCTTTTGAGACCTTTGGAGAGTTTCCTCTTTTTTGCACCAGTTTCTCAGCAAATGTTATCTGCGGTCAAGTCACCTCGAGCTTAGGGTGACCCTGTGAATGAAGGCCCTCCAAAATGTTTCAGCTCTTCTAGCTGCCTTCATGAGTACAACCATCTTCCTTGTCTTCTTTTACCTTCAGTGTTCCCTAGCATGAGTGCCTACTTCAGCCACTGGAGAGATTCAAAAAGAACCTGGACAGCCCTCTGAGTGGGATGGTGTAACTTGGTGTCCTGCAACAGCAGTGGGTTGGACCTGATGGCCTTCATGGCCCCTTCCAACTCTTCTATTCTATGATTCGCACACTGTATCCAAAGAATGTCAGCCTCTGTTTTGCCAGTTTTGCTTCCAGGGAAAGTTCTGACTTGATTTGATCTCAGGCATGCTTGTTCATCTTTCTATCAGACCCAGAAAAAGTATAGTGTATAAGAACCTCCTGTTATAAAGCTGTGCAGGAACCTTTAAATTAATGAACAGAACTTGAAACATGATGGACTGCAATTCCCATCAGGCCTAGCCAAGCTAGCCAGTGGGAAGAGATAATGGAAGCTGAGGTCCAGCAGCATCTGGAGAACCACATGTTCCCCAACTCGGTTCAAGAGAATAGCAGAGGGAGCTGAAGTGTGAGATGATGTTTGCATAGCAACAGAGAAACAGAATGAGTCAGAAGGGTTCTCCCAGGCCATCTAGCCTGACCCCCGACTCCAGCCAGCTCTGTTCATGACGTGCTGTCCATGTTAGCAACATGGTCAAAAATCCCCAACCTCTGCTCCTAAAGGGAGGGTGATATTCTGCCTGGTAGAAACCAGAAAATGAGGCATAGCCCTTCATAAATGGGACTGCCAAACCTTATGAGGGGCCACAGGATTGAGGTTAGCTGTCCTCAATGCTTGTACACCTCCAGACTTGCCATCCAGTGAGGAGCTGGGGAAGCAGGGGAGTGATCTCTGCTCCTGGACAGTGGACTCCATCTAGCTGTGATACAAGGGAAGGGAAGGGAACTGTCATCAAGATACCCCACCTCCTGCTGGCCCCAGTCTCCTCCCCTCTCTGTCCCCTTTGCTTCCTCTCCAAGGTCAATTTTCCAGCCTTGGAGAAAGCGTCCAACATGGTTCTTTCCACCCTGGCTTCCAGGTGGCAGGAAGGGGATTGTAGCATAGACCTCAGATCCAAGTTGGGCCATGTTTCTGCCTTGGATCTGAGAATCTGAAGTGTCCTGTGGCCCCTGAGATGCTATCCAGGAGCCAAAGGATCATGCTTGAAATAAAATACATTTGCACAATATCTTTTGTACCAACGCTGATGCAGTTCATCATCAGTGGGAATACAGGTTTTCAGGCTTTCCCACTGCAAAAGGCAAATGTCCATAGTCTAGCGCAGTGATGGTGAACCTTTGAGAGACCAAGTGCCCAAACTGCAACCCAAAAGCCGTCGTTATTTGTTTTTCGGCGCCAGGCGAAGACCTTTTTATTTAAGCAGTATTTTAAATGTTAATATTATTGAATTTTATTTGGCCAGGGCGGCTTGTTTTATAGTGTATATTTGTATTTTATTGTATATATTTTAAAATGTTATTTTAATTTTTTGTTGTAAGCCGCCCCGAGGCTTCGGCGAATGGGGCGGCATAAAAATGTTTTAATTAATAAATAAATAAATAAATAAATATTTATCGCAAAGTGCCAACACTGCAAGAAAACCTGAAAACTGAGGTTTTAGTTTAGAAAAAACAACTCACAGCCAGTCCAAGCAAGTGTGTGTGTGTGTGTGTGTGTGTGTACTTGGCAGCTCATTGCCCAGCCATGCAAAAGCTCAGAAGAGACGCAGCTCATGACGACATTGCCTGGTGCCGCTACTCCTTTCCGAGCATGCGCATGGCCCCTCTGTGCGCTGTTATCCGATGCTCGGCTGCTGGGGCGATGCTGGGGCGACTTGGCTCGCGTGCTGACAGAGAGGGCTCTGCGTGCCCACTGTGGCACACGTGCCATAGGTTTGCCACCACTGGTCTAGAGTGTCTGTAATCATATATGTTATTTAATACCCAGCTTTTGGGACAAAATCAGCATTAAACATATGAAGCATGAGCACTAAAAAGCTGTTAAGTGGCATGCAGAAGAGAGCCAGAAGAAAACTGTCATAGGAAAAGTGTGATGAACTGTATGTGTACCATATTATTCCCACAGCAGTATTAAAATCCATCCCTTTTAAATATGTCTAAGTACTTAGTACTTCTAGTACTTCAAGTACTAAGAAGTACTTCTAAGTCTAAGGCAGACTTAGAAGCCTCAATGTGCACCGCTGCCTAAGCGTCTTGCCATGACGTACAAACCAGGCCTATGTATCCCCAACAGCTTTGAGTACCAGCAAAGCATCCTTTCTGTTCGTTCTTTTTGGTAGGTTCCAGTACAGCAAGTGGAAACTGGGGGCTTTTGGACCAGGAAGCAGTTCTCCAATGGGTACAGAAAAACATTGAGAGCTTTGGAGGAGACCCCAGCCAAATTTCTATCGCAGCCGATCGCAACGGAGCAGACATTGCCAGCATTCACCTGTTTTCCCGAGCTCTGGAGTCAGCCCTCTTCAAGAGAGCATTGCTGATGGTGAGCACTGTATATGTATTCTACTTCAAACGTATGTGAAGGATAACTTTAGCCACTGGCTATTGTTCATTTTATAACATTTTATTCAGTTATTTAAAAACAGTTTTTATACATGTCTTCAGGCTCATCGAAGGGCCATACACTGTAATACAATTTACAATGGTCTCACCATATAAATAAGTTTATATATACAAATTTGAGGAACGTGTGGGGTTGAAGATGAGATTCAGTTATCTCTGTACAAATGAAGGGATGCTAGTTCTGGGGTTGTTCTGGATCTCATATAGGCAGATCTACCATCGCGGCAGTAAATGACTGTAGCATTTCAGACCGCAGGTGAATGCTCCATTTTTTAAAAACGTCTCTACACAAAGACGGATCTCCTAACCTAGCTGACTTCCTGTGTTTTTTTCACTTAAACTGAATGTTTTATGTGGGCAGTGTTAAAAACAGGCAATTCTTCCACCTGCTGTTTGTCTTCTAGGACAATCTCTAGAGCTCGATTTAGTTGAACATGCAACTCCGCACCTTGTTCATTCTGCAGGTCCTTTGGGAGATAGACTTGGCCTGCTCATGTTTTCTGCTGATGACAGTCCATGGTCCAGACTCCCTATGTGGCCAGACCAAAGGCTTTCCGGATGATCATTTGTAAGACAGAGAGTTCAGCGTTATAATCTTCCAACTCTATAACTCAGTTTTGTAATGCTGTAAGCTTCCCAAGAGTATCCAGTATTGCCATTAGATAGTGACCCATGCTCTTGGAGGGGGACTTCTGCATTCCTCATTCAGTGAGGGTTTGGAAATCTTTTCAAACCATGAGATGAGCATTTTCTGATGCCCTCAATAGTTTGTAGGTCCTGAAAGCTCTCAGAGTTGGTCCATTCCCTTGAGTATTTAGAAACTTCAGCCTTATTCTTAGAAGACATCATTTTGTTTCCAAACTACTGGCTGAATGACCACGCTATGTATCCTTAGAGGGGAAAATATAGAATAGCTGGATGAGTTGGGAAATGTCTTTTTGAAAAACGTAATTGTTGTGTCTTCAATAGTGTCTGTAATGTGGCGCAGCAAGCATTTTTAATTGGGTTGATAGTCTACAGACATGCAGATGTTCAAATCTGAATGGCCCAATAGATGCACAATTTTTTCTGTTCCTGTGAGCACAGCCTTTCTTACAAAAACCTTGTTTTTATTTGTTTTTGTGCAAACTCCAAACCTAAACTCCAGGTCCTGTCTCTGCGGGTGTGGCCTGTCCTAGTCAGGAATAGGACGACTGTGATATTTCCAAGAGTTCAAAAAAAAAAAAAAAAAAGTTACTATTTGAACATGCAGTATTTCAGTGCCGTCATAGTTGTCTCCCGTTTTCTCATGTTCAGTCCTCGTGATACATGAAGGGTAGTTGTGATTTGTACTTGCTCCGGTATATGACAGACTGGGTTTTCTTTTTCCTGTTGCTCATATAAGAATGGTCTTCCCTGGTTAGGGCAAGGTAGGAGGTGATACTGTTCCGGAGACCGTAGCTGATGCCAGAATCCTCCATTGCAAGCATATCTTCAATTTCGTCATCATTCTCTTTTGACCTTTGAAAACAGAAAGAAGTGATTGTTGAGACAGAACACAGATGGCTCAATCTGGCAATTTTGGTTTCTCTCAGTTTCTCATATTCTTAAATCCTGGTTGTCCTATATCTTGAGAGTTTATCCAGTCCAGTTGTAGAAACTTGTGTTAAAACCTGCACATGGCAATTCATAAACACCTTTTGATTGATATGCACATTTTTGCAATGAGTTTTACTGAGCTTATGCTGAATGTTATTTTCCTCAATATATGCATGCATTGCCTGGAGAAGTCCCTAACAAAATCTGGAGAATTTTGACTTTCAATGAAATTGCTTTCATTTCAAACATGTGCAGTTAGGTAAATTTGCCTTGAAATGCCCACTGAATCAATCCCAACCGGCCACTGCCTCAGTAGGCCAGCTATTTCTGTTTCTTCGGGCACAGCTCTCTGCATGCATACAGAGAAACATGTTGCGGGGAGACGGGGAGTTTTGCAACTTTCTTCTAATTTGCAGAGAATCATGTCCTCAATTGCTCGCATTTTAGTATAATGCGAAATGGTGAGGCATGCCAAAAGTACTGTGCAGGAGACATGGAAATAAGGTTGCTGATAGGGTTGCAGAAGAAAATGTGTTTAGAGAGACTTTTCGGATAATCGAGGTCATTGCCCGACTCCACAAATTTGGTTCCTCTTCTTATGCACCTATTTCCCACTTACTGTTTAGCACATACAAGACCCTTTGCAGTTGAAACCCAATGAAGATGCTGAAGATGCATGTTCAGGGGCCACCCTTTAATTTTACCTCCTTACCAGCTGAATCCTCAGGACTTTTGGGGTGCTCAGATGTCCCAAGGGCTCCCTCAATTTTGCAATCGACGCTAAGGTAATACCACCTCAGGTTGTTGCAAAAGTCATAGAGGTTTCCATCCTGGGGTGCACATGAATCATGGCAGCCAGCATTCCTCAGCAGTCAAAATCCAAGGCTGATTTGGAAGGGGTTAATAATTTCTGTTTTGGCAGGAATGCACACAGGAATATAACCTCTTCAAAAGTTCACTCCAAACAGAGCTCTGGAGCTGTTAACTGTCAAGCTGAGAGGGAAAAGCAGGAATCCCGTTCAGTTATCAGTGCTCCCAGATGATTACATCTGGAAGATACTGGTAGAACTGATGACACCCTGTGAGCACTGAGTCTTTGCCTTCAAAAAGCAGAGGATCCCATTGTGACCTTCTCCCTGTTTACAAGGCAGGATTTCCCAGGGCTTTGCAAGATCACAGCTCGAGCCCCCCTGTGAGAAGTTTGCAGGGGTAGGGAGATGCCTAGCTACAAATTTCTGGAATGGGTTGTTGTGCAAACTTGCACAATGGGTTGGATCCAGACTTAGATGTATGTGGAACAGATGCTCTGAAGTTCATGGGTCAAAGCTGTCGTAACTAGCTGAAACTAGGGATGTGCAAGGAATCCATCTGGGCAAAAACTCCACCAGGTTCTCTCATTTCAGCTTTCCAGACTCTGGTCTGTTTTGCAGCAACCCAGAATCTGAGTTCCTGCTGCACCAGGGCTCACAGAGCACTCGCCAGAAACTGAGCCCAACACACTGCACATTCTTCACAAACAAGGTTGGCCCGTGGAATTGGTGGCTGGTGCAAAAGCCCTTTCCCCATGTGCCACTGCTGCTCGTGGCAGCAGAGAGTGGGGAAGAAGCTTGACCACTGGGAATGGCGACTGGGGAAGGTTGCTGGAGTATTCACAGACTTCCTCTGGACTTGCCTCGCTTTGCAGGAAGTCTGCGGATTCTGGAGGACAGATTCTGAAAGGTTTGTCCCAACCTTAGCTGAAACTCCATTGTAAGCATGATAGAAAATATGGCTTCAACCCACTGCCCAGACACAAAAAATACGGCTTCAACCCACTGCCCAAACATCCTCAGGCTTCTCTTCAGAACCGGACTTCTATGATTGCATGATCTCAATGCTCCATCTTTGGGGCTGACCTAACCATTCGTGAGCAAAGTAAATGGTACCTCTGCTTGTCTTTCCACGTGAAGGTTTTGTTGCGCATCACCACAGGAGGCTCTAGATCCGTTGTGTCACTGCTGATAGTGTGTTGAGTGAGGCAGGGGGTTGTGAGTATGCAGCAGAGCCCATCTGCCACCTCTGAAAAAGGAACAGGGACACCATGCATGGTCAGCCAAAGCTGTGTCTTTCCTTTGCTATTTGTTGCCTTTCTAAGTTAGCCTTCAGTTCAGTAACTCATTGGGCAGGTTGCATAGATAGATAGATAGATAGATAGATAGATAGATAGATAGATAGATAGATAGACACAATACACCCCAAAAGCAAGCTGCCCACCTTTAGATTAGGTAACAGAAACATTATTGTCCAAATCAAGGGCAATAATGCATGTTTCTCCTTTCTCATAGTACTAGGATACAATAATTCATTTAATGAAGGTGAATGGTGAAAGATTCAAGACAGACAAAAGGAAGGGGACTTTCACACAGCATAGATTTTGCTGCCACAAGATGCCATGATGGCAAACAGGTTGGATGGCATTAGGAAGAATTGGACAAGGTCAAGGAAGATGAGATTATCCATGGATACCAGGCAGGATGGATGCGTAGTGTTTCCAGTGCTGGCGGCAGTAGGATGCCATATGGCAGGAGGTGAGGAACCTCTGTAGAAGGTGCCGTGCATTCATGCCCTGGTGTGGGGTTCCTAGAGACATCTGTGGGAACTGAATGGTGGACTAGGTAGCAGAGCCCTTAAGTCCTTATGTAGCATGAAAGCAGCTGAGTTGGGCAGGTCTCAGTTCTGCTTCCAAGAAAAACAAAGGATGGGCTTTCTGTTTTCACGGCATTTCTGGATAAGTAGTCATTTGAGGAATTACATCTTTGTGAATTTTTAAATTTGTGACGTGAACTACAGATTAAATGTATAGATTGGAATTGACTTAACCACTGGCTTTCACACTTCCACCATGTTCTGATGCAGTTTCCAGACCGAACTCAATCGATCAATGATATATTTTAAAATGAGTCCAACATTTGATAGACCTTAATATCTTTAAATGCATATTTAAAATCTATATGATTTTTGTGCTTTTTTAAATGGCAATTATTTTGGAAACAGCACAGGACAGAATTTGGGTGCATGCAACAGTGGCATGGGCTAGAAAGTGCACTCCTTGCTGCTCCAGACAGTCCAGCATTTTAGTTCTGAACAGTAAATTCTAAATTGCTTTGAAGGAAATCACATTGAGTACAGGGTAGAGTTTTAATCAAATGGCTGCAGCTTTGCAGGAGATTAAATACTATAAAAAAACCCTCTAACATTCTTGCAGATACGCAGGTGACAAGAAAAATGGAAACAAATATTGTTCCTTTTTCTCCTCATATTTTTTCAATACACCAGCCATGAGAACATCACCCAGTTCCTGTTTCTGAATAGCTCCACCAATATCCAGAGTTGAATTTTCAACTAATTTGGTTTCAACTTCCTCCATTCTAAAACATCCGTTTATTTGGTGGGTTTTGTTAGTCAGGAGGGGGGGGGGGTGGATGGAAAAAAGGAAGCTCTGCAAAACAGGTTAAAACTGGCTATAGAATCAGCTGTTGCTCATCACGTGGTCTTCTATTCTTTCACATCCTCTATTGCAAATTTGCAAAAAGGAAGGCATGTTGAAATGTGTCATGGTGAAAGAAGTCATTCTGTTGTCCTCCTCCCGCTAAAATTTCTACCCACAAAAGTGGCTGACGAATGAGCATCATCGAGCCGCTATTTCTCTGGTGTGGACTTAAATAAACATGCTCCTTTTTCCTTCCTGCATAGTCACAGCTAACGCCAGATTCTGAGAAATGGTCTGTCTTTTAGGCAAATGTTGTGGCTTCACACCATTAAAAATGCATGCGAGATTGTCATTAATTTACAAATGTTAGTACTAAATTTCCTCTGCATATATTCTCCGGAAGGCTCCTTCTGAACTTCCTCCTCCCTCTTTGCCTCGAGCTGTCTTTCTTTTGCCACTTGAATTGTGGCTTCTGGTTCCAAGGGCTTCAATGCACACACATTATGCCTGGGTGCCTCCCTTGCTTCCATCTCTGCCAACATTCACGTCACATTACAGGTGGGCCATGTCCCTTCCCGCTCTCCACACACATGACTTGGTGCCTCTTTGAAAAGGCGCGCAACTGTCTCGCTGCATGAACACACGTCCAGATCAAGCAGCTGATCCTACAGCTGGGCGAAGGGGGAGATTTTTGGGGATGCTGTACCCTCACATAAAAAGTGATCCCCCCCCCCGAGGTCATTTTTGCACCCCATTGAAAAAGGTTGTGAAATGTGTCCACAGGAGAGTGCAGGCTAGTGGAAGAAAAAACTCCTCCCTGTTTCAGGGCAAAGCTGCTCTCCTCTTTTATTAATTGCTTGATGTTTACCTGCCTCCCTGCTAAGAATAATGGCTCCCAGAGTGTCTTAGAATCATAAGTGAAACTTGATTAAAACTGTAATAGAAGCATTGCATTCAAGCACAACTGACACCACGATAGCACTAGAATTTAACCAGCATCCAAGCCAACAGAATCACTTACATGCCAAAGCCCTGATTGAACGAACAGGTTTTTAGTGAACGACAGAAAACAGCAAAGTGGAAATGGGACCCGCACAACCTTGGTTGTGTGTCCTACGTTTTGGGAGTGGCTGCAGAGAAGCTCCTCTTTCCAGGGAGACTTCACAGTCCTCAAAAGCCAATTCTTCACCTTCGAAATGTCTGTTTTCTTAACTTGTGCAGTATTAGCCCTCGTGCAGCTATCTGCTTGTCCAACACTTTTTTCTTTTCAGCGCCAGGTAAAAACCTTTTTATTCTCCTATTGTTTTCTTTGTTATTTGGTCTTAATTGTGGTTTTATATTTATCACTGGATGCAGTACCCCTTTTTACCTTTTTATTTTATTTGTGCTTGTTGTAAACCGTCCTGAGAGGTCAGTAATGGGATGGTATATAAAAGTTTTAAGAAATGAATAAACTGTGATGGTTAGGAGGAGAGCAGCTTGCAGAACCAGGTACTTTTGGGTACCTGGCTCTTCAGCAATGGATATGCCATTGAGGCTGCATAGGGAAGAGCAAATACGGCTGCTGTATTTTTGTGCATGACATTTACCTGCCAGATTTGGACCTAAGACTTTTGCAAAGCACATCCCAACAGCAGCTCAACATTGCTAGAGGGATTATCATCTGTAATCACAGCCCCCATTCATAACATGAGTCGGAAGAGTACACATGTATAATTACGTGCAGACCTTGCTTTTCCTCTGAGATCCTGGGAAATAGCACATTTTGATCAGCAGTTCTTACCAGAGTAGTGATTTACAAGGTCCTCCAGGCACTGAAAAGTTTGTCGAGGAGAGATGTAATACCAGTTGTTTGGCAGGCGGAAGATTCTGTAATGTTTCACATGTACGTGCCGGACTGATAAGGAATATAAACCTGCAGAAACAGAAGAGTTCCGTTACCAAAATAAAACCTGCATTTTCTTTAGTAACTTAAAAAAAGTAATGGTGAATCTTTGGATAATGAGAAGATAGTGAACTGGACATTTAAGGGACTATAGACACGGCAAACATAACTTGATTCTTACTCCTTTTAATTTATTGTGTCCCAAAGAATTAGGGAAACTATCTTAGTGCTTTCATACCAGAGAGAATTCCCTACCAGAGAGACTGAGCACAGAGCTGAAATTCCCAGGGAACCAAGTAAACATCTATAGTGACCTATCACCACAATCAAAAATATTCTGCTTTCATAGGGGCCCTCCTGAGAATCTGGGAAGAACCCATCATGATTAAATGGTTAGATAATTTCCAACAGGGATGGACAAAAGGCAATCTTTAAATGTTTTGGATTTCAACTCCCAGAAGCCCTTGCTGTCATACCCAATGGTCAGGAATGCTGAGCACTGACATCCAAAACTTCTGGAGGTCTACCTTCTGCCCACCCTTGCTGGACGTTTTCTCTGTGATCCCTTGGAAGACTAGGAGTCAGAAGTGTGATGAGAAGGAAAGAACATGTGAAAAGACTTCATGGATTAGACCAATGGTCCATCCAGTCCAGCAGTCTGTTCACAGGGTGGCAAACCAGCCGTTCACAGTATCCCTTCAGTCAGAAAGGAACATACAAGGAGCTTTGAGTCTAAGGCCGCATTGAAGGCCACAGAAAAGAAGAAATGCGTGACCAGCAATGACAGGTGAGGATTGTATTTTGGTTCCTTTTTGACATGGATTTGCCAACATTCACACGTTTCTTCATATTCAAGGCAAAAAGCGTGTGTGATCTTTTTTGGTAGAAGCGTGGGAGAAATTGAATGTAGGGGAAACTGACGCCTTTATTCTTCCAGGCCAGAGCTTTCAGTGTCTAGTCCTTAAAAGACTAGTACTAAACTCATGGATTTTCAGCCATGTTTCTGGTCCTGAATTAGCATTGCCACTTCTTTTTTCTGAAATGCGTCTCATCTTTAAGAGCTAATTCATGTGATCCTTCCCATTGTGGGAATCTTGGCACCTATTGAACTTGGCTAGAGATGATTTTCTTTCCGTTTGTTTTTGATCAGAATTTAGCAACATCACAAAACTTGCATGTGGGAGAAATCAATGAGGGCAGATGCATCCATCCCTAATAGTAATGTGACTGCCCTTATTAATATTAATGTGCTGGTGAAATGTTTTTAGGCTGAGAATGAGTTTATGAGGATGAATTAAGTTTGCTGATTCTTTTCTGCTTTTTCGTTATGTGACAGCCTTTCTGTAAGGATTGTGTGATCTTGTCTGAAATTGCCATAATATCACATGGATTTTACTCTAGCTAAGAAAAGGTTTGAAAACCAGTCCTTACTCTGATCTGGGACATAAGATTTCTTCATAGGTACAATCACAGGCAAATGCCACTTTATAGGAAAATGAGGTTTTACTCTCCCTGCATGAGAACAGCATGAGGTGTTTCGCATAAATCTTGCCATTACCTGCAGATTACTGTTTGCAGTAGTAAATCAGTTTTTAAAGGAAACAACTCAGAGAAGAAATGACAAAAGTAAAAACAAGAATTTCCCATTTCCTTACCTTTTGTTGTTTCACTGTTTCTAATCATGAAAGAGCCAGCCTTAGTATTGGGAAGTAGCAAAAGTTCTTCAGCTTTTTGCCTTCCTAAACCTTCAAATAGCCAACTGTGGAAGGGGAGGCGGGGTGGGGAAGGAAGATCAGAATTACACAGGTGAAAAAAGAAAGCTGTTTCGCCCCTTGAAGTGCAGAGGGAGATGGGAAAGTACAGCAGAAGGTGTCGGTGGAAATACTGTGCTTTTATGCAACCTAGACTTCCTCCAGTCACTGGAAAATTGCCAGTTATGAATGACTACAGAGAAATCCCAAAATACGTTGGTTTGTGTGTGTGCGTGTGCGCACGCGCGCGTGTGTGTATGCATGTTGCAGGAACCCTTAGAGAGCAGGACGTATTGTCGACACTGCAAACTTAGTGGTGCGTTAACCAGTCTGAGCACATTTTGCTTTCACTCAGTTGTATCTTGAAGAGTACTTTCCCTCTAGGAATAGTGGCCATTCATTTAGATGGGAGACTGCAGAGATGTGCCTTGGAGGAAACTACTGGAGTGAGCCCCTGGGGAGTCCAAGTGAAGGACAGGTTTTGTCACTTCTTGTCTAGATCTTTGGTTATAATTCTTGGTCAGGCCAGAGTGCAATAGAAAACCAGGAGCTGTGTGCAGCTTCAACACTCAAACAGGGACTGTTTTCAGTTTGGATTTGGAGAGGCAAAGAAAGCTTCAGATCAGCTGAAATATGAGGTAGCTGTACTCCGGGCTGCAGGAGCTAATTTCTGCTCATAGTTTTTGTCAATATAGCCGATAGGGTAAAAGTAGAGGCAAAAGGGAGTCAGCATAGAAATATGTGGGCTCCACTTTCAGCCCAAAAGCTGAAATTCAAGTTTGGAGAAGCTCTTGGGTGCTAAAAGGAAAAGGGTGCAGTTGAAGGACAAGAATTCCCAGTAGATTTGAAAACAAAACAGAGCAAAGTGACCTCCAGCAGCATACCCAGTTTATAAATTTATAGTTTTAAAACAACTGTACTTAAAATTCACATGTATGGGGATGTGCGTGTGTGCATATATGTGAAACGTTTGGACATAAACAGTTTTGGTCACAAATGTTTCACATTTTAAAATCTGTTTATATCATAATTCTTCATTCGGTACATTTGAATGTTAAGGTTAATTTATTAAAAAGGTTAAATTCATACATTTATCTCTTAATGCTTGCCAGTTATTAAGCCTTATAAGAGGCATTTCTGCTATCTAGAATTTAGGGGAAATGTCCAAAAACAGGGAAAGGGCAAACTGAGAAACTCCATCAGGACCAGATTTAGCTCTCGAGTCTGCAGTTCAGCACCCCTGAGAGGGGCATACGAACATACATACATATCCAATATACACAGTTATACATGCTTCTATCCAGATAAAGTGGGGAAAATTCCTTACCCATGGTAAACTTTGGCTACATATTTTTCTGGGATGTAATTTTCTAGTCCTGTAGTGAGGGAACGGGCTCTCCACCAGCCTCCTTCACTGCAAACGAAAAAAACAGAGAAAACAGCTTTCAGAGGCACACTGAAGCCTTTGCAATAACCAAATCAAGGCAGAAAGGACTTAAAATACAACCCTGTGGGCTGTGAACCTAAGGCTGCATGCGAGGGATGAAGATGAGCGTCGGTGAAGTTCCTCTTTCCACCTGAGCTTTTTTTTTAAAGACCCTCTCAGCCAAAAAGTTAGTAAGACTTCCTTTTTCCACAGAAGGTAACGTATTTTTCCCCTCAAGCTACGTTGCCTGCTCATCTGATTGTTCTCTCTGCCAGAAAATTGCAGCGTGTAACTGGAAAACTCACACGTACATGCGGTCTTCTGGAAAGAGGAGAATCATGCCCCTGCTTTTGAAGCTCCACACCCATGCGCACGTATGCATGTACGGTGCCCATGGGTCCTAATTTATGGGGGATGTAGGTGGTCTGACTCCACCATGGAGGTGGTAAGAAATATTTGCTGTTAGGTAGGGAGAGTCCATGCGTCGTGGTGGCCAAAGTGCTGGTCTGAGGACCTGGGAGCTCCAGCTTCTAGTTCCTGCTCAGCCATGGCGCCAACTGGGTGACTTTGGGCCAGTCATAGTCTCTCAGCCCAACTTCACAGGGTTGTTGTTGCAAGCATAAAAGGGACAGAAGGCTCCTCAGAAGAGGAAACAAGGTGGGATATCAATGAAATGTATATCCTGTAGGTTTACACCTTCTTTGGCTTCCCTCACTCCATTTCTGTTGCATTTGTGCAGGCTGATCCTAATCAAGCTGGGGCAGAAGTTCAGGAGGAACAGCAAGGCAAGGGGGCTTCTCTTACCCCTGCTCCCCTCTGGCATCTGCTGCCCAAATAGCTGCCTCAGTTTGCCTAATGATAGGACCGGTATGGAAGCACTGAATAGGTTATTCTCGGGTGTACAGTATCTTTCAGACATGTTCACCATACCTCCCCTCTCGTTCTTGTGAAATATAAAATGGCCAATTCTTTAAAACTGTGGTTCTTTAAGCACCACGTTGACAAGGTTGTGTGCGGTTTGGGCCTTTCGAATCTTGCTGTGCCTTGTTCTGCATCACTGATAGCTGAAATCGAAGTTGGAGCATTATGATTGTGGGGAGAAGGATCCAAGTACAAGAGCCACACGCAAGTGGCTGTTGAGCTGAGATGAGAAGGAGAGGCAAAGAGGGGGGCAATTAAAATTAAGGAGTAGGAGCTTGCTAGGAGTGATGAGCAGTTTTTAGCAAAATTCTTAACGTGCTTCATCATTTAAAAAGTGGATATATTTAGTAAACAAAAATAAAAGTGCTCTCCAGGAACTGTTATCCCCAATCCTTTCTAAATATCCCAGTTACTCCGATGCTTTTTATCTTAAGTTACTTTTATCTGATCAATCCGATTTTATCTCCTTGACTACAGCCAAATACTGTTCAGTAGTTTGTACAGTGCATGGTAGAATTAACCCTAAATGTTGTTAGGTTCTACCAGAATGCCTTTATTTTCTTATCTTAATTATTGTAATTTTATTAGTACTGTATTTTTCTTATTTTTAACTAATTGCAATATTGTGTTTTATTTATTGGTTGGTCAATGACTGAATAAAGAATTTATTGATTGATTGAAAACTAAAAGTAAGAGGTAGAAATATCTCAGCTGGTTAAAGCGTTTGTTGCTGTAATCAGCCCGGAGAGCTTCAGCTATGGGGTGGTATTGAAATGACAACAACTGAAAGAAATCGATAAAGCATCTCTAATATTGTCCACATGTCTGATTCAAACCAATCCAGATCTTTCCTGAAATATTTATAAATATGTTGAGAGATGATGACCATTAGCAAAAGATCCTTCCAAATGGGCACTTCCAAGAAGACATTGTGCAGTTAATCCATCTTTTTCTCTTTATGATTTTATGCAGTAGCGAAAAATAACCAACCACCAACCAGAGGGAACTGCTGGGAAAGTTCAGGAGGGCAGATAGTGGAAGGCAGCTTTGCCCACTACCAGTCCCATGGTTCCCAGTAAAAGTCCATGAATGAGGAAGGGACAGAAAAAAACTCTCCCAACTCTCAGTATTCCCAATCAGTTAAAGCTCTGGCCAACTGGAAAATGCCAGGAGTCGCACAGCTTATTTCTGTTTAAATATCCTTCGCACTGAGCCCAAAAGCTTTGTATTGTCCATTGATACACTTCACACAGTTTAAAACTGAAGGACAAAATGAAGGCAAATATGCTAATATAAATATGCCCAAAGGGCTGCAGATTCTCTTGCAACTGACCATTTTCAGCCACTGAAAGGAAGTGCATCCGGTCCTTAACTCACTTGATCAGAATCAACAAAATAGCTTGGTCCATGGTCATTTGAAGAAAGTCATGGCAGTTTGCATAGACTGCAAGTTCTTTTACATTTTCGTGCCACCGTAGAATCATAACAGGAAGAGGAAAGTTCCATTAAGTGCTGGCTTTCACGCTCGCCAGCTATGAGCTCAAATGCTAGCTTGGTGCATGACAGGTAACTGGGAGCAGAAATATATTTTTTAAAAATACCATTGCGACTATTCAAAATACTAGAATTGTGAAAAACACCTTGCTTGCCAGTGATTACCAAACCAAGGCTTTGAATTGCTTCTTAGGTATGTATAGAAAAAGTGACTTCACCCCCTCATTTTCATGTGTGGAAAAGGAGAGGAGGGGGGATTTGTTGCAAACCACTGAACTGTTTGCCACTTGTGGGGTTAGGAAAGAATTTTCTCCCCCAGCTCAGATTAGCTAGAGACCTGGAGAGCGTACGTGTTTTTGCTTTAGCATGAGATTCAGCTTCTTTCCTCAGTGCATCTGGACTGTTTTGCTCTGCCTCGCTGCTCCTCTTGATTTCTTCATGTTCTCTTCAGCTCCTTGGGGCATAGCATGGCTTTTGCATAGCTTGAATGCATCTCAAACTGCATTCCAACAAGGAGGGGGGTTTCCAGGGTTGAGAGGGTCCAGGGCAAAGTGCCCTGTCGTAAGTCCATTCTTCTGCCCTGTGTTTGGTGGACAGCGGAAGTTCTGGACTGATAAGCAGCCCCAGTCAGCTGCCATTGAAATTTCCCATAATGCTCCGCAATGACACCATGTAAGGGGCATTGTGGGAAATTGCAAGGACAACTGGACCTAGATATCTGACATTGCTCAGAATGCCAATTCAGATTATTTCATTGTTATTATTTTTTTCAAGAATGGCCCAGTTAGTAGTGCTTTCTGCCCTCACACTCTGGCAACTGACCCAGGGTGCCAGGCGATGCTATCACACCTGGTTCAAGTCCTGGCTATGGAATGCGCTCCCTAGAGAGGTCCACCTGGCACCGCCATTATACGCTTTTCGGCGCCTGGTCATGACCTTTTTATTCACCCAATATTTTTAATGTTAATAGATTTTAACAATTAATTATTTTAATCTGTTTAATTTATTTTAATAATTAATTTTATTTATTTCATTCATGGGATATCTAGTTTATTATTGTTTGGGGTATGTAAGTTATTCATATTTATGTTGCTGTATTTATAGATTTTGCTGTGAGCCATCCAGAGATGAAAGTGATTGGACGGGCTAGAAATACCCCAAATAAATAAATAAAATAAAACAAAATAAAAAGTCAACCTTAGAAACACCTTAGTAGGTGTTGGATTCAGACTTAGTCATGCTTAGAGCAGACCCACTGAAAATCAGTGAGACTTAAATTAGTCATGACCAAATTATGTTGTATAAAATGCCTTCCAGATATTGCAGTGGTCAGTTTCAAGTAACAGCAATTCCAAGTTGTTCTTTACATTGACACAAGTAGGTTTTGGTATTTTTTTAAAAAATAAATAGGACCATGCTTACTCTGATATCACGCGGAGTTTCTCCCCAACTTGAAAAATAGGCTGGCTTATATCTGGAGTGGGATAGTCATCAAGGACTGCAAGAAATTCACTTCTGTGGCCTACAGGGAATGAAGGAATGGATGACATGTTAAAATGCTATAAAACGGACAAGAGGCTGTTCAAAGCTGTTCAGCAAAAACCTGCAGTAGGCATGTCCACTCTCATACATTTCAAAGAATATGGAGCAAAATGAATCCCCCTTCCAATCCATTGTGTTGCTTCTAGAAAGAGAGAAGCCAAGGAAGTCCTCTCTTTGCACTGCACCCTCCGATCAAGAAGTCCCGTTTTTAATGCCGGCCACTTGGTGGCTCACTGGCAAGAGAAATGCACTTTAGCTAAGGGGCACCTTGGATCCATGTTCGCTTCATGGGTAAGCCCCAGTAAAACCAACCAACCCTGAAATGCATTGCGGCATTAAGGCAAAGTGGAATAACTGCATCTCTTAAATATCACAATCTCCAAACTCCCTTCACTCCCCATCTTCACTTGTATTAGAGCAGTGATAGGCAGCATGTGGCCAGTGTTGCCCTGTAGTGCCCCAGAATTTGTCTCTCTCCTGTTTGTGGAGAAATTTCTTAGAAGGCAAGTCGAGCCAAGTGGAAATCCCTCAGCACGTTGGCTGTGCAACTGTCAGCCTTCTCCAGCACTGCAAGCAAAGCCTCTTCCCTGCTTGTGCAGTGGCTGTGTGGGGCTCGATTCCTGGTGAGCACCGTGTGGTCACAAAACATATTCACCAGGAAGTCAGACCCACGGCTGCAAGAAAGCAGCCCACCCTGTGGAGCCGATCCCAGGGAATCTTTCGGACTCTGACCCTCGATGCACATGCCTCTCACATCTCTACTTGTGGCCTTCCTGATGTTTTAACTAACAACACCCAGCATCCCTAGCCAGCATTAGGGATAGTTGAGAATTTAATTCCGTTTGCGTTTGATGAGAAGTTTCCAAAATTCACAGAGTTGGCCATATCTGAGGGAAGAAGAACTTGGGATCTAAGAAAAAATGTGGGAGAAACCGAACCTGGCACATCTGTCCATCCAGGCCCTGAGTCTGTGCTGCTTAGTGGGCTTTGGACCTCTTTATGTTCCAGTTTGTTCATGTTGCTTTTGGCTGGCAATTCCTTTTTTTTCCTGGCAAGCCCCTCATCTTGGGGCAGGCTGGTACAACCTGGCCTTCTCCATGCTTGCAGTGGCTGTACTTACTGCATTGGGCTAGAATGGATGGTTGCGAAGTTCAGTTCGGTTCACTTTAATAAGGACGGACTAAAATTTGTGAAGTTCTTCATATTCAGAACCTGAGATTTTAAGAATTTGGGCATGGGAGAAAGTGAAACTGCGAGAGTGGCCCATCCGTAGCAATTAGCTAACAGTAAAGGATCATGGGAGCCATCGGCCAAAACATCTGGAAGGCCAGAAATTACCCACTGCTGGACTAGGAGATACCTCTGCTGCAAATATCCAGATTAAGAGCCCTGCCAGGCCATAGCATGGAGCCCCGCAAAAGCCCTTCTGTCTTGTGCGTAGTCGGAATATCACAGCCAGGGTTAAATGGAGCCGGCCCAAGGGCTGTGCGGAGGCCTCTCTTGAGATCCCAAGCCCTGATCAGTGCCTGCTCTTAAGACGTGACCTAGCGCTGCACACCTGGCAGCTAAGGCTTGCTTCCACTCCCACCAGAAAAAATGCCCCTGTGCTGCTGCTTTCTAATCAAAAACTAGCAGGTTGATTTTATCCTGCCACACCCACAGCACTTATTTTGCTGATCGGATGAAAATAGCTTGACTTCTAAAAATGGTACAAGGGGGGAAATGTAAAAACCACAGGAAGTCAAAAAAATCAAGGTCACTTTCTTGTTCAGTTTGTTGTTCAGTTAGGGATCTCTTGACTTGACTAAATCTATCAGCCAGCAGCTCTTTCTCTTGGGCATGAAAAAAGATATTAAGATGAGAAATATATTTATGTACCCTGCCTGTTGAACCATAATTATTATTACTTTTCTGGGGATGTGAGACCAGAAGGAGCTACTATGGCTTACAGGTTTGCATGAGCAAGTTTTAGACTCAGCCTTTGGTAGTACAAATCCCATCACCTCTGGGGTGATGGGTGTCATAGTCAAAGCACATCTGGAGGGTGCTAGGTTGGGAAGGCTTCTCTACATAGCTAGCTCTGTACTTAGCACATCGTTTGCAAGCAAAGGCCCCGAGATGCACATGCCTCTGCCGGGCCAGCCTGAGATGCTCTCCAGCCCGAGGCCAAGAACAAGCTGGTACCCTCTTTCATTCTATGTACTCAAGACGCCCTGCAGCTGAATATTCTTCCACACCGAGGACAGGTGGCAGGCTAGTTGAGAGACGCAGCCCACACAGCCCTCTCCTCCAGTGACTCATTGCCACGGCCGGGGATCTGCTGCTTCAGGAGTCTTCCTCACTCTGTCCAGTGGCAGAGCTGGCCCTCCATCCCAGCCCTACCGCTAGAGGGCCTTTTAGCCTGAGGGCCTTTGTGCCCCAAAGCCTGCATTGACCCTTGGCATCACCCACCCACCACACCTGGGACGGATTGGCCCACCTGTGGCTGTTGGCCTTGGTGCACACCAAGCGTTCTGGGCTGAGAGGGCTTTTAGAGGCAGGGCCCCATTCCTTCCACCCTGTCAGGGGACTGTGTGGACTAGCCCGGGTTGTGCTGCGGTATCTCTGCCTACCTCCGCACCACGCACCCCAGTTCCCTCAGGTGGGTGCCTGATGTAGCACCTTTCTGAGCCACCTTTTTGAGCTTCCTTCCACACTGACTGTAGGCTACCTTCTGGGCTCACAAGAGCAAGGATTGACAAATAGGTCAGTTTCCCATTTCTCTAAGTTTCCTATTTTTTCCTTTCTGAAGTCTGGTTCATCCTGAACTTGGAGGGAGAACTTTCTTATCTGAAATTAAGTTCATCTGACATGGTGAAAAACACCTTATTGAAAATCTGTGAACATCTTATGTGTGCTGCTGCTACTGGGAAACTTTTGTATGCAGTTTGCCATACTATCACATTCTAAGCGACTTCTCTGATATGATATGTTATCGAACACGGCTTTCCTCAATATATGTGTTTTTGTCTAAGCGTTCTTCTCATATACTAACTTTTGTATGCATTTATTCATTGATGCACTCCATTGCCAAATTTGGAGAAGTGCAAAGTTCTGAAGAATAAAAGCATTTTGGTAAAACTGTTGGTTTAAAAGTGCAATCTTGGGTAAGTGCATTAAAATGTAAGCGAAACAAATTTCTGCCCACCTTATCTCAGAGGCTGGGCCCTGTGAAAATTGGTTCCTATATGGTGTTACAGAGAGTTGATGCAGTTTTTAAAAACAATTTCATTTCACTTTCATGCCAATGAAACAACTTGCAGAGTTTTCATCAATCCACTGCCAAATTCCTAGGGATATTGATAATTTCAATCTGTAATCCTTCTTCCATTCATTTTGAAAATGTAACAACAATTCTTTCTGTAACTCTTTCATAAATAAGCATTCCCAATCAAACCCTGACTAGAAAAATGAAAGCAACTTTTTCTCAATCTGATTTAACTCCATAAAGGAACTGTATTTCCTCATAAAAAGATTAATTGTATAGTGAACTTGGAGAAACTGGCACTACTTGATTTTCTTGCAGACTGGAGTTTTCTTTAAGCCATTAAAATATAGAAACAGGTACCATTTGCCACAAAGTCTTTGAATTTTTTAAAGGCTCATTATGTTTGTTGGCAGGATCATCCTCCAGACTTTAAATATAATATAGATGCATGGATTCTGTAACCATCTACCCATATTTATTTTTCTTCTGGTACCACGATTCTTGTCCCAAATAAATTCCCATTTGTTCATAAACCTCAATCACCATTTTATTCATCCAGTTCCAGAAACTGATCCAGTTTGTATGGAACAACCAATCATGGGTTGTTTATCACATGGTTGGTCAGAGTTGTACCTCCTGTCCTCTTGCCACTTCGACTTTGCATCTGGTTTAGCAAACAACCCAAGAATGCCCTGTTCCTAGGTTTTTTGGAGAGACACTCAAACGCAGCACTCTGGGTTTACCATAGGTTAAAAATCCAAGTAGTTTCTCCCTCAACAACCCATGTTGTTTTTTAAACTTAGATTGTTGTTACATGTGAACCAGGTCATTTGCAATTTTACATGTATCATAATGTTTCAAGAACTGGGGTAACTTAATTCTTCCCTTCCTCAAGGGTAGTGCAATATTGGAAGAAGTATTTGACTGAATGAACCTATTATGCAATTTTGGCCATTTGTTCAGTCTAAAGCCTGTGACTTTCGGAAGGATATTGGCTAATACTGTAAGAAATGGATTCCGGCAGTAGACCTGTTGCTTTTGACTGGTGAAACCATTCTCATCTGTGATAGCTTCTGTGCTGGCATCTTCCTGAACTTGCTGAAATAATGTCTTAGGTTCCAATTCCATGGCTTTTGCTATATTCTTCACTCTCCACAGTCCCAAGTATTTAATTCCATTATGCTCGTGTTGTTGATTAAATGGTTTAGATAAGAGGTGGGCGACTTGTGGTTCTCCAGATGTTTTAGCCTACATTGCCCATGTTCTCTCACCACTGGCTATGGTAGCTAAGGCTAATGGAAAATGTAGATCAAAACTTCTGGAAGGCCGCACATAATTTGTTTATTATATTCTTATCCTGCAATTGTTCCTTTTGCAAAGGACCCAAGGTGACTTACATCATTCTCCTTTTCTTCTCCATGTTATCCTCACAACCACCCTGTGAGATGGGCTAGGCTGAGGGTCAATGACTGATCCATAGCCACCTAGTGAACTTCATGGCCAAGTGGTAACTAGGGGCCACAGCTCCCAAGTCCCAGTCCAACACTCTAACCACTAAACCATGCTGGCTTTCCCTGGTTGTCCATCCCTGTTTTAGATCTGCCATTCATACCTTCGGTCAACCATTTTACTTTGCAATAAGTGAATCCAAAGAGATGACATAATATCCCAGGATTTGTCTCAATATTGGATGGAGGACCTACCAAGAAGGTTTCCCACTGGAGCATGGTCAAGGGAACTCCCCACTGTGTCTCACCACATTATGTGGAGATGGAAAAGAGGGTCTTCTCATGCCCTTTACAGAAGTCCCTCCCTTCCGAGGCCCCGCTGGCTAGGATGTTGCCCTTATCTTGGTGCCAAGCTGGGACATGGCTATTTGCCCAAGCTTTGGGAACTTGCTGACAGTCACTCAGTTAGATTTATTTGTTTCAAGTTTTAGTGTTCATTTCATAGTGGTGATGATGGTGGCGATTACAATGGCATTTGATTGCCATTGTTTCACGGGTTTGTTAATAATTGTCTTATTGATGGATTCTTCTTCACTCTGAGTTAAACTCCTATAGGGCATGTTAGAAATATGCTGCCGAATAAGTAAATACGTAATATCAATCAATCCATAAGAGGGGCATTTGGAATTTCAGTGTGTTGTTGCTCTCATTATCATTGGCAAGTGGGATAAGAGCCTGTACATATACATTCCAACAGTTAAATCTGCTGTTATTCTGCAATTAAATCTGTAGAATAACTGGAAGACACAGACAGTACTGTGATATTTGCAATTTGATTTACAGAGTTATAGCCTGGGCTGTGGAGGCAATGTTGGACGGGAATAGTGGAATTGGCACTATTTGGGCTACCGAGAAATAAGCAGCTTTGGACTATTGGGCAGAATAAAATGAATTTAATTAATTAATTAATGAGTTAGCCACGGCTGGGATGTGGCCCTAAGATTTAGAAGTCAAGAAGGTCTTTATTAATTTGATAACAGCATATCTTTAAAAAAAACCATGATTAATCTCTAAAATGTGATGCTTCCCTGCAGAGTACAAAATGAAGTTCCACAGCTGGAATATGAAATTTGATTAAGCAATTTCTTGTAGAACTCACAACGTGTTGTGGTCAGACATGTGGATCGGCCTTATGGCAGATCATACAGCTGGTCCCCCTTATTTACAAGGTGTGACAACCTTTGAGGTTCCTCTCTAAGAAGAACTAGTGTGGGCTGTTTCCCTGAGAAGCTTATATGAAGAAAAGTATTTCTTGCAGGACCAAAAGTGTCAGTCTGAAGGACAGCCCAGCAAAGTGCCTCCCCCCACCCCCCCGGTTCTGGGCTTATTCATGGGTAGCAGCAGCAGCAGCAGCAGCACATCAATGCAACCGATAATTCCCCCTGAAGCATCATTCTGGGACACTGTGAAATACTAAAATGCCCCTTTTCCAGGAGTCAAGATATCTTGAGGAAATTAAAGTGGCAGCTCTGCAAATCAGCTGTCCATCACTCGCCAGTTGCTGAAAAGAACCCCAGTACAGGGCTTGGCAGTGGGGCCGACTTTTGCTCTGGGGTGCTGCAGGCGGCTGCCCAAGGATGTTGAGTGTTAGTGTGGTTCCTGATAGCCCATTTTGCCATTTCGGCTCATGTCCAATGTAGGATGCGTGTCACCAGTTCATGCCCTTTCATAGTCCTTGCTCCTTCCCACCCTGGAATCGTGAGCATGCTTACCAGTTTGCCAGTGCGTGTTGTTTATCTCAGGAATGGTTTTCACGGTTTTCATAGTGTTCCCCATTGTTCTCTTCAATTCCTTCGAAGCGCTAGCTTCAAAACTAGCAAAAGATGGAGACGAGAGTCGCAGGTTAGCATCAGCTCTGCTAAGTCACATCCAGTAGCTCATCTGAAAACGGAGGAAACACATTCCTCCTTCATATACCGTGCGCATGTGTGTTATGCAGACATTTTGCATGTATTTAAGCAATGTATGCATTTGTGTAAATTCTCACACTTCCCTTCTGTTATCTCCGTGATGGCTGCATGGAAATCCTCTTAGCCCCAAACCACACACCCAGAGGTAGAGAATCCCATGACTTTCTCAGCCCATGGTAGCTCTGGTTTTTGCCGGCCTGTACTGGCGGAAACTTGCTTTGCAGTTTCGGGAAAGCCAAAAGTACAGTTTTGTGCCATTTGGCATTTCATCCGCACTTTGAAAAAGAACAGAAAATAGGATTTTCGGGTTCAGAGGCATTTCTTCAGTAGACCTGCTGAAATCCTAAGGTAGCCATGGGGCTTAATTTAGGGGGCAGACCTGTGGTGATGCCCATAAGCAGCATTGGAAAGAAAACATCCCTCTTTTCCTAACCTTGGAAAGCAATGCGCATGGCTTTTTGCATAGCAGCCGCAAAAGGCCAGGAGAAGGTGGTTGGAGCACTGCTTTCCAGCTCTGATGTGTGACCATGGTCTCCAAGCTCAGATCTGGGAATCCAAAAATATGGTGGGATCCCAGATGTTGTCCAGGGGCCATAAGGATTGCTCCCTCCAGTTCCACTGATTTCCATGATGCTGCTCAAACTTGGGCTAAATCTGAATTCAACCCATGGATTTGCTTGCCTTGCATTTTTCCATCAAAACAGCAATTGGTTTTTTAGTTGTTTAGTTTTTTGCAAATTTTAACAGTGCTGGTCCTCATCTCTCCCCACTTAGATCATCCCATTGTTGGATTTTTGGCTACACAGTGCTTTGTAATGAAATAAATACCTAAATAATATTTTAAGATGCCTCTGCATCTTATGCCACCTGGGGCTAACTTTGTCATCCTGTCCGTGCCGTGTTTGTCCTCTCTGCTGGGGACTTCAAGACATTAGTGGCTTGAACAGGGTATCCATGTCAGGTTTTTTAACAGGACTACTCTGCGTCTTATGTTGTTTTCACCGCTAAACTGCTTTTACATTTTGTATCTTGGAAAACTGTATGGTATTTTATTGTATGAAGTTATTGTGCGCTGGTTGTAAACTGCCCAGAATGTGCCAGGAGACAAATGGAAATAGAACAACTTTCTGGCTTTGGGTTTAATTAGAACTCTGGTAGCATTGGGCAGCTGGGACAAAGCCAACTATTGCAATAAGAGCGAAAGGCATCTGAAAAAGAAAAGTGTGCGTGGTGGCGGAGAGGAGGCAATTAGCAAATGAACCTGGTAAATAAAAATGGTTTTCGCCTGCAGCCAAAGCGGCCTGCCAAAGAAGGCAGCCGCACCCAGAAATGGACTTTGTAAAACGATTGAGCAGGTTTGGTGAGAAAAAGTAGGGTCCTGTGTGTAAATACGTTCTTTCTCAAGACACGCATACCTTGCGAGTTTGTTGTGAGGGTAAACCAGCACAACTGCTTGTGTCCTTTCTCAAAAATTTGTGGGGAAAGGGTGGGATACAGGTGTGATAGGCGGATCACGCCTTCAGTCCTGAATAGATAGGAAACAATGTCTAGTGTCTGTCTTAATATGTTCAATCTCAAAAAACAGCAGCGATGAGAAGGATGGTGGTGGCAGGACAGGTGGAGAAAAGGATTGCTGCACATGTCCAGATTCCTCTTGGGCAAAGCGATGTTCTAGCCCTCAGCGGGCTTATGAGATCCCGTTCCGGAACAACAGGCTGTGATCATCGCCGCCAATCTCGTCCGTTTGGGTGGAGATTCTGCTTGCCGGGCACAGGACTGTATGGCGAAAATGGACTCTCTCCACTGATGGAATAATGAAGCTTACCCAACTGGGTACCCACCAGATGTGTTGGACTACAGCTCCCAATATCCCCAGCCAGCCTGCTGCAGTTGCTGACCAGCACATATGGAGGGTGCTAGGTTGGGGGGGGGGCTGGACCGATCCTCTGTGCATGCCCAGGATCCTGTCGCTGGCTATACAAGTGCTGTTTAACAGCAGTGCTTCTGCAACTGATGCTCCGGTAACCCAGCATGAGAGCCTGGACAGTCAGGGATGGGCTTCCCCACATGCACAAATGCTGCAACGCCCGGCTCTGAGAAACGTGCTTCTGGACAGGTCAGCGCCACATCACACATAACTGAAGCACCTTTCCGGTTGGTTGGTGAGATCTGATTCCAAGGAGCAGGTAGTCATGAAGGATGTTGCAGTGAAGAAAAGGAAAGGGGTTTAAATAAGGGCAGAGTGTGTGTGGAAGGGTAGGTTCGATAGAGAGCCATCAAGGTATTGGAGCAAAATTTCCTCTAGTGCCTTCCAAGTGGGAGCCTTGCTGTGGCTCTGTTCAAATGTGCGAATTGCAGGGTTCGTTTTAATGCCTTCGCTAGAGGGTTTCTGTCTAATTCTGGCCAAGGAAAAGGAAGTGAAGACATGCAGTTCTCTGCCGACCTACTTATCTCTCTCTCACACACACAGGATCCGGTACAGGATCAAATCCACAAAATGGTTGAAACACAGCTGTGTTTCGTCTTCCCATGGGCCAGCTCACAGAAGGGATCTCTTGAATTGGTTTCAAAGGCAATTTGAAAGAGCAACGCTCTTTGCCTGGTGTGCGAGGTCCACCCCCACTCTCACTTCTCATAAACAAGTTCTGCAAGTTTCAGTGATGCTTTTTTAGCCTGCAATACCCACTTGGTGAGATACAGTGCTGGAACCCATCCTTGCCTGGGTCAAAGCTTAGGCCAAGCAAGACATCACCAAGCCATCGCGTGGTTGCTGATCGCTTGCCCACCACATTCATGCCCGGTGCATGCAGAGGGCAAACGGGCAAGACGTCTGGGGGCAGGTTTCCTCGGCACCACCAGGGCTGTGCCCTAGTTTTCCCATGGTTCCGGTCCACATGACTGCATGGAGGCAGAGAAGACAGGTAGAAGCAGCTCCATCTCTTTTTGGTTGTCCCCGCTCAGAACATGCAGGTGATCCGCTATCAGTGGTAAGAGGAGAGGCAGGAGTGGGTCTCCTGTAGGGGCCCTGGCAGGCACCCAAAGATACCAACCTGCCAGCACCCACCTTTACAACAACATAGAAACAGAGTGAGTCAGAAGGGGTCTCCTGGGCCATCTAGTCTGACCCCCAGCTCTAGCCGGCTCTGCTCATAACATGCCGGTAAAGGGAGTTGTACTCTCCTGTCCTAAATATCTTTCTGAACAGTAACAAAAGTGAGCTGGTCCATCTGCAAAAGTGTGAAGTGCTGGTGGAAGGGAAGATTCAGACCCCTGGCAATGCAGAAAAATGCGACAAAGCCTTCCGTTTTAGAGGCAAACGGGACAGATGATTAACCATTCTGGCTTTCTCCGTCATCTCTTGGTCTCTTGTACCAGTCTGGAGTCTCTTCCTTGCAGCAGCTGCTACGGCTGATCAACTCCGCTATCTTCCTCCACCAAAACCCCAAGCTGCTGTTGCGTAGGGAGGGAATCGCCTTGCCCCGATCCATATTAGAGCAAACCTTACCTTGCATTCAGACACCAAGCATGGTGCCCCTTTTCCTGTCCCCTCGGTTGTTTCACTGATGGAATCCAGAGTACATGTTTTGTCTGATGCTGGTGAAAGAGCAGCAGGTTCAAATCGGAAGCATGAAGGCGGCTGAAGCGAGGCTTTGGAGAAGTTCAGCCTATCCTGCAGCGCAGCTCTTGCTAAACAAGCCGCACACTTCCTCTGCGAGAAATAAGGAAGGGCTAAGCGTACATGCGTAAGTTGAAGGTGGTTCCTCTTGTTAGTTACTTTTGACTGTCTCGTTCTGGGGTACTTGCGTGTGTGCAGTGGGTGTGGCTGCCACAAAAGGCAGTGTGCTTTTCCCCCTGTGCATATGTCTCTGTCGCGCATGACCACTTTCCTGTAGTCCTTGCTGGGTCATGTTGTTTATGTACTGACGGCATGAGTACCCCGGCTCTCTGCTCAGGCATACAGCAGGGTCTGCCATCACACGGTGCTAAGCTGAAAGCACCCTCGGGCACATCCGGGCAACACAGCAGGTTCTCAGAAGAATCTGCGTTGGTGCAGCTAGATAATTTTAGCTCCTGAATGTTCTGGTCTCACAGGAACCCTCTTTAGATGGCCATGGATCAAGCACAAAACCAGCCTTTCTTGTAATTCTGCCTCCACTGCTCTCCCTTCTTTACAAATGCTTCTGATATGCTAAATTATGGAACAGGCTCCCCAAAGAAATTTGCCTGGTGCCAACCTTGTTTTTGTCTAGGTACCAGGCAAAGATGTTTCTCTCCTCTGAATACTTCCAAGAGCAGTCTTTATATTTCTTGTTTATTTTGACATCTGTTGTTCTGCTTACTTGGCATAATCATAATAGTTGTTCTTAAACTTTTTTTTATTGTGATGTTGACTGGTTTTATTGTTGTTTTGTAGTATTTTACTGTAAGCCACCCAGAGAATCCATCTGGATTAGTGGGCAGCACACAAATTAAAAAATCTATTAAAAATATGTGAGAGCAAAAGCAAGAGCAACACTGTTTGCCAAAATAAATTTTTAAAAAAGAGAATGGAGCAGGTGCAGAATCAGATTTTAAATTCACTTCAATTCATAGCACCAACTTGCTGGCGAGAATCAAATGCAACTCACTTCCGCTGCCCTGGAAGAAGCACACATGCTTGGAAAGGAAGGGCCTCGGCAGTTACAGGCAGCCGATAAATACATGGAAGGATGGATGGATAGATAAAATAAGCCCCAATTAGTTGCAGAAAAGGGTGGTATATTTTAAAAGTAAAATGATGCAACAATGAGCTTCTGTAACCATGCATATATCTGGCCAGCTGCCTCTTCACTGAACGAGGGAAAAGAAGATGGGAAGGATGCTGTGAAGACAGCCACGTGGTCCCCAGCATTTGCCCTCCTGGTGGGCATTCAGCCCCCCTGGTCTTCGGCCATGAGGGCCAGCCCTAGCTGCAACGCTGAGCCAACAGAGACAGTCTGTTCTGGCTGTTAAGCCTGGCCTGAAAGCTTTTCAGTGGAAAAGAATGCGGTCCTAAGGAAATTAAATGCATCAAGGTGTTTAAGAAAGGAAAATACCCTTTCTTTATTAAATGCTTAGCCACGTTCTTCCCACTCCACTAACAAAAGTGATGTTTCCCACAAAATCACTCCTCTGGGAGTTTTTTGTTTTGTTCTAGCAGCAACCCAGTTTGCAGAGAAGGAAATTGAATCAAAGGGCTTTAAAATAGTGGCTTGCCAAGTCTGTTGGACCCGGGGTGCGGTGTGAGCGGGATCTTGCAAGGCAGTATACCCAAAAGCTCTTCTTTGGACCCAGGTTCTCCTGTACCACCAGCAGCAACTCCTATTGCGAAAAGACGCAAGGGACTTTAAGACCATGAGCGGGGAGGGGGACCCCCGGAGAAGCTCGACACCCTCAGCATGATCAGCCTCAGTGCACATAGAGGTGGCCTTTCCCCCATTTTCCAGCCATTTTCTGACATTCTGTATTAAGATGCTCATGCAGCATTTTCCCAATGCTGTCTTATGTACTGATTTTATTTATGTTATTTTATTTAAGGTCTTTGCATGCTGTCCCAATTACTAAAAAAGTCTCTGGGCAGCTTACAGAGAGCAAACCAAAAAACAAAGCCCATAGCAATAACAACAACAACAACAACAACAACAACCACACACACACACACACAAAGGGCTGGTGTATTTTCCCAGTTTTGCTGTCTACCACAGAAGTTCCTTGTGTTATGAAATGCAACATGTTGGAACATATAGAAAGTCAGAGAGGAAAACCCCCAGAAAAATCCTTGTGTGAGCAGCACTCTAAAACCGCCAAGGAAATAAAGAAATGAGTGCAGGAAAGTGCTGAGAAGGAGCCCTTGGCCTCACAGGGCTTCCTCTTCTCTCTCAGCCTCCATGTTCTGCTGCAGGTGGTAGACCTGCTGGCCAGCTGCTGCATAGATTTGAGGACTGCATGCAGCTTTTTCCAGCCACACCAAGTTCCCCACAGGGGCACCCCATAGCTTGGCTTAGTGGCTCCTCTTCCTTCTGCCTAGGCAAAGAAATCCTTGTTAGTTAGTTATTTTAAGTGGTAGACAATAATTGCCCAAAGGTGTCCTACACTCCCCTGTGGCTTTTCTCTCTGCTGGGTTTTGAGCATGTACAATCAGCAAATTGAAGGATTGCTTTATTTATTTATTTAGATTTATTTATTTTCTATACCGTCTCAGGACAGTTTACAACAATACTGATAAAATAGAATAAAAATAGAAGCAAGAGTAAAAAAAATATCACAGCATCCAGTAGTTGGTATAAAACCACACATTAAAACGATTTAACAATTAAAATATTGGGAGAATAAAAAGGCTTTGGCAACAACCAACAAGGTACTGGACTGGTAGGCAAAAAGATGACAATGTCTATGTTGGGGGAAAAGTCCTTTTGTTGGGGCAGGGAGAGTCCCCCCCTCCCCAAACTTTGTCATCGCTGTCACTGGGATGAGAGAGACGATTGTAGAATAAGAGCCGAATTGGGGTGCAACCAAGCGCCAGAGCCGTTTGGGCCATCCATGTAACTAGTGGCAAAGAATCCTGGGAGTTGTAGGCCAGGCCATTTAGAGGGACACATGTTGTCCACTCTGTTCTAAACCCTCCGTGTGTTTACTCTGAGGTGAATCTTCCTGGGTTCAGTGGGAATGAAGTCAGTGTTGCCTGGGATTACAGGGAGCCTTCTGGCTCTCAGTAGTGAAAACTATAGAATGCCAAACATAAAATAATTCAAATACATGAGAAATGAAACTGGTTATATCAATATCACATCGTGTCCATGAGTGGTATTCGTAACTTGGAATAAGTTTCCACTGGTTGGTTAAAACCTGAATTTCAGGAAAATGTTTTTCTCTGCTGGCTCAACCTTCTCCAACTGGACAGCTGGCCAGGCAGCCTGTTCTACCATCCAAGGCCCATCTGGTCTAACGATGCTAGGCTGGGGAAGACTCTGGTAAGCAGTGTCCCCTCCCTGGTAGGAAAACCGGGTATCTTGCAAGCTTCATAGCAGGATAAGACTTTAGCAGCCCCCATCCCAATTCCCCCAGCAACGGAAGCTGTATGATGGTAGCAAAGTTTCCTGCAGAATTTAGTACTCCAGCTCTTAATCAAGTACATCTGAATATGACAGGAGAGTTGAGAACATGTGTGAGAAAGGTCAGGGCAGCCCTTACTTACCACATGCCACTTTTGTCCCAGGAGATTCCACGGGAGGTGGTTGAGGCCCCATCAGTGAGGGTGTTCAAAGATAGGCTGGGCATGCACACGGTGGGCATGTCATGGGCGGAGCCGGCTGGAGCCGGGGGTCAGACTAGATGACCCAGGAGGCCCCTTCTGACTCGCTCAAATAAATTTAAAAAAATAAAAAAGAAAGATTCCTCTGGGGTTGACCTATGTGATGCCCTCTGGTATGTAGGACTTCTCTGTTCCTTTTTTCGTGCCGTAAGTGGTTGCAAGAGAGTGATTTTCTGGGAAGAAATGTAATTGAAAGCCCCGTTTCTGCTATGTCTGCTACACAATTCTAATGAGGGGACTTTGAGGCATGAACCCAAAGGACACTGATTCATGACACTGTGTGCACAGTTGCGTCATTTGCAAAGCCAGGTTGCTTCACTGGAGTGGCTTCAAGAAGGAGAGATCAATGCAAGCATTCCTTTTCTGTGCATTCGGAGAGGTCAGGCAGCCTTCCAAGTGTAACCTCAGATGCTAGATGGATCTTGCGAGGTCTTAGCATGGTCTGGGATGAACTTCTGGCCTGAACTCTCGCATCTGAGAGCTCCAGCAAATGAAGTTAGGTGGGCGACAATAGAGAGAACTTTCTGAACAGAGTATCTTGTTTGTAGAATAACCTTTGCATAGAGATTTGTTCTCTTTCTGATCTTTCTGGTGCTGAGCAAAGATCTTTTTATTCAACGAGGCCTTTAAAAAAACCCTCCATAATTTGTGCCTTTTGCTAAAATGTGTTTCACTTGTCCCTTAGCTTTTAATATGCTTTACATCTCCATGATATTTTTAAATATATTCACTTTGTGAGCTGCCCATAGAATTTGAGTACAGCTAGTAAATAACAGTAAATATAATAATTCTATGGTACCTCCCATGTAAATAAGTAGGAAACAGTGGTTCTCTCTCCAAGGAGCTTCACCCTCTAGGCTTGTACTGGTAGCAACATGTTCAGCCACTCAGACACGATCTCGGGACCATCCGATCACTTTCTTAGTAGCTCTCTTGACGATCACACACTGCTTTTTCTTTAAAAAGTAGCTACCAGTGTTGTTAGTCATCCGAGTGCTTCCGATGTGTGTTTTCTGTGCAGTGGATCACTGTGCCCAATAAAGCAACCTTGTAAATCATTCCATAAACATTCTACCTGTAAAAATGTTTACTACCTTGCTAAGTGGCCCGTAGCCTGAAATTTTTCAAGATGGCAGCAGGGAAAGGCAAGTTCCCTCTTCCACAGCCAGAACAGAGATGCAATCTATTCAACAGGCTAGGAAAAACTGTCTTTTATAAAGCTTACTCACCTGCACAGGGTTCCTACTTACCTCTGGCTCCTGGATAGCATGTTAAAATACAAGAGTGAATGCAGTAAATGTGCTTTACATGCATCCTATCTCAGGACACAGCCTAGTTGCTCCAACTTTTACTTTGGGCTCAGCCATTGAAAAGCGGGTTGGAAACCG